CCTCCTCCCCAATCCAGAAATGGATTAATAAAGGGGATGAAAATGAATAAGACAAAAAAAAGGGAAATTAAGGTTTCAACAAGTGAACAGATTTATTGCAACTAATCCATTACTAAGATAGTTCTAATCAACTAATGCTAGTCATAGATAAATACTTTTTTAAACAACAAAGACATTTAAGCGGTGAAGAAGTATTTATGACCCCAACAAAGCGGTAATTATTGCATGTATGGAATGGCTTCTTCTTTACATGCTCATGGCTCGGTCGGAAAAGGGATTTTAGAAGTTTTAATTATACAAAAATATGTTTCAAAAGGCAGAAAGCCGAGATAAGAGCTTTTAGACAGATGCGCTGGAGGTATTTTTATGCCAGAAGTTCATGAAATGATTATGGATTGATCTGCACTGAAGCTAAGGCTGAACTTCCCCATGGAACAGAAAGATTCAAAGTGAAATCCTGACTTTGAACTCATCGGGGCATTTCTTTCCACGGCTCAAAGCTGCTCAGAACATGTTCGGCGGTCACTTGTGTGCGCTGCAGGCACAGAGCTTTAATGAAGGACTTTGAAGTCGAGGAAGCGTCTCCTACAAATCACACTTCAGACAAGCTCCGGAGGCAGACACCGGAGAGCCTTTGTTCAGGCCACTACAAAACAAAACGCAGCGAGAAGGAAGCTCAGGCCACGGGCAGCCACACGGAATGTTCCAGACTTTACAGACCTGTGTCATGTTCTACCGCTTTTTAAATCCAAGGAAAGTGATATTGCTTTGTTTTCATTACTATTGCCAAAACATAGTCCGCATTAGTCACAAAGAAAAATACTAAACACTCTGGATACCAAAGAAAACAGCCTCGAGCCTCCTGACCACTAGGGGCACTACTGGGGGACAATGGGAGACGCAAATCTGCTTAACGGAGCTATACCCGTTTCTGCGAGGTTTGAATGTTTAGCACCGCCCCCAACTCGCTCACAGGCTTCTCATTTCCACTAAGCGGAGCTAACATTAGCATTAGCGCAACGTAAGCTGTACAACAATCACTGATTAAATGGTACAAAAGCAACACACGGCTAACAGAATATATAACTGAAAGATTACCGCTAGTTTCACGTCCGAATGTAGTCCGAGCGTAGATAGTCCGAGCGTAGATGAGCGTAGATAGACCGAGCACAGATAGTCCGAGCGTAGATAGTCCGAGCGTAGATAGTCCGAGCGTAGATAGTCCGAGCGTAGATAGTCCGAGCGTAGATAGTCCGAGCGTAGATAGTCCTAGCGTAGATAGTCTGAGCGTAGATAGTCCGAGCGTAGATAGTCCGAGCGTAGATAGTCCGAGCGCAGATAGTCCGAGCGTAGATAGTCCGAGCGTAGATAGTCCGAGCGTAGATAGTCCGAGCGTAGATAGTCCGAGCGTAGATAGTCCGAGCGCAGATAGTCCGAGCGTAGATAGTCCGAGCGTAGATAGTCCGAGCGTAGATAGTCCGAGCGTAGATAGTCCGAGCGTAGATAGTCCGAGCGTAGATAGTCCGAGCGTAGATAGTCCGAGCGTAGACAGTCCGAGCGTAGACAGTCCGAGCGTAGATAGTCCGAGCGTAGATAGTCCGAGCGTAGATAGTCCGAGCGTAGATAGTCCGAGCGTAGATAGTCCGAGCGTAGATAGTCCGAGCGTAGATAGTCCGAGCGCAGATAGTCCGAGCGCAGACAGTCCGAGCGTAGACAGTCCGAGCGTAGATAGTCCGAGCGTAGATAGTCCGAGCGTAGATAGACCGAGCGCAGATAGTCCGAGCGTAGATAGTCCGAGCGTAGACAGTCCGAGCGTAGACAGTCCGAGCGTAGACAGTCCGAGCGTAGATAGTCCGAGCGTAGATAGTCCGAGCGTAGATAGTCCGAGCGTAGATAGTCCGAGCGTAGACAGTCCGAGCGTAGACAGTCCGAGCGTAGACAGTCCGAGCGTAGACAGTCCGAGCGTAGATAGTCCGAGCGTAGATAGTCCGAGCGTAGACAGTCCGAGCGTAGATAGTCCGAGCGTAGATAGTCTGAGCGTAGATAGTCCGAGCGTAGATAGTCCGAGCGTAGATAGTCCGAGCGTAGATAGTCCGAGCGTAGATAGTCCGAGCGTAGATAGTCCGAGCGCAGATAGTCCGAGCGTAGACAGTCCGAGCGTAGATAGTCCGAGCGTAGATAGTCCGAGCGTAGACAGTCCGAGCATAGATAGTCCGAGGCGGTCCCGCAGGTCTCTCCCATAGACCAGTCTCTCCAGAGGATACGATGTAAGCTAGCTCTGTTCAGGGCTTGGTTTCTTCTTTGATCATGTTGTGGCTTTAGTTCCTCTTCTCTTCCTCACTGTTGTGTGGTTTGGGCTGTTTTGCTGTGTCTGCAGTTACAGCCAGAGGAGTTATAGCCACTGATGCTAACATGCTACTGTGTTTAGCAGCGCTGTAGAGGCTAGAGGACGCAGCCTCGTTCTGTGATTGGAGGAGAGCGGGCGTCACGCTAAGTCTCTACTCAGCACTTTTATACGGCCTGAATTCATACACAGCTGAATCAATGAGATCAAGTTTTCAATTAAAATACGGATTATAATACAACTTTGTGGTAATAAGCATTGTTATTAACTCATTAGAAAAAAAATTGGGTATAGCTTCTTTAAACTGATTCTCGTTAAATGAATGGGGCTAGTGCCGGCTCACACATGTACAACTTTCCTGCCTCAGCGGCCATTTTGAAAAAGCTCACTGAAGGCAAAAGTGGTGGTACATTAGTCCTTAGTACAGCCCTTTCTGTAACCGGTTTGACACCCCTGGTCTAAATGATCCCGAATTAGTAAATCTTATGACAGATTACAAACTCATCATGAAGTCAATGTTCAAATAAAAAGGGAAATGGAGCAGAGGATACAGGCCCAACCCGCTCGATGACGCACGTCCAGTTTTGGCAACGATCACTTGAAAACTTCCCACATTTGGCCACAGCCTCCGTTCAGAATGAGTTCAAAGAAAGCAGTGTGTCAAAGACGGGCTTAAATCATGTCAAAACCTCGTAATCCACTTCCTTGCTCCAGCGTTATTGTAAATCCCAAACTCACTCTCAAGAAAGTTCCAAAGTGTTTTCTGAACGCTCTTTCTCTCATCAAACCCGGAGCCGAGACAAATCACCTCAAGTGAAGCAATGACAGATGTGTCTTCAAATGCTTTTCCATTTCAATAAAAGTCACAGGACTCAAAGAGAGAAGAAAGGTTTCAGTTTTCTCTTCTAACAAATCCACTCAGACATCATAGAGGTCTGAGTGGAGGTTATCAAAACTGCTGATGTAGATGTTAACCCTCTTCAAATAGAGCTGAAAAAATATTCCTGTTTAGAACTTACATACTACCTTTTTATCAGAGTAGAAAGAGCAAGTAACGAGCAAGTCGGGACATGAACATGAAAAGAACTAGACTGAGAACTTCCCTGGGACTTGAACACAGTGGAGGTAATACAGTCTTAAAGGTATTTAGGAGGATTTTCACAAATGTTAGGAAAAAACCGCCCTCTCCACTTTCTGAACAAAACTCTCTGGTCAACTGGGAGGACCAATAGTCTTGATGATCCACCCGGAAGTAGAAAATCCTACACCTTTAAAGCTAAAACAGGCTATTTGAGCTGGAATCTGAACTCAAATGTGAGGGTAGCAACGACTGAGCAACCAAGAACCAATCAGGAGCAGCGGCGGTCTGTCCTCGCACTTTGCCAGCTATAGCCGAAGTCGGGGACGCAAGGCACCTGATTGGTCAGTTTCTTGGGCTCATATTTGGTTTTACAAAGATCCATCAGAATATAAAAACCAGTCCAGAGAGAGACCTCTAGAGTCTAGACTGAGACCTCTCTGGTTTCTCTCTGCTCTCTCTCTCTCCGCCGTGATCCTAAATGTGCTTGAATTTGTCTCTCTCTCCTCCCTCCCTCCCTTCTCTCTCCCCCTTCTTCCCCCTCCCCCTCCTCTCTCCCATCCCTCGCCTTCCTCCCCCTCTATCCCCTCTCTCTCCTCCCCCTCCCTCTCCTCCCTCCCCTCTCTCAGTCTTCAGTAGCAATAATAATGAAAGGTTTTTAATCCCAAAATGATGAGTGACACCAACGGTTACTTTACTTTTCAATGAAAGTCAATAAGAGCCAGAGGGGGTTAGAGCAAAACTTCATCCTTGAGTACTTCCCTCTTGAGCTTCATTGAGCTAGTGGGTTAGCACTGTCCATCTACATACAATCTACAGTTGAAGGCCTGAAAATTGGAATGACTTGCGGTTGAACTTTTTCCCAAATCCTGTCAATTCAATTTCACAATTACAGCAATATGGTTCATATTGTTTTAAAATGGCTTTTTCTTACTAAAGTGGCAAAATAAAGCTTCATTCTTATTGTGAGAATGTGAATAGAATCCTGGTTGGAACGAGGCCTTTCTGTGTGTAGTTTGTTTGTTCTCTGCTTAGGTTTCCTCCGGGTGCTCCGATTTCCCCTACCACTAAAAGCATGTACAATACGCCTGGCCAATTGTGTGCCTCCTGTATTGGTGACCTCTCTCTTATCTCTGTGTGGAGTGAGAGACAAATGCCTATAATTGTAAAGTGCTTTGTGACTCTGGTCTGGGAAAGGCGCTGTATAAACAAGGATTACTTACTTATTTTCTTAATCTAAAAAAATCACAATAACATTGTTTTTATTTAGCTGCACAGAGAACAAGTAGGTAACAGGTAGTGGTGTCGTTGTTGCCAGAAGCCCCTGAACACACTATCCCCAAATAATTAGGTTTGCATGTTCTCCCTGTGTCTGTGTAGATTTGCATGTTCTCCCCATGTCTGTGTAGGTTTGCATGTTCTCCCCATGTCTGTGTAGATGTCTGTGTAGACGGAGAACAGCCTTGAGCTAAAACCCAGTGCATTTACAGTTAAGGTCTTCATGAATACACACTGGGCCTGGTTTTTTTAGCGTTTGTTTTCCGTCTGGCTGAGTCGTGTTCTAGTTGGAGTCCATGTTTAACTCCAGTTCACCTCCGCTTTTCTGTCCGAGCGAACAAAGCCACAGAGGGACCAAAGCAGAGTGCGACAGTAGGAGCGTGTATCCATTTTCCCACAGCTGCGGTCGTCTGTGGGAACTTACACGGCCATGAAAGCCTCCTCTGTGGCACTAGCCCCAGATCTACTCATTCACTGCGTCACCCTTTAGCCTCTGCTGCTGGAGTCCCCACACGTCATGGTCTGCGTTTCAACCCGGCAACACTAAGATAAGATCAGATAGACTATTGATCTCACACTGGAGAGATGTACATGTCACAACTTGGCATGTGTTTTTTCAGTCCTAGTGCATTAGAGACTTAAAGTGACTTATTGTACAGTCTGACAGCGGTGGGATAAAGGCCCTAACACCCAGCCATTCAAACTGCTTATTCAGATCCCCCCAGAAAACTGTATTCATCAAGAGAAGACAGAATTATTACCAACATCCATAATCTGAAATGATACAGAAACATGCAGAAAGAGCCGGTGTTCTGGAAAAGAAACAATATCCGTTTCTGTTGTAATAGGGATTCAAGATGGTAGAAGTGAACCGTTTGACCCGCAAACAATAGAGAAAGGATGAATGCTTCTGCACATGTACCTCTGCTTTAACGGAACTGTATTCAATTACACTCAAAAGGAAAGTTAAGAGGAACTAATCAATGCCTTATTTTTGTTGACGTTCCGGAGTCTGGTCTTATTTTAGAGGTTTCTAGATGCACTACAGAGACTATAGACAAAGGCACCGAGGGAACGGCCAAAAATGAAAGGCACCAGCGTTTATCTGGTATTCTGTATAAAACCAGATGCCCAAGCTAAAGTTGATAACCAGAGAGAAACATAAAAGCCATGATCAGAAAGAAGATCTGAGTTTTGGGTGGGTCCACTAGAGGAATATTATCACTGCGTACAATGGTGGCTGAGTGGGCAGCGCTCTTGCTTCTAAACAACAAGGTCCAGGGTTTGATACCATCTCCAGACACGGCCTGTCTGAGTGAAGTTTGCAGGTTTTCCCAGTGTCTGTGTAGGTTTTCTCATGGTGCTCCACTTTCCCCATCACTAAAACATGTACAATAGATAAAACATCCAGCTCAGGAAGTCTTGACGCGACCTGAAGCCTCAACATCTGGATCTACTGCTCCGGACAGAGGCCTGGTGTTTGACACATCTTTTACCAGGTCAAACACCAGAAGAAATATCGTCTGGGAACTGTCCACTCATTATGTAGTTTACGGTTGTCCATAGCCATTTATTAGGGTTACTGTACGTCTGTGCAAATAATATCAATTCTACCCAATAACGTGTGTCACATGACGGAAAAGGACTATATCATTTTTACACAATGGTGTAAATGATTGTAAATGATTATTAAATGATTATTGGAAAATTCTATTGCAGTTTGTGACAGTTAAACATGAAGGAAGATAAATACTTACATTTAGTTAGATAATGATCATGAACTTGGAAGAACACACAGCTGTCGAGCCACGACAGACGAAGTGACTTTGATTCACCTCTTCTGTGTAATTTATGTTGTGTTCTCTGTGAAGGTATTCAAAGCGACTAACCCACTTTCAAAATATAAAGTACAGTACTTGAATCCAGTAGTTGCATAAAAATACATCTCTTGACAAATCTATGACCACATCTTAAATATAAACTGAAAAGTATATCCATTCAAAAGTGTGTGAGAATCTAAATGACAAAATACTTAAGACCACAGACTTTGTGTTTGTCGAGTTACCTTCCACCATCAGCATAGGCTCCTTCGCTCCTCCGTGGGCCAGCATCTCCCTCCTGTAGCGCTCACCCATCTCCCTGCAGATACACACACACACACACACACACACACACACACACAGGTTAGGTTACACACACCTGTACACAGCCTGTGGCACCGTCTGCTCTTGTGACATCAGACAGACACCTGACGGGAGCAGCAGAATTCAGCCTGCCAGACAATGATCAGGGAATAATAAGAACCACAGAGCGCTGCAGGGAAAAGCCCCAGATAAACTGTTTGGAAGAATGAGACAAAGAATGAGAGAAAATGACTCCCAGCTGAAAATACCGTCTCATCTTACCAATTAAAAATGATAATGAGACTTATGAGAACTTTATCATTTATTGTTTTAGAATGTGAAAGAATAACTATGATTTAAAACACTGGTGGCAATCTGAAGTATGAATGCTAAACAATACTAGAGGCCTGTCCTATCTCTAAGCTACCAGTAGAGGGAGGAGTAGAATGTTTATTTTTTTCCAAATTTTAAAATGGCCGCCAACCAAACGCAACCACTTCCGTGCACCACTATTGTACAACAGGGCATTTAAACTGAGAATCACAATTTTAGCAAAGTATATTAATTTAACGGCACTACTACTCCTACTCCTACACCTACTGCTACTACATTTGTGAATGAGACAACTTCCAAATATATTGTGATCTGTGATGGGAATAACGCGTTACTTTTTTCAGTAACGAGTAATCTAACTAATGACTTTGACTGTAACTATAACGCCGTTATCATTTCCGACATCCCGTTACTGCGCGTTACTCAAGACGCACAGTGAACTTCTCTTTTTACTTCGTGATAGGACTCGTGCTCGTGTTGTCATGAGAGAAGGATGAGAAAACCTCTCAGCAATTATTGGCTGATGTAAAACATATTTCCTTTACAATCCACATGTCTACAGTTGAGAGGATGGCTCATAAATTGTGTTTTTGAAACAAATATGGGTCTTAATCGCGCTCAACCACAGCTTGTATCACCGTGAGGTCAGCCTCAGAGGAGCTCATGTGAGCGCAGAAGGCTGCATACAATTCCATCGATAAGCTCCTTTCTCTTCCTGGTTTATCTGCTAAGGACAGCAGCAGGTTTGGCTAACATACATACAACACATTTTAAGATAATTTAAAATGTACTTAGGGTAATTTTTCAATGACTATAGGAACGATAAGAAAGAGAGGTGAAGTGTAAGACGGTTGATTTTAGAAATTGGATGCAGCCGGCTGCAGCAAAACACAGGAGTTTATGGAGGACACACGCGTTTTGTTTTACTTTTTAAAACTCATTGGACTCATTTCCAAATGGAGGATTACATATCTACGCTCAAACTATTAACTGGATTTAAACAAGGAACTGGTCTGAACCGAAGTGGACTGTGCAGGTCATTTATAAGGTAAGACCCATAACTCATAGCTTTGCGTTTTGTTTGAACAAACAATGCATGAAACATATTTTGCTGTAGCCAAACAAACTGTCCACTTGATTTATATGATTATATATATATATATATATATATATATATATATATATAAATATACAGTGCCTTGCGAAAGTATTCGGCCCCCTTGAACTTTTCAACATGTCGCCACATTTCAGGCTTCAAACATAAAGATATAAAAACATATTTTTTTGTCAAGAATCAACAACAGGTGGGACACAATCGTGAAGTGGAACGAAATTTATTGGATAATTTAAACTTTTTTAACAAATAAAAAACTGAAAAGTGGGGCGTGCAATATTATTCGGTCCCCTTGCACTAATACTTTGTAGCGCCACCTTTTGCTGCAATTACAGCTGCAAGTCGCTTGGGGTATGTCTCTATCAGTTTTGCACATCGAGAGACTGGAATTCTTGCCCATTCTTTCTTGCAAAACATCTCGAGCTCAGTGAGGTTGGATGGAGAGCGTTTGTGAACAGCAGTCTTCAGCTCTTTCCACAGATTCTCGATTGGATTCAGGTCTGGACTTTGACTTGGCCATTTTAACACCTGGATACGTCTATTTGTGAACCATTCCATTGTAGATTTGGCTTTATGTTTTGGATCATTGTCCTGTTGGAAGATAAATCTCCGTCCCAGTCTCGGGTCTTTTGCAGACTCCAACAGGTCAGTCTGCAAAAGACATCTTCCCTGTCCCTGCTGAAGAAAAGCAGAACCAAAGCATGCTGCCACCACCATGTTTGACAGTGGGGATGGTGTGTTCAGGGTGATGAGCTGTGTTGCTTTTACGCCAAACATATCGTTTTGCATTGGGGCCAAAAAGTTGGATTTTGGTTTCATCTGACCAGAGCACCTTCTTCCACATGTTTGGTGTGTCTCCCAGGTGGCTTGTGGCAAACTTTAAACAAGACTTTTTATGGATATCTTTGAGAAATGGCTTTCTTCTTGCCACTCTTCCATAAAGGCCAGATTTGTGCAGTGCACGACTGATTGTTGTCCTATGGACAGACTCTCCCACCTCAGCTGTAGTTATTTGCAGTTCATCCAGAGTGATCATGGGCCTCTTGGCTGCATCTCTGATCAGTCTTCTCCTTGTTTGAGATGAAAGTTTGGAGGGACGGCCGGGTCTTGGTAGATTTGCAGTGGTCTGATACTCCTTCCATTTCAATATAATTGCTTGCACAGTGCTCCTTGAGATGTTTAAAGCTTGGGAAATCTTTTTGTATCCAAATCCGGCTTTAAACTTCTCCACAACAGTATCTCGGACCTGCCTGGTGTGTTCCTTTGTCTTCATGGTTCTCTCTGCGCTTTAAACAGAACCCTGAGACTATCAAAGAGCAGGTGCATTTATACGGAGACTTGATTACACACAGGTGCATTCTATTTATCATCATCAGTCATTTAGGACAACATTGGATCATTCAAAGATCCTCACTGAACTTCTGGAGTGAGTTTGCTGCACTGAAAGTAAAGGGGCCGAATAATATTGCACGCCCCACTTTTCAGTTTTTTATTTGTTAAAAAAGTTTAAATTATCCAATAAATTTCGTTCCACTTCACGATTGTGTCCCACTTATTGTTGATTCATGACAAAAAATTAAAATGTTATATCTTTATGTTTGAAGCCTGAAATGTGGCGAAATGTTGAAAGGTTCAATGGGGCCGAATATTTTCGCAAGGCACTGTATATGATATATATGTTCATCTGATTGAGCTGAAGTCAGTGCTTCACCGGTGTTTCCACGTTCACAGTGGAGCGTGTTGGTGTTTAGTGCTTACAGCACAGAGACAGATGGAGAGTGAACAGGACTTCAGCAGAAAAACAGCCTTTTCTAGATGGAAATATTGGCACTATTTCAGACTCACTGAGGTTAAAGGTAAAAATGTGCACGTCGAGTGCACATTATGTTCCAGAACAGAACGAAAAAGTAACGCAATAGTTACTTTTACTGGTAACTAGTTACTTTTACAGTGGAGTAACTCCGTTAGTAACTCAGTTACTTTTTGGGAGAAGTAACTAGTAACTATAACTAATTACTGTTTCAAAGTAACGTGCCCAACACTGATTGTGATTTACCCCGACACACACAGACACACAGGCCAACTGGTGTCAGAACCACTCCCTGAGCTGTGTGCCGGGGAGGCTCCACTCACGGCCTGCAGACACCTGCCAAGTGGACGCAGTGTTTTGTGTCAGGGCCCAGACTGAGACATTCTTCAACAGTTTGAGAGCGGCCTGTCACAGGCCACATAACTGCTTAAAAGAGACGCTGTTTTTACATGGACTTCAAAAGGGTGAAAACAATTGTAACTTCAGGAGGGCAACAAGTTAACGCTGCATTAAGCAACTGTTAAAGTGAAAATAGTTGTTCTTTGTGCATATTTGACATGGAGTGATACAGTGGCTGTAACAGTGGGCCTCATAGCATGAGCATGTGCGCTGACAAACTTGCAATACCACCCCGGGCCTGTGGGGGTGTACTCGGAAAGAGAATTATCCAAGGATTTTGTATGGCATCTGCTTTCCTCGCAAAAACAGTTTTACAGAATGATACAAAAGTCGCTCTTGGCTCAAAGCTACGTTCCAGATGCTGTCGATGATGAGGGGAGGATATTTTTTGGACCAGTCTAGTTTAGCCGCTGTGGACTTCAGAATGCACTCGTTAAAATAATGGGGCTAGTATAGCTAACGCATGCACAAATGCGCTTTTTCACATTTTTCCTGCGGGAGGGGCTGCCGGCGGCCATTTGGAAAAAGCCCATATGAGACAAAAGTGGTGGCACATTAGAACATGCAGAATGAAGACAATCCACAGCTCAATAAGCAACATTGTGATCACTGTGGCCAAGCTCTTTATCATATGTTTAGTACATTATTATTATTATCATCTGTTTTGTTTGGTTGGTTGGATGTGTTTCTGCTACTGCTGGACACCTGCATTTCTCCTACGCGGCTCAATAAATTATGTATCTTTGAAAAACTAAAAATGTGTAAAAGAGAAGGGAGAACAACTCTAACATCAACACATTAAAAAAGCAACTAAAAACTGTCATAAGTGGGATCTCGCTTGGACGTCCTACAGAGCAGCATGTTAATAATAATAATAATAATTAGGGCTGTAAAACGATTTTTTTTTTTAGTTGATTAATCGCATAGTAATGGTGAGTTAACTCACGATTAATCGCATTTTTAACATTCTATATCCAATCCACTCCAATTGAAGTTAAATGAGTTTTTCAAATGTAATGACACATTGTTATTCATACCAAATGTACTTAAATCTGTTTGAGTTGCTCACAACCTTCTTCTTTTGGGTACAACCAACAAGAGCTGTTAATGAAAGGGAAAATGTAGGTACCCCAGCTTTAATTTTGTGAGTTTGGTTGCATTTCAGCGTGTCTCCTCCTCTCCTCCGTGTGTCACACAACATCAGAGAATGGCCCCTGTGCGTATATATATATGTGTGTATTATATGACCACGTTACCGCTGTCACCATCACACACGCACGTGTCCGGGCATTCTGAGTGATATTATTATAAATGGGCGGGTCATTCGGACATGGGATTGACTGCCAGCCTATTTCAGAACAGGTACTCCCATATTGCCAGCCGTTTCTGATGATTTTTACTGAATTTTCAAAACCCACAGAATATTGTGTACTATGACTATCTGAAATCTAAAACCAGATTCTGAAAGAATGAACCGTCTACTTTCATCTGCAAAAATAATTTTGTTTCTAGCTTGTTTCGTTCCCCTGAAATCCCCAGTCGAGTAGAGGTACGTTTTATTGAAATCACCAGAAAGTGCATCTAGCTGTTTTCAAACCATTCATAGAGCAATGCTGCCATCTGCTGGCTCGATAAAATATTGCCTCAAGCCTTACATATTTGATACAACAGACATCTGGGAACGTGAAAATAGCGGGAAACGCAATTGACGTGTTAACACGTCAATGGGTTAGGGTTAGGGTTAGGGTTAATTAATTAACGCGTTAATGAAAACGGTAATTAACGTGAATTAACGCGATAATTTTGACAGCCCTAATAATAATACATTTGTTTTTATTTAAAAGCGCCTTTCAAAACAACCAAGGACACTGTACAAACATGCTTGAAATACAGAGACCCGTAAAAGCATTAGCATTATTAAAAACATAACAGAACTGGACAAAGGTGTTGGGGTGACTGGTCATGTAGCTGGTCATGTGACTGGTCATGTAGCTGGTCATGTGACTGGTCAGGTGGGGTAACAAAGTCTGAAAAGGTGAGTTTTGAGTGTGGATTTGAACAGGGGAAGAGAGTTGGTATTGCAGAGGTCGGGGGGAGTGAGTTCTAGAGCTGGGAGCAGAGCGGCTGAATACTCTACCCCCCCATGGTGATGAGGAGGAACGAGGAGAGGGAGGAGGAGAAAGGGAACAGAGAGGAGGTGAGAGGAGGAGAGTCTCACCTGTTCAGAGGGTCCTGGACGAAACACTGCTTCCACAGCATGGAGGCCACGGCGCGGGACATCAGGTACGAGTAATACTTGGCCCCGTAGCCGATGAGGTGGCTGAATCTCAACTGCCAGGCCTGCAACAAGGAAGAACCTTTAACCTGTGAACGTGCACTTAAGGCCCGGGGGCCAGATCTGGACCGAGAATTAATTATGTTGGCCCCCGGGATGATATTTGAACCGGCCGCACAGAGACATAAGAAAACATTGGATTATTCATTCAATGCTCAGGGCGTGTGTGTTCTCTTTGGAGGAAGTTTGTTTTTGTCTAAGAGCCTGTTAAAAATATTTTCACTTTAAAGGACTGAGAGCCACAAAAATATTGGATTATTCAATGAATCATTAAATAAAATATGGTCCACTGTGTTCATTTGGTTTTTTTTTGGCCTCTCCGACTTAAGGCAATAACACAAACTGCTTTTCAGTCCAAAACGTGTCAAAACTTTACTTTTTCGTTTGTATTTTGTATAATAGCAGCTTAAGGTTTGAACATCCAAAAGTTTATGTCATTATTCTTATTGAACCGGTTTATATTTGGATTTGAATACTTCTTTTGTTGTTTTGTAAAGCTTTTTGAGAAGTTTTGTGCATGAGTTGAGCTATACACATAAACTTGCCTTGCTCAATAACCACCATTAGTATTTTTATTGTCAGTAGCAAGGAAAGATAAAGTCATTGTGATTATGGGAAAATATTAAATCTGATTTCTGAGATTTTAAACCATGTTCCAGTAATGTCATCACAGACAAAGCATGAAGGTTGTGGGTTCGAGCCCACCGGAAGACCTTCTCCAACGACTTCCACTGATGTCTGCTGTCGTTGTGTCCTTGGGCAAGACACTTTATCCTCTTTGCCGATAAGGAGCGCGGAAGTAATGTACGCTGCATGCCTTGATGTGTGTGTGTATTTATCAAACTACAGTGGGACAAAAAAAGGATAAACTTTCTTTCTTTCTTTCTAGATCCATCCACAACAATATCAAGGGGCGGAGTTACAAACATAACTCCGCCCCTTCTCTCTCAGACCTGTGTGATGTCATTCAACCACTGTGACATCACACTCAGTATTGCACGTTTGTTTTGGTAAAGTCTCTTCTTTCACGTGGAAACAAGTGTTTCCACGTGTTTGCAGCCAGTCATTTTCAAAACTGGATAACAACAAAACAAATGAAACTTCTCCCTCTGGTGGTATCCCTCCATATATTTCCTAAGATATCCTTCCACATTCTAAATCATGACATGCCAAAGTAAATAGTCTCATTGTTATTTTCACAAATTGCCGTTTTCGGAGCTGGAGCAGGTGGATTCTGTCTCTATCTGCTTCTTTTACTTTGAACTTGTGTGGGCAATATAAAACAACTTTCCCTTGAAAAACATGATTGTCTGAGAACTCTGCCGGGACTAGTTTTTTTTGGCTTTCATCTTCTCTCATTGTCTTTGTGGTCGACATTATACAGACTTGGCAAATACGCCTTTCCCGCTCTCTCTCCCACCTGCAGCCTGAGAAAGACAAAACACGGAAATTCCAAAACGCCAGAAAAGCCCCTCTTTCTCTCCCTGCTCTCTTTTCTTTGGTGGTGGTTGTGCCTTCGGGGGCCCCTCTACAGATCTATAAAGATGAGCTGCTTTTTTTATGATGTGTTTTGAGTGAGCGGGGACTCCTGGGAATTTCAGCTGGCAAACATCCGGGCGCCTAGAAACAGCTGCTGGAACAGGCCTCCCCTCCGCCCCTGAATAAAACTTCAAACGGGGTAATGATTAACACCTCTGAGAAGCGTCCCGTGTGTGTGTGTGTGTGTGTGTGTGTGTGTGTCCTGCACGCTTCACTGCAGAGAGGCCAAACTGTTCCAAATGGATCCCAAATGTTTTTGTTTATATGGGTTCATAAAAGGAGTGAGAGGAAAATGTCCAGTCCACTTCAGCCAAGTCTAATCATTGTTATATTAGGGTCTGAGGGTCTAGTCAATCATTGAAAGTATATTATTAATGGGAGGCTCTGCAGGAGGTGCGGCAAGCTCAGCAGGAATACCATCACTGCTGCATCATGCAAGTTTATCTGTATAGCACAAGTCATACACAAGGCAACTGTAAGTGCTGAACAAAAAAAGATAGAATAAATAATAATAAAAGTACATTAAAAAGAAAGCTAAAACACAAAATCCCTCAGTTGTAGCACAGGTAAACGGAATTGTTTTAACCTGGATTTAAACATTGTCAGAGAGGAGGCCTGTCTCACTTTTTCAGGAAGATTGTTCCAGATTTTAGCAGCATGAATCTGAAGGGCTGCCTCCTCATGTTTAGTTCTGACTCTGGGACCAGCAGGAGGCCAGTCCCTGTGCTCCTCAGAGTCTCAGCAGGAGTCCAGTCCCTGTGCTCCCCAGAGTCCCAGCAGGAGGCCAGTCCCTGTGCTCCTCAGAGTCCCAGCAGGAGGCCAGTCCCTGTGCTCCTCAGAGTCTCAGCAGGAGTCCAGTCCCTGTGCTCCCCAGAGTCCCAGCAGGAGGCCAGTCCCTGTGCTCCTCAGAGTCCCAGCAGGAGGCCAGTCCCTGTGCTCCTCAGAGTCCCAGCAGGAGGCCAGTCCCTGTGCTCCTCAGAGTCCCAGCAGGAGGCCAGTCCCTGTGCTCCTCAGAGTCCCAGCAGGAGGCCAGTCCCTGTGCTCCTCAGAGTTGGTTCATATGGCACTAACATGTACTTTGGTGCTACAGAAGCCAGAGCAGAGACCTCATTAAAAGTATGAAGGGACAATAACATTAGCGTTGGTGAGAATGGCCAGTTACTAGCCTAACTGTTGCTAGCCTGTTGCTAGCCTAACTGTTGCTAGCCTGTTGCTAGCCTAACTGTTTCTAGCATAGCCACGGGAAAATCTTTGGGAACTATTTTATTTTCTGTCATTAAATAAACCTTTCGTCGGGGTCTGCTTCGCCCTGTCGGTACATTATCCCTTACATAGCAAAGTTTCCAAAGTGCTGCACAGAGATAAAAGTAACACATTTAACTATACAGGTCAGGCAGCTTTATATGTTTAAATAAATAAAAAAGTACAAGTAAAACATGATGTACACAGTAAAAAAAAACAATAAAGTACCCATTATCCAAATTAAAACTAATAAAAATGAAAGCCAAACTTACACTGTTAAACATACATCTCTTTCTCTTTAACAAACACATACAGTATCCCACACAGCTGTATTGGCACCTGTACTTCCAACTGAAACAGAAATCTCGAAAACAAAAACGTAAAATATGGAGTGGCGTCTTTAACGAGGCCCTGACCCAGAGAAGAACAAACACATCCGCACAGCGCTCAGGCCAAGAATCGCAGATTAGGACAATGTCAACAAAGCCAGCGGAACGACTCGCTTTCTTGTGCCATATACTTCCAAATATTATCCCGTCTCGAGGGCCACATGTGTTCAGCGTTAGCCACAGCTGACGGGGCCCGCAGACTCCTCCCCCTTTCTCTCTAAACGATATATGTGTCAGCGCGGCCTGTTTACTGAGCTCCCATCAGGCCTTTTACAGCCGAGACTTCTCCTAAACTGGAGCTCTATGAAGGCAGAGTTATTCAGAGGGTTCTCTCCAAACACGTCAGCTTCAACTGACACAAGGCAGGGTAGGTTTTTTTTGTATAGCGCAATTCATGCACAAGGAAAGTCAAAGTGCTGTGACAAAACAAGAAACTACAAGGCATTCAAATCAGAAATATTAGTACTTTAAAAACAATTAGAAATCCCTCTGTTTAATACACAGCTAAACTGTTTTAACCTGGATTTAAACATTGTCAGAGAAGAGGCCTGTCTCACTTTTTCAGGAAGATTGTTCCAGATTTTAGCAGCATGAATCTGAAAAGCAGCCTCCCCATGTTTAGTCCTGACTCTGGGACCAGCAGGAGTCCAGTCCCTGTGCTCCTCAGAGTCCCAGCAGGAGTCCAGTCCCTGTGCTCCTCAGAGTCCCAGCAGGAGGCCAGTCCCTGTGCTCCTCAGAGTCCCAGCAGGAGGCCAGTCCCTGTGCTCCTCAGAGTCCCAGCAGGAGGCCAGTCCCTGTGCTCCTCAGAGTCCCAGCAGGAGTCCAGTCCCTGTGCTCCTCAGAGTCCCAGCAGGAGGCCAGTCCCTGTGCTCCTCAGAGTCCCAGCAGGAGGCCAGTCCCTGTGCTCCTCAGAGTCCCAGCAGGAGTCCAGTCCCTGTGCTCCTCAGAGTCCCAGCAGGAGTCCAGTCCCTGTGCTCCTCAGAGTCCCAGCAGGAGGCCAGTCCCTGTGCTCCTCAGAGTCCCAGCAGGAGGCCAGTCCCTGTGCTCCTCAGAGTCCCAGCAGGAGTCCAGTCCCTGTGCTCCTCAGAGTCCGGGCTGGTTCATATGGCACCAACATGTCACTAATATATTTTTATATTCTTATGTTTAAACAAATGTAAGTCACTGTGGGGATACGTATGCTAAACAAATAACCTTTACAACAATAGTATTTTCAGAGAGTATGAAAACAAGGAAAAGCTCTGTATTGTATCTGTATTCACAATATTGACTGAATTTCATAAAATAATAATATCTCACAACTCTGTACACTTAGTTGATAACCTGCACCGTTATATGTCTGTTGTGTGCATCTATAAATCAAAATCATATGAAGATTTTTGTCTATGCCTTTGTCTAATTTATCACGCCATATTCCGAAGTAAATTCCCAGTTTGTAGCTTCCTGTTACTTACAGTGGAAATGAAAGAATTCTGCATGTCTTTTCTTTTTCCTTTCTCTCAAAATGTGGACAACACGAACGTTCCACCGCCACATAAATCTGAGGCCGACCACGGCTCAAACGGAGCTGGAAAAGTAGATGGTGGTTTGATACAGAGTGATCTACGACATAAGCCTCAAACCCTGGAGAAGAGAGATGGCTGTAATCTCTGGAATATGAGCCTCACAGCACTTTGTTCATCTCTTTTCAACATGACTCCCACATCATTAAAACCTCCAATGCTCCGTGTGGGCCGGTCCGGACCAGGTTATGAGTGTTTTGGACTCCCCTCTTCCTCTCCAGCTGCAAACCTTACATAGAATAGACATGTTTTTCATCCAAATATTACCCCGGGGAGAGAGCTCTTCTACTCTGCGCTTTCAAGAGACAAACATTTTCATGACAAAAATACTGTTTTAATGCGAGAAAAAGCGATCGCAAAAAACCCTGAAGTAAATTTTGGGAAATTTTAGGAACATTTGCAGTGGATCAAATTATGGATTTAGGCTAAGTTTATGTTTGGGTCACTCACCGCTGATGTTCAGGATTCTTTGTTCAGTTTTCATGCAGTTCCAGAGAGTTCTAGTTTGGAAGTTGCTAGCATAACTGTTATGAGCCTAACTGTTACTAGCCTAACTGTTACTAGCCTAACTGTTGCTAGCCTAACTGTTATGAGCCTAACTGTTACTAGCCTAACTGCTACTAGCATAACTGTTACTAGCATAACTGTTACTAGCCTAACTGTTACTAGCCTAACTGTTACTAGCATAACTGTTACTAGCCTAACTGTTGATTGTCTTTTTGGCGACTTATGGTCTTTAAAATGAAGCTAAAGGTGGAAGCCTCTCCCTCGCTGTCTCGAAAAACATGGATATCTACCATGGGTTGACATTAACAATCTAGTGCAAGGGTGTCAAACCTCAAAAGACTTTTAAGTGGCTGCATGACTTCATTCCATCCAATAAGGAGTACCACCAGACTCCCCCCATTCCCTCAAGTGAAACTTTGAGAAAGGGTGAGTCTGCATTGCTCCCTGCATGGTTGGAATGAAATTCTGCAAACTCCGCCCTTTCTAGAACCAGTTGACACCGCCTGAATTAGAGCAATCAACGCTTGACACCATCGTCAGGGTCCCGAATTACACAAAATGCTCATAACGTGGTTAGTTGAGGAAAGCATTTTACAATGTGGCACATCTCTGATATTAACAATCGTAAATTATTGCGTTTAACGCACATAAATCATTGTTTTTCATTAATCGCGTTTAAAAATGTTTACTTTTGACGCATGTCATACGAACCCCCCATGTTGTGCTGAGTCTGTTGTGAACCTGTGCACAAGAAATAAACAGCAAAGCTGCAACTATGGACCTCAGGAAGTGGTCCCGAGACTCCTCCCGAAACGCAACTAAACTCACTATTAAAGCTGGGTACCTAATTTTATCCACAGCCATTATGAACAGAGAAAAAGAAAAAGAGGAGGCTAAGCTGAAGCGACTATGTCAAGAGAAAAAATAGTGTCTAACTACAGAAAGAACATAAATTAATAATTTTAAAGCATATACTGTATGTAGTTATAGTTGCTATAATAAACAATACAGGACATAATACAGTAACACTGACTGTTGTCATTTATCTTTCCATTCAAACAGCCATTTACCAGAAAAATTAAGCATAATTTTTATAGTGATAAGCACATAATTATGCTGTAATTAAACTCAATAAAAAAATAAATTGTTAGACAGCCCTAATCGTTATACAAATGTACAAACCTGGTTGGTGTCTTCACTAACCCTACCCGACTGAAAACCCTGTAGAAACAATCACAAGAGAAAAAACTCTTGTACCTACCCCATTTGCAGTAAACACGGCAGCATTTCGAGGGGTCAGACGTCCAGTTCTATTGCATTCTTGTTCTAATGCGCCATGGAGAGGCAAGTAGGTGTAGATAGCTTTAAATGTGGATGTGGTTATTATCAAAAGATTGAACAGCAAACAAAATTTGTGCTATGGATCGCACTTTGTTGTGATTAACATGAAATACAAACATTGGAATAAATATGGACCTTGTTTATCTCTATATTGAAAAATAAATGAAACAATTATCAGCCAATTGCGACAAAATGTATTATTCTACAATAGCTAACAAACCATGCAACAGTTACCTCTGATTGTTGTGACTATCCACAGATCTGCCTTAACATCTTGTGCTCCCAATTTCTCATAGGGGTGTATTAATTAGATTGGTTTGAATTGTATCTTTTGTGTTTAAATCAGCTCAGGTCTGCGGATCCACTCGCGCATTGGAGACTGGCTTTGTAGCAAAAACCATCTCTCTGCTTCAAATTACACTCAGCCAATTTTCCGCTAATCCTCATTTGGTAAGTTTCTATTCAAATCTATACCTCTAAATAATTAACCGGGTTATCTCACAAGAGCTGGATGAATATCAAAACTACACTGCAAAACGGATTTCAGTTGAGGAATTTACTCTTATAGCTATCAGGTAAATTATAATCAGGTATTGCATGTGAATACTGATACTCTCAAATATTAAGGATAAACTATAATACGCAGGTCAACTATAACGAAAATAAGTACCGACCGGGCGAAGCGGACCCCGGCTCGCAGCAGGGGTCCTGCTTCCGCCTGAAGGTACTTATTTTCCGATAATGACCTGCTAATAAACCTTTATCCCGCTATATACTGCTTATAACCAACAGAAACACACCACATAAACTTCATCGACTTTAGAATGCCGAAAAGTTTATTTTAATGAAAATAAAATAAAATAGTTCCCAAAGGTTTCCCTGGCAATGCTAGAGCAACCAGTAGGCCTGCAACTTCCAAACTAAACTCCCTGGAACTCATGAAAACTGAACAAAGAATTCTGAACATCACGTGAGTGACCCATACAAAACCTAACCTAAATCCATAATTCGATCCTCTGAAAATGTGTCAACAATGTGCGTATCTAACTTCCGGTTTTTCGGATCGCCTTTACTCGCATTACACAGTGTTTTTGACATGAAAACGTAAACGGAAAATTCTAAAACTCCATGCACACTGTATTAAGACTGGATATTATAAAGTACTCTCGATTAACATTTCATTGCTTGAATGATGGCATTTGCGTTTAATTGAGCGCCGAAGCTACATCGGTTTTTCACGATCCTTTTTGACGCAGAGAAATATATTTGTCATGAAGACAAGAACCAAAAATTCTAAAAATTACGTGCACGTGTGGACGAAATAGATATTATAATATTCTCTAGTAACTTGAAGTGTGTTGATTGAGCGTGGCTAGCTCCGGATGGCCGGAACTACTTGCGAGTTATCCACGATCTGAAAACAAGCAAGAGTGCGTTGCATGCACGTCATTAAAGTTTTGAAGGTCAGTTATAAAACATATGAACCGTAGAACTTATGAAAATTAATTCAACTCATTGGAGCAATCTACGCTGCTGTGAGGAGCCGTATAATAAAGTATATAATAAGTACCACTAAAGATGCTTTCTAAATATTGATGCTGCTCTAAAGGCTACACATAATGATCCCAGCAATCTAACAATAGCAGTAATAGATTCATGCCTATTGTAACACTTTTATTTTGCTTTTTACTTGCTAGCTTTGCACAATATATTTTGTAAAAATACCTGCACTCACAGTAGTTCTATTGCTTGATGGCACCAACACAATTATTACAATCTCCATTGTTTCATTGCACAATATGTCGCAACTCAATCTCCAGGCTGACCCAGCATATCTGTTTTTAGTGTTGCCATCCATTTCTGTGTGGGTTCCTCCAGGGCTCTCTTTCCCCAAAAGCCAACTAATATATGCTTTAAAGGTATTTGTTCTTCTAAACCAGACTTTGCTAATTTTACCACTATCTGGTATAAGAAAGTCAAATACTACTAAAAAACAAGTATGAATCTTCCTAAACTCTACTTGCGTCCTGAGTAAGGTAAAGAGCGACTAACACCTGTGACCAGCCTCCGCCCACATGAACATTGAAAAATTTTCTCTTAAAAGGCGTTTGCCCTGGAGGACCAAGGACAAGAAGTGCTTAGAGTTGGGCGTGTCTGGCTGTATTGACAGCTCATTAACACACGAAAAAAAAAAAACAGTGTCATTGCGCCATAAACGGTAGTTTACAGACAAGAAAGTCTCTTCCACCATTTTACACACTAAAATATTTGTAGAGCTACACACCTGGGGCCGATTCCTAAAGATTCTTAAGTGCTAATAGTTGCTCCTAGTGGCCCAAATCCTAAGAATTTTCTTAAATCTTGACCAACTCTTTAGAATTCCCCTAAAATGAGGAGTAGCTCTAGTTAAAAAAAGCGATTTTATCCGAAAGAATCCTAGCTCTTAAGAGTGCTCCTAAGGTGAGATTCCCGTAAACGAGTTGAGAGGCGCCTTTAGCGACATTAAAGTTCCCCTAAGAACAAAAAGGTGACGAGAAATATTCTATACACTGGATGACAGTGAATCACTAAAACGCTGCAGATTGGATCCTGCAGGAATCATGTTTAAAAGTCAATCATGTAAAGGTCATCATGTACAAATATACAGTTTTGTTTTATTAACAGCAATCCAGTTCAAAAAGGAGTGTGAAGAAGTTAATACTTTTAAACTCCCACCCTCTATTTATCATTCTAAATTAACTTAAATAGTGTGGTTGCTACAGCTTAGTTTATTCCATGGTGTATTTACAGTTATGCAACAGTGACATTCACAATAACATGCACTTTAATTGTGCATGTATAAAATGCTTATATTAATATTTTTTCCTTAATTCCCTTTACGTCTTTCAGTATCACAGCCTTTACTAATCCTAATGTTACCATAATCCTCTATATATAAGTGCTCATGTTATATAGGTTTGTTAAATATGTGTGATAAATTGGTGCTGAGCAAGCTCTAATGATGGGGTGTAAGTTAGACAATATTAGTAAATACATCTGACTTTCTACCTTTTCTGATTATTACAATGACACAGTACTCCTAAGATTAGATTCTATGATTGAGTTTGTCCATTAGAGGATCCTTATTTTGCCCATTATCAAAAATATGGTTTCTCTAACTTTTAGGATCAACCAATCACAGCGTCTGAAATGATGACTCATACCTAGCAACGGGGTCGGCCACGCCTCCTCACTAAGATAAGAGTTGTTGTCAATTCCTTGCTCAGAGTTCTCTAAGAGTGTTCTGGAATAACTTTTAAGCTAAGACTCCTAGCTAGGAGTTTTTATGTTAAGATAGGAGCTCTCTGAGAGGACTCTTAGAATCTTTAGGAATACGGCCCCAGGTCTGAGTCCATTATCTAGATTTCTGACCCGATTTTTATGTTTCAAGTGGATGGATTGAAGATAATTTGACAGAATGTCTCTTTGCTTTTGGGGACGAATAAATAAACAAAACACATTCAAAAAGATGCATTTATTTAATTTAAAACACTCAAAAAGATAATAAATAACATCAAATACCAAAAAATAATCAAGATTACTTTACAATCACATGACATTTAGGTCATCGTTTTGCATGATTTTGTCCCAGAAGAAGAATCAGAGGAAAAGTCTTAACTCACGGCGTTCAGACCGAGAGAAACAACTTTGTTACAAACTACTAACCAGCAGGTGATGCCCACACCACCTGGAAGAGAAGAGGATGTTATTGTTGCATAAAGACTTATTAAATGTAGGTATTTAACAGAGACCCTGTTACCTGCTACTCCTGTAGGGAATGCAACCAGGCGCTCCACAGGAGCAATCCACCGACTGGGGACCACAGTGACGGGGTCAGAGTAATACTTCCAGATCAGGGAGATCATCAGAGCGCCCTGAAATCAACACACATCCAAGATTATTAATTAAAGGCGGCAATCAACAGTCTGAAACGAGGCCCAAGCTATAAAAGAGGGCGTAATTAAAACAGTGCTAAGTCAGGGTTTCTGGAACGTTTATCCTGAATTTAATGCTCAGTTTCACCAACACGCTGGTCCGTAGAGTCAGGGTGTTAGAGCGGGTACTTCAAATTATTAAGGTAACTTGCAAACATTGATGTAAGAGGCCTATACGGGTTAGAGCCAATTCTTTAAAATAAAACCACATTTGTTTGTTTGAATGGGACAGTGTGTCGTAATGAACAGCAGATGCTCCAAATACACCAGAAAGTATCATGGGCTAATTTCCATCCCTCTTCTCACAATTCCACTCAAACACTCATTCACCCTTTACTATCGGACATGGTTTCAGTGGTAGGGGACGCAAAACACCAGAGTTCTCACTGACTACATTTACTAACATCCAGAACTCAACATTGTGATTTCTAGTTTTTATAAGTCCCGCCCAATCTCAGCCTTGGAATACTCAAGAAAATTCCTTTCCCCTGGCCACTATGACAAGAAGGATCCGAATCGGTCAATAATGTCAAGAAACAGTATGGAAAGGGACCTCCAGGGGGCCCCAATCCTAAATGTATCATATAAGGAGAGGGTATTGCTGCATAAACTAATCTACAGCTTTGACAAGGCCCCCGCCACAGCCCTGAAGCTTACATTTGCATTTACATGTTGATTAAAACTCTGAGTGGAGTTTGCATGTTCTCCCCATGTCTGCGTAGGTTTCCTCCGGGTACTCCGATTTCCCCTACCACTAAAAACATGTACAATAGTTCTGGCATGCGCCTCCTGTACTGGCGACCCCGCTCCCATCTCTGTGTGGAGTGAGAGACAAATGCCCACAACAATTGTAAACAGCTTTGTGACTCTGGTCTGTGGAAGGCAGTATATAAATAAAGATTACTTACTAAAACAAATCATCCTCAGCCGACAGAAACTACAGCTTTTACTAAAGGTCGGAATATGTCGGGATTTTAGTGCCCCTTGTCATCTTGAACTTTTTTCTATAAATACACATTTTTGTGCAATAAACTTAATTCACTCTAGTTCTGCAAATCTGACCACTGAGTGTAGTCCTTGGAACTAAGTGTCAGTAAAAGAGTCATACCAATTTCAAAATCAGAAAAATATGTTCAAGTTGTGGACATAAATGAATACAAAATTAAAATAAACTTAAAGGCATTTCAAATTGAACCAATTAGCTTACCTGTACAATATAAAAGACTATGTTCACAAACCACTTCATCTTGGCCTGGTGTCCAGTTCGTGATTTCACTACAAAAAAGAAACATATTTATCAAAGTGATTTCTTTGCTTCACACTGCTGCAGAGAAAGTATTGAAGTAGCCCATCACATTCATCGTTACAGACTGCTCTGGGAAGTAGGACCTGTCGTTTGCAGATGCGTTTGTGGGGACTTTAATCAGAGACTTCCCATTGTGCATTGGTCAAGTTGAACTGTGTGGAGTCGTAAGCTGACAAGCACACATGCAGTAGAGCGGCTTCATAGTAAATCTGAAGACTTCAGTGTCATTAACAGTCACCTCTCTGGCTTCTTACCAAGGGCGTAGGTTTGCGTGGGGACCATGGGGACATGTCCCCACCAATATTTGGTGAGGACTAAAAAGTCCCCACCAAAATGACATGATGTCCCGTGACCCGGACGGTCCGGGAGACATGTCTTCCGTTTGTGCACACGTCGCGCCTCCTCCTCGCCTCCAGAGCAACAGCAGCAGCAGCAGCACGTGACCCGTTCCGTTCTCTGCAGTGATTGGCTGTCTTCTTCAGCGCCAAACTGAAGCACTGAGCGACTGTTTAATTTTTTTAAGTTAGCCAGCGTGAAGCAAGTGTTTTTTTTCGTTCCCTGAGCGTTGTAGCACGTGAGTAATCAGAGGAAAGTACTGTAGATCTATTACCATTCAAAGTACTTACGTTATTTCTAATCTGTCAGCGCACTGTTTAATGTCCCGAGGAGCTCACACGGCACAGAGACAGAACAGAACTGGCTCCAATAAAGAAACAGGTTGGTTGAAAGGCTGAAAAAATACTTATTGTGCTCTTACTATCCAAAATGTATAAGTGGGTGTGTTGTGTGAATCAGGATAAACTAGGGATGAAAATATTCCACGGATCCACGATTTACAACCTTTATCTGCTGATAATGTAATTTCTGTGAAATGTGTGACAGCGGGCACTTGCTGTTATTTGCTCTAAGCACATTCAAGAGATGCACTCGAATGTGCACGTCCTGGTGCAGCTGCTGCCGCTTTGTAATGACAGCCGCGGCGCTCAGTGAAAGCACCGCTCTAACATGGTACCGAGCTCGGACCATATGCAGACAGAACCATGTCGCAAGTGCGGGTCTCCCTCGTATCTCCCCCGTTTCTCCCCTGTGTCTCTGACATGTCTCTCCCCTGACTCTTCCCAAAGCGCAACCAGCGCTCCCGAAATTAAAGCTCGGATACCTAAATTTTCCATTGCGTTAACGATGCATGCTGGTTGTGCGCAAAACACACCACAACAGGTCATTTAAGTTTTTATTTTGCTTGAGAGCCCTGTGAGTCATTACTTGCCTTTTTGGGTTGAGAGTGGAATAAAAAAAAGAAAATATAGAAAAATCCACACTGTTACTTATTGCCAAACTCTTGTTAACTCATTGTATTGAGAAATACTATGTAACTTTTGACATTGGCCAAGTTATATAAATGATTCTGCAGTTCATGTATATGAATGTCTGTTTTTGATTTTCTATACCTTCTTATATAATTTAGAAAAAATGCCACCTCCACAAAAAAAGATAAAAGATATCAGGAGCTTTTTTAACAGTTGGAAAGTAAGTAAGAGAAAGCACAAGTAATAGCAAATTATGAATTGTGATGATTAATCTTCTGTTAACATACATAGGAAACTCAACCAACAAGAGAGAACAATATAGGGAATGTTGAGGTAGAAGCAACAGGCCCTTCAGTGCATCAGGCGAGGTTGGAATTTTGTAGGTATGCATGGGACTATGAATTGTTTTTAGAGATTGATCGTATATGTCAAACAATGTAGTGAGCTACTCACTGTAGATTCTAATTCAATATTTTCTCCTCTGACTATTAGAACAAATCCTTAACTGCTTCTCATTCAGTCTACAGCTGAGTTTAGTATAGAAGGCAACACACTATTGCAAATATAGTGTGTGATTACACAACAAATTCTGGGGGAGAAACTCTGGACCCCGTGTCAATGGGTGTAGACTCAGGTCGTAGTGAATGTCCCCACCAAGATTGGAACCAAACCTACACCATTGCTTCTTACCATGTGTTTTCAGCTGATCTGTCAACTTGTTGATTTTGCGCTCCAGCCGTGCATATCTGGCAAATTCATCCATCATACTTATGGAGAATTGCTCCCTCTTAAGATTCTGAATTTCAGCTCTCATTTCACTTTCTTGGTCAGCATCCTTCTGCAGCATTTTAGACAGCTAAAGAAAAGAACAACACACCCATTATAACAGATGATCGTTTTGTTTGTGCATGTAAACAATATTTTACTTTCCTAGTATTCATTTGTTGAAGTGCATTATAAAACATGTGTCCTCCTAGTCCTGATTCTGCTTGGTAACCATAGATGGTGAACAACTTAATTACCTAAAGTCAATAATAAGATCAGATAAAAAAAAAAAAACGTATTGATGTATGCAGTACAATCTAGTGTAACATTGTGCACAAATTAATGAAATAAATAAAATCTGGATAAAATAATATATACAGTCTATGGGTAAAGTTGTCAACTATGGGCACGGTAAAAAAAACACAAAAAACTATAATATTTGAGTTCCATAATAAGGCATTCATGCGGTTTTCCCAGTAAAACAATAACAGCAATCCAATCCCCCAGTAACATAATTCCTCTGTAAATACTCATCGCATTGTAGTAAAACATCAAAAATCGGCCTTGCAGCGTAAACACCGTAAACATCCAGCCAGCAGCATTGTAGCTACAGCTAGCATAACACAGCCAATTGTGCTAACCATGAATTTGCACAAACACTTCACGATCGTGCCAAACTCTCAACACTGGTTAAACAAAACGCCATACTCACAATCGAAGAAATGGAGGGAAGAAGTGCTTTCATTAAGTTGCACACAAACACTGAACACAGCACTAGGAGCCATGCGTAAGCCGCCGCCATCTTTGTTTCCCTTCCTCCACAGTGCGCAGCAGCAGCCCCGGCTTTGATCCAATGATCCGTGATGCCAATTTAACTCACCCTGCTAATTAATGAGTGACTTATTGATGTTTTCTCGCCCATGTTTTTGACTTCGCATGCAATTTTTACAACCACGTCCAGAACAGGCACCCGCAACATACATTAACGTGTATATATATAGCATACATTTCAAGTAGCAAGCGTTTTAATAAGTATATATGTTTAATAAATACAGCATTATGAGTGTGGGGGTTGTGTTTCGTCATGTAGAATTGTTAATGTTATTTCAAATATGGTGTAGAAGGGGTTAGGGACAAAAGCCCGGGCTTGTGTGGCTGTGATTGACAGCTGCAGGGGCCACACAGGTGAGCGTTTGTAGTTTGAAAACGTGAGGCCGCGAGGGTCTGGCCAATCAAGGAACGTTGGGGGCGGGTGGAGGCTCTCCTGGCTGAGGTGATAGGTTGTGGGATTAAAATATACCGCGAGGCTGTCCAATCCGGTTCGAGCTGGTTCTGGTATTGCCAGGACGTGTGGCTGAAGTAGCGCGGAGTCCTCGGGAGGTGCTTTATGCTGAGGTGTCTCTTCACGTACACTTTATCCACAGCTGCGACTGAAGACTCCATTGTCCTTGTCCTCACACCACGAACCTGAGCCACAATGCCGAGGAAGAAAGTGAGTGGATGTTGTGATATTTACTAAACATTTGCAGTGGAGAGTGTGGTGTTTTTGCGCCTCTGCTGCTCAGGTCTGTCTCTGTTGATTCTGTGAAAGTGGCGCCTTTTCCCTCCGCAGGCGCGCCATGCTGCTGTGTGGGGAAAAGGTCCTGAAATTCATATAATCAGGATAATGTTAGTTTTAAAGGTCGTTTTTCGTGTGGTGTTTTTGTTAGTTCAGAACAAAGGGGAGCGAGCCCGTCTCCAGGCGCTTTCACTTTCTTGCACCATGCCCGTCGAGAGAAAACACATTTTTAGGATTCGCATGCTTTTTCTGTTAATATTTGTTCATGCATGGAAGATTTGTTTGGTTATTTATTTTTTTAAGCTCACGTGCATTGTTAATGTTTTTCTTCCAACTTCGTCTAAGAATATTTCGAGGTTTTTGTTTGAGAAGGCGGGAACACGTCTCATTTATCTGGTAAAGGTTTTCCGTGGGCCTAAAGCTATGATTCCTTTTGCTCAGCAGTGTTCCTGGAGCCGCGGAGCAGCCTTTGCTGCACCACTGTACAAACACGCTCCTTGTGTTCGCGTTTAGCCGTTTGTTCGATTACTTAGTATCTAGAGCTCGGTTCCCACGTGGTTTTAATGTTAAGTACTTTTCCTTTTCGATTTTCAAACAAAATCCATTTGGTATGCCACGCTTTCTTCGAGATTGAACGATTCATTTTGTGACTAAAGGGAGAGGAGTGCCCATCCCCCTCTGCCTCACACACCCACTTTTGCTCACTCATGTATGGAATTATTTATTTAGGTCTTATTCTCTTTTGTTCCTTTCCATAGTCTACCGGTGACGCTGATGCAGCTGTAGAGGTACGTATCACAAACACTGATGCACTTTTCTAGTCCTCGTGGAAGGAAACATGACCAACTGTGACCCAAATGAACATTTTGTTCTTAGCACATGTCTACACATTATGCAATGCCCCACTTGGTGCACAATCTTTGTTAAAGTCATTAAAGGCCATTCCACCGACTTCTGTTACATAACATAAACTGGAGTAGTTAAATTCACGATTTTAAAAAACGCATAAATGCATTAAAAGCAGCCTTCGAGATCTTTGCACTTTCACCTGTAGAGGGCGCCAGAACTCTAGGTTTAGGGTTTAGGATTATTTTTTTTAACAGTTTGAAAACATGTTTCAAACTGAACTCACAAAAATAAGATGTTCATCTATTAAGATTTCTTTGTTCTTTTTGCAGCCCAGAAGAAAATCAGCCAGATTGACAGAGGTAAATCTTGTCTGAATATTCAAAACACTTTCAGTACTTGAATTGTAAATCTAAACCAAGAATCAATGTCTTCTGCAGCAGAAACCACCTGAGCCTGCTGCGCCAGAAAAGAAAAAGGTATGACAAACACTATGCTCCAAAACATTAAACTGCGTTTATTGGCTCGGAATACTTTTTACATGAATCTTGGCCTCGTATTGAATTGATTTGAAATATCCAGGGCATCTAAAATATGTATATTGAGTTTTTCCTCTTTTAATGTTTAAAGACTCCAGCTAAAGCAAAGAAGGTGAAAGATACAAAGGCCAAGCCAAAAGAGAAGGAGCCTGAGGTGGAAGAAGAAGAGGAGGAAGCACCTGCCCCAGCAGAAAACGGAGACTCTAAAGCTGAGGTACGGGTTTATTTACTCACGCACCATCCATGGGAAATAAACTATTTCTAACTGATTATGTGTCTTTAGGAGGCTGCACCAGAGGCCGAGGCTGAAGCTGACGAGAAAGAAGATGGAGCTGAGGAGGAGGATGACGAAGAAGAGAAAGCGGCTGAATAAGTCCTCGATGTCACACGCCACCCTCTTCCTTGTTTGTAGGCAACACAGAGAATCTCTATTTTCTTAAAACGTCAGTGTTTTTAGGACATTTTAACTACAAAAACATTTGTGGTTTCAGTGATGGGAAGTTTTGTGTTGTTAATACTTCTAGCTTTGTGGCCTTAGATTTTAAGTTTTTAAATTTGAAATCTGTCACCGAACTAGGAAACGTGGTTGAGGGCATTCCAGAGGTGGTATTTTTGTAACCTGTAATGTTTTTGATTTTAATACATTCATCACTATTCCAGTGTGTTTTTTTAGAATCATTGTAAGGTGAAATGTTTTCTTTTTTTTTTTGGCAATCGTTGAATTGTATTGAACTGGAGGTAGGGTTTCATATAATTGTATTTTTATACTTTTGTGAGCATTAAAGGAATATGCACAGGTGCTGTGAAACCAATATTTTTCTTTGCAATCATTATGGTACATTCAAGAATGAACTGCATGTTCTCAACTGTGCCTGAAATGTATTAGTTAATGTCTTGTCCTATAAGGATCTTATTCAGGGAATTCCTCTGGTTATGGGGTTTCTCTCTAACAATGTACAATTTCAAATAAAAATGTTGGAACAAAATGCTACTGCTTTTCATAATATACATTTATCTGACCTTGCCAAGTAAGATATTAAAACTACTCAAGAGCCAGTTTGGACTAGATAGTTTTCAATTAGTCCTTGTGACAGGTGCAAATGCTATTGAAGGCGAAGATTAATTACTTATAAAACTACACAGTGTAAGGCTAACGCTGAAACCATGAATGACGTCATTGGTAGAACTTGCGGCCTCGAGCGTCGCGTTGCGTGAACATAGTGTGATATGATTTAAACCTGAGACTAGTTCATTTAAAATAAAGAGAATAAGTGATATAAAGGCACTTGTCGCTGTGAGGCTGGCACATTAGGTCTTTTGTTGCTCTTCCCCTCCCCCTGGTTCCTGTGCCTTCTGCTCTGGCGGAAGTGAGTGTCTGAGGCCTCATCCTTCCAATGGCGACTGCAAACAGACTCAGCACAGAGAGAGGGCTGATGTGGAGGCGTCCGGAGCTCTGGAGCTACCCGCACTAACTCTAAAGCCTTTCACACACCGCCGCAAACTCTGAGGCGAATCCATCTCAACTCTCTAACGAAAGGCCGGTTCCATGGCCAAAAATCTGAACATTTCGCTCCTTGAGACGGGTAAGCAGCTGAAGTCAAGCCTGTAGTCCGGTGTAGTTCGTTAACACACTTGCTCTAATTGATACAGTTCGTTACTATAGTCGCTAATGACCGTGGCTTTGTTGTATTGCAGAGCTGTATTATCTAGTATCTCGCTTCTTAACCACGGGTCCCTGTCGGAGAGCAGCTGAGGTGAGCTGGCATGTCTTCACTGCAACTCTGTCATTCTAAATAATAAACATATAATAATCGCCTTAATACACACGTTCATATCTGCAACCTTTTTATCATCTGTAGGTTCTAGCCCAAGAATTAGAGGAATTCCAGGTGTGTATATTGCTTTGCCTGGCTTCTGCCCTTGTCTCTGTGTTACCAGTGTGGGTGTTAAAACTTGTGTTATGACTTTCCCCGTTATTCGTAAATATTTTTGGGATGTATCTGGGATCAAACCAGGTTGGCGTCTTGCAGCCTAGCTTTACGTAGCTAATGTTGGTTCTCCACAGCTCTTGCCAGGGAGATTGGACTGGCAGGGGACAGCACACTCCAGATCCTACGAAGATGTGGTGAGAAAGAAGTTTCCTTAATGTTTGTTTGGTTATTGTGTGACAGACGTGGTGCACGCGCTCTGCTGTTTACGCTCTTTGTTCTCCTCTGACCACTTCCTGTGTCCGCGTGCCACTCGCTAACCCTCATTCTCATATTTAGACTTATACAGGCTCGTCCTCACTTGGATTACTTTCCCAATATCCATGTTTTAGCGTAGTCTGGAGGTTAAACAATATTTAGCCCGACAGAATGCGGATAGGGTGGGCTGTAGGCTCCTGTGTTGTCGACTCGGCTTCTGGCCAATCAGAGAGCGAGATATTCTGTCACTGCACTATTTTGCATGTGAACTGCGCGCTGATTGGCTGAAAAATAGCGTTATCAGAAATGGACCCCGCCTCTGTTGAAACTGCACAAAAGTCCAGAAACATGTCAACGGGAGATGCACTAGAGGATTTTTGCTTTTTTTTGTATTACCTGTGAAAGTGTGTCATCTGTCTGTTTATGAAACATAGATAGATAGATGCTTTATTAATCCTTGTAGGAGAAATGCAGGTGTTCAGGAGCAGCAGAAACACATGCATACAAACAAAACAAATAAATGCATAACAATAGTTTTAAAATGCAGCAGCACTTTAGGTCACAGGTTTGAGATTCAGATTAATTTTATTTGCCATCTGCTGTATAAAAACCACATTGGAATCCATTTGCAAAGATAGAACTGTGTGCATCAACAGAATAAACAGCACAATACAATGTACTATAGAATAAAATACACATACACTGAACATGAATAAAAACAGCTGACACTGTGGCACCGATCGACAAAAACTGATACAAGGGGTGAAAACAACAATTAAAGTTGTTTGTTCAGACACCTAACAGCTTGTGGAAAGAAGCTGTTAGGAAAGCGAGTTGTCGTGCATCTCAGCGACCGATATCTTCTGCCCGAGGGAAGAAGCTGGAACATGGCTTTACTAGGGTGGCCAGAAGAGTCATTGATGATTTTAAGAGCTCTGTTTAAAAGTCTGGATTTATGAAGAACCTCCAGAATAGACAGCTCACAGTCCTCCCTCTGGTCGGTCTCTCTCTGGTCTCACAGCTCAAAATCGTCTCTCTGATCTCTCTCTGATCTCTCTCTGGTCTTTCTCTGGTCTTTCTGGTGTCTCTGGTCTCTCTCTGGTCTCAGTCGTCTCTCTCTGGTGTCTCTCTGGTCTCACAGCTCACAGTCCTCACCCTGGTCTCTCTCTGGTCTCTCTCTGGTCTCTCTCTGGTCTCTCTCTGGTCTCTCTCTCTGGTTTCTCTCTGGTCTCACAGCTCACAATCCTCTCTCTCTGGTCTCACAGCTCACAGTCCTCACTCTGGTCTCTCTCTGGTCTCTCTCTGGTCTCACAGCTCAAAGTCGTCTCTCTGGTCTCTCTCTGGTCTTTCTGGTGTCTCTGGTCTCACAGTCGTCTCTCTCTGGTATCTCTCTGGTCTCACAGCTCACAGTCGTCTCTCTCTGGTCTCACAGCTCACAGTCCTCACCCTGGTCTCTCTCTGGTCTCTCTCTGGTCTCTCTCTGGTCTCTCTCTGGTCTCTCTCTGGTCTCTCTCTGGTCTCTCTCTGGTCTCTCTCGGGTCTCTCTCGGGTCTCTCTCGGGTCTCTCTCGGGTCTCTCTCGGGTCTCTCTCGGGTCTCTCTCGGGTCTCTCTCGGGTCTCTCTCTGGTCTCTCTCTCGTCTCTCTTGTCTCACAACTCACAGTCCTCTTTGCAGACCGGAGCACCTTGTTTTGAGCTCTCCTTTCTTTGTCTGTAATGTTTCCGAACCGCACAGAACAGACATGCCAACTTTCAATGGTGCAGCAATAAAGGTTAAGCAGAATCATAGAGTTCGTGGAAAATTCTCTAAGTTCCCATAAAAAGAAGATCCGCTGACGAGCTTTCTTAACGATCTGATTCGTGTTTTTGTCCCATTCGTGATATTGCATCATACTTTTGTCTCATGTGTGATTAGTTTTCACACGTTTACTAGAGAGTGTGCTTAACTGAGCTTGTTCTGTTTTTATAACAGGTGGCAGCCAACAGACATATTGCTCCTGACCATTTGCTTAAGATATGTCAACAAATTGGACCACTTCTTGACAAAGACGTGCCATCATGTGTCCCAGGCGTCCACTCACTCCTGGGCTCAGGGAAGCAATCCATGCTTCGGACAGCAAAAGGTGCTCACCGCGGCAGTTTTAAATGATTAACAGGATCCTTTTAAACCTTGTATTTGTGTAACAGGCTTCTCTTTTCGTTTTAGAATGCGAGAATGTGCGGTTTACAGTGTCATCATATGCAGCCCTCCACCGGGGACGACCACCAGAGAAGCCTTTGAACTACAGAAAACCCTCACCTCTTGGTAAATAAGATGTCCCCTAATCCCCCAGAAACCTCTATGTAGTGCATTTCTTTCCAAACGGCATTTGTCTATACAGTGTCATTAAATCTGATGCACAAGACTCTGTTATTAGTAAACATTTGTACCCACTTTTCTGACACGCTGTTTTACATTGACCTTGGGGTTGAATATACAGAACAGATCAGTGGCTTGTACACGACAAAGAGAAGAGACTGACGGTTAAAGAGCTGTAAAGTTCTTTAAGGTTCGGGGTACTCCATAGACAGAAGCATATGCATTTTGGCACTAAACCCCAGACCCCTGTTTTGTTTTTACTTATTAGCCAGTCTCTGATCTCTCTCAGTGTTACATGGACTATTGAAATAGGTTTGATCCCCTGATGTACTCACTTCTGTACAAGAACTTCTATTATTATAACACACCTCTCAGCAATGATTGTACATCGGGCTGTGCTCTGCAATATGTCAGAGGAGGAGAGTCCATGTGCTTTTGGTTTAATTCAAAGTAGTTTAATTTACCGAGATAATAATACATTTTCTCAGTTAGTTTTGAGTTGTTTCCCTCTGGGCTGATCCTCACGGCCCCAGACTCCAAACCCAGAGCTCTCTCATGTGTGATGTGCCTTTGTCGTTCACAGTGAAAGTCTACAGAGGGAGAGAGCTCACTGGAGTCCAGAATTTCAGCTCCATCAATCTAGTCAGCAACTATGAGCGCATGCGCCTGCACCGGCGCATCCTGGGCCACCTGTCTGCAGTGTACTGCATTGCCTTTGACCGCACTGGTCTCAGGATCTTCACAGTGAGGCCGCCTCTACATCTTCATTATAAAAGCTGTTGTGTTCTTATATAGATGTTTATCAACTCAGGAAATGTTGCAATACATTTATTCTGTAATGATCTAGTAAAAGCCACGGGGCACTGACCTACAATGCCTTTTCTTGTTATTTCAGGGCTCCGATGACTGTTTAGTAAAGATATGGTCTTCGTTTGATGGGCGTCTTCATTCAACGCTGCGAGGACATTCTGCTGAGATCACAGATTTGGCAGTGAATTATGAAAACACACTAATAGCAGCAGGAAGTTGTGACAAGACCATCCGCGTGTGGTGCCTTCGAACCTGTGCCCCTGTGGCTGTGCTGCAGGGCCACAGTGGATCCATTACCTCCTTACAGGTACAGCAGCCTCCCAGCATCTCAGCCTTTTTCATTTCAATGTGTGGTGCTCTCAATTATGTTGTGTATTTTCAGTTTTCACCATTTGCCAAGGGCTCAAAACGATACATGCTGTCCACTGGCACTGATGCGACTGTCTGCTTCTGGCAGTGGGACGTTCACAATATCAACTTTAGGTGAGTCTGAGAATAACGCTGCTCCTGGATCTTACACCGAGGGCGGGAGCAGCAGTTTATTATGTAGAACAAAACTCATCCATTTGCTTCAGTTGACCATAAGTCCGGTCAGGGTGGAAGCAGACGCCATCTTCTTCATAAACTCTGTCTGTTGTGTAAATGTAGGTTTTAAGCCAATTCAAGAATAAACCCGAGAAGTCACTGTTTGGACCCCAAACTGCTTCATAGACTATCGCTCACATGAGGTCAGATGAGGGAAGTTTTAGAACAGCGCACGAGCCACACAAGGGACACATATTTGTATTAATCTTGGTGTTGTAGTCGGTCATCTTGGCACTGCACACGGTCCCGGAGCTTAAGATGATGTATTTTGAAAGTCCGGTACAGTTTACCCGCCCACGTCTGCAAAATTAAAACAGGCAATGAAAATGAAAATGGATTCCTTCAGTGAAGCAACGAATCTGTGATTGATCAAGACACAGAACAAGCATCATCCATGTAATCTTTGTGTGATTATGGACGTTTTGCTATCGCTTATAAATGATAATAATGTTATAATGAGTGCGGTGACGACTTCTCAAAGGGCCTGAAGACTCAATGCTTATCGACATGTTTTTGTTTCACACGTTTTTTTATCATTACAAAAGCTACAGTAGATACCGTGGTTATTTAACCCAACCCCCCAATTCCCCATGGTTTGCTGCCCTCGTCACGGGTCGTGCAATATACCAGGATGCTAATGTTGAGGCTTCGTGGAGACGTTATCTTACATGACGGCTTTAGTTTGTGTTTACTGGATTATATCAACTCTGAGACAGTTTAATCCATACGTGTAGATGACATGCTTTCCCATACAGCCTGTAAAGTTGTGGATGTGACTCGCTAATACTAAGTTCTCTTCCTGACGATTACGTTTGTTCAATAACAGCAGTATTTTGGATCCATCTCAATGATTGTTACTGTTAATGTCAATTTGGCAAATTTTGATTGTGACTGTTGTGAATGTTCATTTGATATCGTTTCCCGCTGCCTCTCACAATTTTGTTAAATGTGCACAAGGCATCCACAGATTCAGTGAGAGCTAGTTCCTTGCTCTCAAGACCTTTGTGATGCCACCATAGTTATCACATCTTTGGCCTTTGTCAAAGCTTTAGATCTGTTTTTTTTAGTGAAAAAGTGAGGACCCTCATTTGGCCAATCAGCTCTCAGTATTTGCGTTTTTCTAATAAGATAAAAACAGCATGTTGTGGTCTGATTTGATGCAAAATCTTTCTTCTGTGATACGTCATGTTTTAGACTTTCTGTTGGGACATAACAAAGTAGCAGCCATGTTCTGCCAGTCAAATGTGTAGAAACAGACGTGAACTCTTCCTAAATGGGTTTAGAGACTCATTCCGTCATTTGAGCTGAGAAGAAACCAAGAAATATCGACTAACTTTTAAAAATATCTTTCTTTTTCTTGCTAATCCATTTCTAGCGACCGACCCATAAAGTTCACAGAGAGGCCACGTCCGGGCGTTCAGACCGTGTGCTCCTCCTTCAGTCCAGGTAAAGAAGCATTGAACGTTTTTGCCAAAGAATTGTGTTGATCTGTTTCTTGATCCGTCCTCGTTGGTGTGTCGTCCAGGCGGGATGTTCCTCGCCACCGGAAGCACAGACGATGTCATTAGAATATACTACCTGGGAAGTGGCGGCCCGGACAAGATGTCGGAGCTCCACGAACACACTGTAAGACCGTCTGACTTTCACGTATTGCTAATCGTAGCCGGCCGTTCTCACACCTCTGCTCTCTCCTTCAGGATAAAGTGGATAGTATTCAGTTTTGCCACACCAGTGAAAGGTATGCAGCCCGCCAAACTAAGTGCAGCCCAGTTTCATCTGCATCTGAAGTAACGTCGTGTCTTTTCCGTTCAGGTTTGTGAGTGGGAGCCGCGATGGGACGGCCCGCATCTGGAGGCTCCATAACCGTCAGCAGTGGAGGTGCATTCTGCTCAACATGGCCGCCACACTGCCAGGGTGAGTGACATGCCACGCTTTATACTACGACTGGTACAAGCTGATCAAGTGTCAAACTCATTTAGCAATCCAGTGAATGTCAGACTTTTCAAAATGCAAGGTTTTTCTAATGCGGGCTGCAGTTGGAGCCGCCCCCACACTTTCCTGATTGGATGAAATGTATTTAAATAGTTTGATTCTCTGATCGGTTGTTGCGGAATTGACAACTTTGTAAAGCATTCGAGATTATACAGATATATAGAAATCGAATTAGTCTAACCCTATCCTCCAGCAAATCTTACTGGAACTTTAAAAAATGTATTTATTATTCAAAATACTTCCACGGTTCTTTCGACGTTTGCTTCTCATGCGCCTTGTGTTTACTCCAACAACATCATAAAACCACTACCATAACATGAGAGTTACCTTTTTATATTTAGGGTCAGAAAGTTTGGCTTTTGACAGCTGCAGAAGCGCTCGAACCTGCAACTTCTGCAGCCGTGAGTTCAGGTGGCTAGAAAACGTATAGCTGCTACTTCACGGATTATTCTTTTGTCGGGTTATATTTAGACCGATGAACGAGAGACCACTGGCACACGTTTGGTTCATTCCAAATAGTAACTGATTTTATTATGTATTTATGTATTCAATATGGACATAATAATGAAAAACAAAAATACCCTTTTCCAAAGAAGACACGGTGAAATCCGAGGCACTCTGATAAAAGTCCTTTATTTGAGAAGGGACCCACTGTAATGTGTATTGTCGATTGTTGGGTGTCAGAGTTAAAAAGGGAGTCTTGGAAAATAATACTGTTCCCTTGCTCATTAGTGAAAAAGAAAGTGTTTGATGCAGCTTGTGACATTGTGAAAAAATGGCCCAAAAACGTCAGGGTAGCAATGGAGCAACTCACCAAAAGAGACAACAGGGCGCCTAAAACTTCAGAGAACAGGAGGAATGAGTGCTACAGGGTCCAAAAAAGTAATTAAAATCAGGTGCTCTTCAGGAAGAAAAATGACATTGAAAAACAAAAATACCCTTTTCCAAAGAAGACACGGTGAAATCAGAGGCACTCTGATAAAAGTCCTTTTATTTGACCCTAATTTACTCTGACACCCAACAATCGACAATACACATTAGGTCCCTTCTCAAATAAAGGACTGTTCTCTGATGGACATAATAATATTGGACGAACCAGATGCATTGGTGTAAGTGTTATAGCACAACACTATTCCATTGGGGGGGGTCTCACTACAGAAGATAAAATAATGTTCAAAGGATTACAATAGAATTTTACATTTGAGAACAACTCTGTCTGGATCTTAACCACTGTTTGAGCTCTCTGCTGAAGATGGTCATGTGAGTCTGTAGTTTAGGCCCAGTGGGGAGAGAGTTCCGCCATTTTACCCCTAAACGAAAAGCTGGATTGTCTAAAAACAAAAAAATGCTCTGAGCTTTGGGAGCACACGGTCTCCACTGACTGATGCTCTGGTGGAGGCCCCGAGATCAGACTGAAGTTTCAGGATGAGCCCAGAGAACTACACAGTTGTTCAGACATTTAAAAGCCAATTTCAAAATCGAGACATTTACAAAGAGCCGAGTAAGATAATGTTCAAATGGTCAAATGCAAGTAGTTTAAAGTAATAAATACTTTTCCCTGAAGCACATACGCCCTCTCATACCCACAGTTCCCATATTCAATCCTGTGTATATTGAATTGGTCCTGACAGATCGGACCCAGCGAGTGATTCAGAAGAAAGCTACTTCAAGCCCAAAGTCACCATGGTCTCGTGGGATCGCCATGACACTACCGTTATCACCGCCATCAACAATCATCTCCTCAAAGTGTGGAACTCCTACACGGGACAGCTGCTGCATATCCTCAAAGTAAGTCCGTCCTCTTTGCACTACGCAGAACCAGAGCGTTTGGGTCTGACGGAGACTGTGTTTAGGGGCACGAGGCTGAGGTCTTTGTCCTGGAGCCTCATCCCTTCGACCCCAGGATCATCATGTCTGCCGGACACGACGGAAATGTCTACTTTTGGGACCTACAGCGGGGAACGAAAATCCAGCACTACTTCAATATGGTACGTTGTGTGTTCATTGTAGTGGTGGGCAGGTGTCAGAAGTCAGATTCTAGTCTAGATTTCTTTGTAATCCCTGGACCAATCCACATGAAACAAAGACTTTAACAATGTTCTGCATCTTCTTGTCAGTACATACAGTGCCTTGCGAAAGTATTCGGCCCCCTTGAACCTTTCAACATTTCAGGCTTCAAACATAAAGATATAAAATTTTAATTTTTTGTCATGAATCAACAAGTGGGACACAATCGTGAAGTGGAACGAAATTTATTGGATAATTTAAACTTTTTTAACAAATAAAAAAACTGAAAAGTGGGGCGTGCAATATTATTCGGCCCCTTTACTTTCAGTGCAGCAAACTCAGTCCAGAAGTTCAGTGAGGATCTTTGAATGATCCAATGTTGTCCTAAATGACGGATGATGATAAATAGAATGCACCTGTGTGTAATCAAGTCTCCGTATAAATGCACCTGCTCTTTGATAGTCTCAGGGTTCTGTTTAAAGCGCAGAGAACCATGAAGACAAAGGAACACACCAGGCAGGTCCGAGATACTGTTGTGGAGAAGTTTAAAGCCGGATTTGGATACAAAAAGATTTCCCAAGCTTTAAACATCTCAAGGAGCACTGTGCAAGCAATTATATTGAAATGGAAGGAGTATCAGACCACTGCAAATCTACCAAGACCCGGCCGTCCCTCCAAACTTTCATCTCAAACAAGGAGAAGACTGATCAGAGATGCAGCCAAGAGGCCCATGATCGCTCTGGATGAACTGCAGATAACTACAGCTGAGGTGGGAGAGTCTGTCCATAGGACAACAATCAGTCGTGCACTGCACAAATCTGGCCTTTATGGAAGAGTGGCAAGAAGAAAGCCATTTCTCAAAGATATCCATAAAAAGTCTTGTTTAAAGTTTGCCACAAGCCACTTGGGAGACACACCAAACATGTGGAAGAAGGTGCTCTGGTCAGATGAAACCAAAATCAAACTGTTTGGCCACAATGCAAAACGATATGTTTGGCGTAAAAGCAGCACAGCTCATCCCCCTGAACACACCATCCCCACTGTCAAACATGGTGGTGGCAGCATCATGCTTTGGGCCTGCTTTTCTTCAGCAGGGACAGGAAAGATGGCTAAAATTGATGGGAAGATGGATGGAGCCAAATACAGGACCATTCTGGAATCAAACCTGTTGGAGTCTGCAAAAGACCTGAGACTGGGACGGAGATTTATCTTCCAACAGGACAATGATCCAAAACATAAAGCCAAATCTACAATGGAATGGTTCACAAATATACGTATCCAGGTGTCAGAATGGCCAAGTCAAAGTCCAGACCTGAATCCAATCGAGAATCTGTGGAAAGAGCTGAAGACTGCTGTTCACAAACGCTCTCCATCCAACCTCACTGAGCTCCAGCTGTTTTGCAAGGAAGAATGGGAAAGAATTCCAGTCTCTCGATGTGCAAAACTGATAGAGACATACCCCAAGCGACTTGCAGCTGTAATTGCAGCAAAAGGATAATAAGGAATAATATTGCACGCCCCACTTTTCAGTTGTTTATTTGTTAAAAAAGTTTAAATTATCCAATAAATTTTGTTCCACTTCACGATTGTGTCCCACCTGTTGTTGATTCTTGACAAAAAATGAAATTTATATATCTTTATGTTTGAAGCCTGAAATTTGGCGAAAGGTTCAAGGGGGCCGAAACATTCGCAAGGCACTGTATCTATGGCCTCCTTATTCTCAAGAAGTTGTGACAATATTCATAAACGTATGCATGATGTTGACCAGTAGACAGGGGTTTTCAGCTTCTATGAACACTGTTTATGAAGGCAGTTGACCTGAGATACATAGATTTAGATTTTTTTATTTATTTTTAGGGCTGCACAATATATTGAAAAAGTGTGTAGTATTGATTTAGTAAAAAAAGGGAAAATTGTAATTCCCTGTTCCCTGAGTCAGTATTTGGCAGTGTACATGGGGGCGCAGTATGTGGCAGTGTACATGGGGGCGCAGTATGTTAAAATTGGTATCAATACTTAATATATGGCTACATTATGCATCTCCATTCCATTTATCATGAAATAAAGTGTATTTTTTTCTTTTATTTATGCCATAAATTGGCATATTGTATATTTCTGACCAATATATCAATCGTCATATCGTGATAAAATCGTTATCATGATATCGTTATTGTGAGCTTTGTATCGTATCGTATCGTATCGTGAGGTACCCTTAGGTTCCCACCCCTACTGAAGGGTTTGTGCCATCCACAGATCGAGGGCCAGGGCCATGGAGCAGTGTTCGACTGTAAGTTTACTCCTGATGGACAACGCTTCGCCTGCACTGACTCTCACGGCCATCTGCTCATCTTTGGCTTTGGCAGCAACAAACCCTACGAGAAGGCAAGAATGGAACTCTGCTGTTTGGTTCAGAGACCACAGACCACACTTCTAATGTGTTTTCATCCCTCAGCTTCCAGACCAAGTGTTCTTCCACACAGACTACAGGCCTCTGATCAGAGACTCCAATGGCTTCGTCCTGGACGAGCAGACGCAGCAGGCGCCTCACCTCATGCCTCCCCCCTTTTTAGTGGATGTGGACGGAAACCCACACCCGCCCAGGTACAAGCGGTTTAGCTGTCTGCACTTTAACAAGTGCAGACAGCTAAACCGTGCTTATCACGAAAGGGGTGAATATTTCAAAAGTTAATGTAGTTGATGTTGCTCTGTCGGATCATTTCTGTGTATTTTTTAACATGTGTTTTGCTACCAGACCACCCGCTAAATATGAAATTGTTAGAAGTAGACACTTAAATGAAAACACGGGTGAACTATTTATGGGAATGATCCATTTTGAGAACACATCATGTTCTACTGTAGATGAACTGCTTAACTCTGTCACCTCTAGTGTGTTGAATGTTCTGGACGCCATTGCCCCTGTGAAGGTAAAAATGGTCACAAATAAGCAAAAAGCCCCATGGATAAAAGCAGGCCCGGTCAGGGCACAGAAGCAAGAGTGCCGGAGAGCAGATAGAAAGTGGAGAAAGTCCAACCTCCAGGGTGATTATAGACTCTTAAAAGAGAAGTTGTGTGAGTTTAACAGAGTACTACGTAGAACAAGAGAATTATACTTTTCTGAAACTATTGAAGGCTGCAGCAACAATCTGCGTGTTCTATTTTCAACAATCAATAGATTAACGAACCCCCCTGTTGAGTTGCCATTAGAACACTACTCCAAATCCAGGTGTAATGAGTTTGCACAGTTCTTCAGAGACAAGGTCCAGGGTATCAGAAATGCCATCACCTCTACAACACAAGTAACAATGCAACATCCAGTGAGGCTTTGTGAGCTAGCTCAATTTGCACCTGTCAATGATGAAACTGTTAAAAAGATAATCACAGGTCTTAGTTCCTCTACCTGCAGTCTGGATGTACTACCTCCTAGATTTCTGAAGTCTGTTATGTGTAGTCTATTACCCTCATTGACACAAATAGTAAACATGTCTTTTTTATCTGGAACATTTCCAATGGCCCTGAAAAAGGCAGTCATTAGGCCCCTCCTAAAAAAGAGCAGTTTGGATGCTGCGGTACTTGAAAATTACCGTCCCATCTCAAATCTGCCTTTCATGGGAAAAATTCTTGAAAAAGTTGCCTACCAACAACTTACTGAATTTTTAATATCTAATGACTCATTTGACATGTTTCAGTCTGGCTTTAGACCACACCACAGTACTGAGACCGCTCTAGTCAAGGTAACAAATGATATTCGGCTTAACACTGATGCAGGAAAAGTCTCTGTTTTAGTCATGTTAGATCTGAGTGCCGCTTTCGACACCGTTGACCATGAGATTCTCATGCAGAGACTGGAGGACTGGGTTGGTGTTGCTGGTACCGCCCTAAGCTGGTTTAGGTCCTATCTAGAAGAAAGGAAGTACTGTGTGGAGATTGGAAACTATGTCTCAGATAATATGGCCCTGACCTGCGGAGTGCCACAGGGGTCGATTCTGGGACCTCTCCTGTTCAATATTTACATGCTGCCATTAGGTCAGTTAATTCAAAGTATGAAAGTGTCCTACCACAATTACGCTGATGACACTCAGATCTATGTCTCACTGACTGCAGGAGAGCATGGGCCGGTGGACTCACTCCTTCGCTGTATCCAGCGGATCAGTGAGTGGATGCAATGCAATTTTCTCCAGCTAAATGCGGACAAAACCGAAATGATTGTCTTTGGTCCCGAGAAACAAAGAGAGACCGTCATTTGTCACCTTCAGTCTCTCTCCCTAAGGCCCTTAAATAAGGTCAGAAATCTGGGAGTAATAATGGACTCTGACTTAAACTTCAATAGCCACATTGGATCGGTAACATCAGCAGCTTTTTATCATCTGAAAAATATTGCCAAAATTAAAAATATTGTGTCCAGGGCAGACTTGGAGATTCTTATCCATTCTTTTGTTTCCAGTAGGCTGGATTACTGCAATGGCCTGCTCACAGGTATCTCCAAACATGCAGTAAGACAGTTGCAGTATATTCAAAATGCTGCAGCCCGAGTCCTGACTAGAACCAGGAAGTACGACCACATTAGTCCGGTCCTCAGGTCTCTGCACTGGCTTCCCGTGGCCCAGAGGATAGACTTTAAAGCAGCTCTCCTGGTGTACAAGTCTCTCCATGGCCTTGCACCAAAGTACATCCATGATATGCTAGTCCCATATGAACCAGCCCGGACTCTGAGGAGCGCAGGGACGGGACTCCTGTTAGTGCCCAGAGTCAGGACTAGACAGGGGGAGGCTGCTTTTCAGATTTATGCAGCTGGAGTCTGGAACGGTCTTCCTGAGGATGTGAGACTGGCTGCCTCTCTGTCAATGTTCAAATCCATGTTAAAGACTTTTCTTTTTTCCCGTGCATACAACTAGAGAATTTTATCTTTTTAACACACCTTGTTATTTATTGTTGTAACTTTTTGTGTTTTTAACTATTTTATTGTTTTTAATTACTTGTGTGATTTTTATGTTTTTAAATTACTTATGTGATTTTAATGCTTTTTAATTACATATGTGTTTTTAATTGTATTTTAATGGTGATGATTTGTGCATTGTGTGGTGTGGACTGTGAGGCGCTTTGTGTTGCCCTGTGCAGGAAAAGCGCCCTATAAATAAAGATTGATTGATTGATTGATTGATTGATAATTGGTGGTTTATTGGTGACATTCAGAATGTTTGCCAATGATGATTTCTTAAACAATAACATGTGACAGGAGAGATACAATCATCTCAGCCATTGATTCGATTTTCATCTCGTCTGAAGGTATCAGCGCCTGGTTCCTGGTCGGGAGAACATTGCATCAGAACATTTAGTTCCACAGCTGGGATACGTTGCCACAAGTAAGAACTAAATTGGACTTTCTTATGTACAAAGTTATCCTGGTGCACACTGGGGTACTCCAGCAGAGGACAATCTACTGAAACTTTTATAAACCATAAATATTATGGACGTCGAGTGCATTACCTTTTAACTCCACTTTAAACTTTTGTTCAGAAATAGTCAAATTTGATGTGTACATCTGACATGTTTTATGGGGATATATTAATGATGTTGTCATTTAAAATGAAAATATGACATACTTTGAAAATGTGTAGGATTTGAAGAAGCCACTGTAACATTGTGTTTGCAGGCGATGGGGAGGTGGTGGAGCAGGTGATCAGTCAGCAGACGACAGAACCAGAGGAGATCTCCGCACGGCGCAGCAGCCTGTTGGACGAGGCCATCCGGCAGCTGCAGGCCCAGCAGGGCGTCCGGCCCGAGTCCGCAGAGGCTCGTCCTGGTCCCAGAGACGGGCTCATGCCTCCTCCTGCTCCCAGCACCCCGCGCAGAGGTGCTCCTGCTCTGCTCTGAGCCCGGCTCCTGCGCCGCTGCTGTGGCTCACGATCCACGACTTTGTGTTTCAGCGTCTGTCAACGATCGAGCAGATGTGCAGTCTCCTCCCAACGTGGGTCTGCGGCGCAGCGGGCAGGTGGAGGGCGTGCGGCAGATGCACCAGAACGCTCCACGCAGCCAGATGGCCACAGAGCGGGACCTGCAGGCCTGGAGGCGCAGGGTGGTGGTGCCCGAGCTCCAGCCCAGCAGCTACAGGTACACACTACTGCTGCAGGTACACACTACTGCTGCAGGTACACACTACTGCTGCAGGTACACACTACTGCTGCAGGTACACACTACTGCTGCAGGTACACACTACTGCTGCAGGTACACACTACTGCTGCAGGTACACACTACTGCTGCAGGTACACACTACTGCTGCAGGTACACACTACTGCTGCAGGTACACACTACTGCTGCAGGTACACACTACTGCTGCATGTACACACTACTGCTGCATGTACACACTACTGCTGCAGGTACACACTACTGCTGCAGGTACACACTACTGCTGCAGGTACACACTGCAGGTACACACTACTGCTGCAGGTACACACTACTGCTGCAGGTACACTACAGGTACACACTACTGCTGCAGGTACACACTACTGCTGCAGGTACACGCTACTGCTGCAGGTACACACTACAGGTACACACTACAGGTACATACTACTGCTGCATGTACACACTACTGCTGCATGTACACACTACTGCTGCATGTACACACTACTGCTGCATGTACACACTACTGCTGCAGGTACACACTACTGCTGCAGGTACACACTACTGCTGCAGGTACACACTACTGCTGCAGGTACACACTACTGCTGCAGGTACACACTACTGCTGCAGGTACACACTGCAGGTACACACTACTGCTGCAGGTACACACTACAGGTACACACTACTGCTGCATCTACACACTACTGCTGCAGGTACACACTACAGGTACACACTACAGGTACACACTACTGCTGCATGTACACACTACTGCTGCAGGTACACACTACAGGTACACACTACTGCTGCAGGTACACACTACTGCTGCAGGTACACACTACTGCTGCAGGTACACACTACTGCTGCAGGTACACACTACTGCTGCATGTACACACTACTGCTGCAGGTACACACTACTGCTGCATGTACACACTACTGCTGCAGGTACACACTACAGGTACACACTACTGCTGCATGTACACACTACAGGTACACACTACTGCTGCAGGTACACACTACTGCTGCAGGTACACACTACTGCTGCAGGTACACACTACTGCTGCATGTACACACTACTGCTGCAGGTACACACTACAGGTACACACTACTGCTGCATGTACACACTACTGTTGAGGAGGAAAAGTTTTAAAATTGTGGGTTAGAAAATGTAGCAGAAATTATTTTGTAGCGTATGATGCGTGGAACTTTTTTGTGAGTTTTGCTGTTGAAGCCTGAAAGTCTGAGGCGAACTTGGACAACGACGATCAGACAAATTGCAATATTATTTTGAGATTTTCTTTTGAGTGTTTCTCTGACGATTCCCTTTCACAGACGCTGTTACAAACTCACACAAACAAATCAAATGAAAAACACTCCACTGTAAAGAACGTCACTGGCAGAAAGAACAGCAGTATTCACAATCCAATATTTACACTTTGACCATACATGGGGCCATACATGGGCCATGCATGGGGCCATACATGGGGCCATACATGGGGCCATACATGGGGCCATACATGGGGCCATACATGGGGCCATACATGGAGCGAGTGGAGTTGAGCGGAGGCTGGATGTCGTAGTTTAGGAGGTGACCCGCTGCTTTGTTTTCCAGGGACCAGGAGGAGATCAGAGGCGTGAAAGGGGATGAAGAAGTGGCACTGTTTATTGCACGGAAAAGACGCATTATGTACAGCAGCTGTCGAGTCAGTGCCTCTTTACTGGACACACAATGTTGTATAATATGTATGTGATTGTTGTGTGTATAAATGTAAATGTGTCTCAGGATGATTCTGATGAGGAGCCGGCACCCGTCAAGAAGTCCCACAGCCGCACGGACCCTCAGGAGTTCTTGGACCTGTCGTGTGAGGAAGGAGAGGAGACTGCCACGTCAGACGCACACACTGAGGTAGAATCCTCACCTCTGACCCGCTCTGCTGCTCTGTCCGTCATAAAACACATGTGTAAATGTGTCTTCTTCTGTTCAGGACAACGACCTGGACGGCAGTGACCTGGACACGTCTAATGATGAGGAGTGGAATAGTGACAGTCCGAGGTGACTGTTTTTTAAAGGACCAGAGATGATTTGTTTCAGATCTGACTTAGAATCCTCCCAAATAAGAAATTGCTCTAAAACGTTGTCAATAAAAAAGATGAGAAAATACGTTCTCACCTTCTGCGGAGCTTCACCCACACAGCGCAAAAAGTGCTTGTTCTATGGAAATGTTCCTCAGTTAAAACGGTGAACACGTGACAAAGGGTTTTTAAAATAACATTTACTGTTGAAGTGTTGCCTCGGTGTTAATCCGATCCATCTGCAAAGATCAGACACGTCAAACTCAAAGCCATGATTTTCAGTGATCATTATTGCAGTAACTCGCAGCTTTGATGGTACTGGGCATGTTTTACTTCAGATAGAAGTTTTGCACCACCATGTGACCTACATAGCAACCGTCACTAAGCGGCCATGTTAGAGGATTTGTCTCGCTCTGAGCGTTTATCACAATTAAAGACGCAGCAAAACTTTCCCATCAGTCCAAGTAAAGGTGCGCTCTCGGCCACTGTGTTGAATCTGACTGTATAAAGTTTCATACCTGCCATCTAACATGGCCGCTTAGTGACGGTTGCTATGTAGGTCACATGGTGGTGCAAAACCTCTATTCTCAGGAAAACAACCGTATCATTGAATCTGTTCTAAAAATTAAGCAAAACATAAAAATGTTTATATTTAACAAATATTCAATAACATTTTTTTTTTTAAATATTTGGCGCAGTTATGATTGAATCCAAACCAACCAGAAAATGATATTCAGCCTCATGTCAAATAATATACATTTTTTAAAACACAAAAATATGTAGAAAATTAAATTAAATAAAAACTGATAAAATGAAACACTTTTATACTTTTGGCCCCAACAAGCTGTTTGCTGTTTTAAATTCAACAACCCCAACTTGAACCAATTATTTCCGCAGCCACTCGTCCAGTGAGTACTCGGACTGGACGGCAGACGCTGGGATCAACCTGCAGCCCTCCACTCCTCTGTCATCGAGGAAACGTGTGCGGCGGCAACTCAGCAGCTCCGAGGAAGAGGAGGAGGAGACGAAAGACGAGCACAACGAGGAGGAAGAGGAGAAACAGCACAGCGACGAAGAGGAGAGCACTCGGAAGAAGACCAAAAGCAAAACCAAGAAGGATAGAACCAAATCGCCACGGGTTAGTTTGTGTTTTTGCTCCGTCACTTTACTTTGGAGACTGCTCTGAAACACGAATCTCTCTCAAAAACGCGATCAATACTTATAGATCATTTCTCATCTTCGTACAAGACACTTTTTTACCTGTGAAACCCAACTGTTTCCTCAGAGACCCAAACCCCGGCCGCCCATCAACAGAGAAGTGTCCAACGAGTTCCGCCCGTCTCAGTGGATCACCGACGTCATTCCCAGGAAGTCTCCCTTCGTCCCTCAAATGGGTGACGAGGTACGGCCACAGCACGCCGCTCACATCTGCAGGTCCCATTGTGTTTGTTTAGACAGAACAAGAACAGAGAACGTTAGAAAAACCACGCTCACTTTGGTGGATGACGAGTGTTGGTGGCGTCTCTGTGCGCGCTGTGGAGACGCCGCTCAGGGCTCCAGACCTGACGACGCTTTCAGAGGCGTTTTTTTAGCTTTACTGCATTCAAACTTTGTAACTTTAATTGTAAACGCAAATTTAATCACACATTTACTTTTGGCGTTGACTTTTAAACTGACGAATCATTGAATAAATAAAGAATGATTCTTGTTAAAGGTGCTCTGTGTAATTTTCAAAGTTGCTCCAAATGAAAAAAAAACATGTTTACCAATAACAAATGTGACCTTTTTAAGGATATTCACCTCCACCATGTTTTCGAATTGTTGTCATAGGCTTAAAATTTGACTTATAAATGTCCATGAGGCTGAGTACTCTAATAATAATAATAATAATAATAATAATCATTCATCGGTTTTATACAGCACTTTTCAGGACACTCAAAGACTCTTCACATGTCATTATTCTTTCACTTAATACACAGTGCTGATAAACTACTACTGTAGCCACAGCTGCCCTGGGGCGCACTGACAGAAGCGAGGCAACCAGTCTGTGCCGTCGGCCCCTCCCACCACCACCAACCATTCACACACACACCAGACTCATTCTAGGCAATGGGGCTGAAGTGTCTTGCCTAAGGACACACAAGTGCAGTTTAGCACTTTACAGCCGCAGCCGCCCCACACTCTCTGAAATACGGTGGTTGATAGGGGACAAAAAGGAGTTTGAGCGGGAGTTGGGGACCACTGTCAAAGACGACGTAGTACCAGAGATTACAAAATATGATCTCGATGCTAGATGGAAATAAAAATTACACAGTGAACCTTAAGTTTTTGCTTTGTGTGACAAATCTGTCCAAATACACGTCAGAATCAGAATATATTTACAGTACAAATGTTCTCTCATACGTGTCTTGTCTCGTAAGAATCCGGTTTATTTATGTCACATCCAGCTCTACCGTGTTAGAATCAGCTCCTCGGAACGGACTGGTTTTCCACACCTCAATTAGAGTTTAAATGCGTCTTCATCAATGGGAGAAAGAGGGTTTGGTTTTCACTGGAGCTTTGCAAATGCACTCTTTGATCTTCTGCACTGACTTCTCATGTATTGAATATTGTTTAGGTCATCTACTTTCGCCAAGGACACGAGGCGTACGTCGATGCTGTCTGCCGGACTGAACTCTATCCTATCAATTTAGAAAAACAGCCTTGGAAGAAAATGGAGCTGCGGGTAAGCTAACACGGGTTGAATGACGTGGTGGGACTCTGCTTAAACTCATGTCTATGTCTGTGGCTCTGATCACCGTTCTGTTCAGGACCAGGAGTTTGTAAAGATCACAGGGATCAAGTATGAAGTGTCTCCGCCAACGCTGTGCTGCCTGAAGCTGACTCTCATTGAGACGGGCTCCGGAAAAATCACAGACAAGTCTTTTTCTATAAAGTGAGCGTCTTCTGTTGGTCTGTCTCCGCTCACAAGAACATGTCATGTATTCATCATGTTCTCTCAGGTACCACGACATGCCGGATGTGATTGATTTTCTGGTGCTGAAACAAAGTTATGACGAAGCCCTCCGGAGGAACTGGCAGCCGAGTAAGCGAGACCCAGAAGTCGTGTGGTCTTAAGGTTTATTAATGTAAAACCATGACAGCGGTGACCGACTGTTTCTCCTCTGCTAGACGACCGCTTCCGCTCGGTTATTGACGACGCCTGGTGGTTTGGAACAATCGTCTGTCAGGAGCCGTACCAGCCGGAGTACCCAGACAGCCTGTTTCAGTGTTTCAAAGTCAGGTGAGGAAAGGAGCGATCCTCACGGTGTGACCAAGCAGCTTCTGTTGTACTCAAACATGATCGATGTCATTTTCAGGTGGGATAATGGAGAGACAGAGAAGCTAAGTCCATGGGATGTCGAACCCATTCCTGACGAAGGTACAAAGCCTTTATGTGTTCTATAGAAATAGTCAAGTTCAATTTGGTCTGTAACAAATCAGTCAAACTGTCCAGTACAAAGAACAAGCTCTGTGGCCTGTGCTCATTGTCAGAGGTGTGTGTCCTGCAGCTCAGCAGCCGGAGACAGAAGGAGGTGGGATCCCCGTGACCCCAGAGGAGATGAGAGACCTCATGTACAAGCCTCAGCCTGGAGAGTGGGGCGAGCGGAGCCGCAACGACGAATGTGAGCGCATCATCACCGGCCTCCGCCAGCTCAGCAGTATCGGTGCGTAAACCTGATGATGTCTCCTACCACAGAAGTCTTCAGCTCAAACCCCCTCTCTCTGATCCAGATGTTGTTGCTCCCTTTGCTGGTCCTGTGGACCTCACCCAGTACCCCACTTACTGCACTGTGATCGCCTACCCCACGGATCTGGGCACCATCAAGTTTCGCCTGGTGCACAGGTTCTACAGGTAAAACAACACTTAGTTCTGATTTAATTGGCACGGTCCTTACTGTTCTGCATATTGATCCTGTAGGCGACTCTCTGCTCTTATTTGGGATGCAAGATATATTGCAACCAATGCACGCACTTTTAATGAGCCAAGAAGCAAAATTGCAGACACTGCCAAAATCATCACCAATGCTCTGCTGAAGTTTATCAAGTAAGTTTGAATATCTGCGACTGAAGCAAAAACACTGCATTACACTGTGAATGTAAACTCTGCTGTCATCGCAGTAACCAGAGCTGCACAGATATTCTGGAGATCTACAACGCGGTGGAGGAGATGGGGGATGATGCTGACGAGGTAGGCTTTTATCATTACACACCTTAAACTACAGATTATTATTAATGACTTTGGGAATCTTGTTCAGGAGGACGATGCAGAAGCTCCCGGAACCTCGTCTGGCCACAGACTGCGACAGGTAAAAGAAGACACACTTTAGCAGACATGGACATTGTATTTAATATTGTGCTTTGTACTCGTAGCGCTCTGCAGAGGTCCTGCCCGATCGAGACGCCTGGAAGGAGCAGTGCAAGAAGCTGCTGAATTATATTTTGGAGTGTGAGGACTGCGAGCCCTTCAGGCAACCCGTGGACCCGGACAACTATCCAGTAAGTGTTTTACTCTCCACACACCTCACATCCAGTCTGTCAGAGGGCGGTGTCTTTGGGCTTATTTGGACAGAATAGAGTTTAGCAAGGACCACAGACCACCCAAAGCCACTTAATTGACCTGGAATAAAGTGAGATAAGAGATCAACACTGACAGGCAATGAATTTTTGCCTACATATAAAACATTTTAGTACAAAGTTATAACTGTGCCGAACATTCTCTTCCTGAAATGGCCCATCTCTTTGTCACTGACTGAGGCTGCAGAGTGTTTGTTTATCTGATTCAAGCTCAAATCCATCAGCTCTGGTTCGGCCCCGGTCCGGACCTGGTCCAGACCTGGACTACCGGTAAATCTTTCTGTTTAAAAAAAAAAGTAACGTATGAGTAATGTTGCCACAGCCACATATTCTGTGCACAATAATGATCATATTTTGTGCGTCACTGTTTGTGATTACTGAGTCATTTAATCAACTCTAAACCCTCAGAGAACAGACCCACTGAAACCTCAAACAAAACCAAAACTCCTCTTTATCGCACTGTACAAGAGTAAATCTGTCTATGGACGTGTTTGATCTGAGCAGAGAGGGGGGAGGGGAAGGGGAGGAGCAGAGGGCTGTGATCCAGGGTTTTGAGCCAATACTTATGGTCCACAATAACGTTCAAACAAATTAATTTTGCAGACTGGATGAGTTCCTAATGAAAGGCCCAGGCTGTCCTGTTGGAGAGGTTTTACACATGGATTTTTTAAAAGTCATTTGTTGTTTCGCTTGAGTGAGAAATTCTGAATTAAAATGTATTTCAGAAATGGTTAAATGTAGATATTTGTGTTTTTATTTTAACAATGCCTTTTTCTAGCATATTGAAGGAGCTCTGTATAGAGACACATCCTGACATACTACTGGTTATATCCCGGTGTTGTGATGTACCTAACTGAAAGAAATGTTATTCCCATCACACCAGGACTACCATGACATCATAGACACACCCATGGACTTTGGCACCGTGAAGAAAACTCTGGACGAAGACCACTACGAAAACCCCATAGAGCTGTGCAAAGACGCCCGCTTGATATTCGCCAATGCCAAAGCCTACACGCCCAACAAGCGCTCCAAGGTGAGACGGTCTTATCTAAACGGACCACAAACGCACTCACGTATTCATCATTGGTTTTTCCTTTGAAGATTTACAGCATGACACTGCGGCTATCAGCATTTTTTGAAGAGAAATTCCGAAGCATCATATCAGAGTACAAAACTGCTGTGAAGAGCAGTGACCGGCTCCGACGAAGCCAAAGGTTCCGGAAGAAGATGCAGGATCAGCCATCCACCACCAACAATGCAAAGTTTGTGTTTTCGGACTCTTCATCTCACGGCTTCGCTTCTGTTGGGTTTAAATGACGTCCTGTTGCATCTTCAGTCACAGAAAAGGTGCTGCCAAACCTCAGGATCACAAGGAGACGTCAGTGACCAAACCTACCTCAGCCAAGAGTGTCTCGGAGCGGACACGTCGGGGCCGGCGCAGCGCGGGGAACAGCTCCTCCTCCTCCTCAGAAGACGAGGACGAAGCTAAAGCGGCCTCTACATCAGGTACAGCAAAGACACTAATGCAGCTGGGATTATTCATGTAGTGACAGTCTTAATCTAGCCTGGTCGTACCACACCATAGTACAAATTACTTACTATTGAAACGATTGGAGCTAAGTTTACCGTGACGTAATGCGCCCGGGTGAATCGTTAGCATTTATCATTAGCCTAGCCATCTCCTTTGCCGCTAACGGAGCCCGTGGGGAGTAGTGCCACGATTTTTGCCAGCAATGACTTTTGCTAAACATTCCTCTTGCTCCGGCTTCAATTTCTTGATAGAACCAAACTGGAATACTTTAATATCGCATTCTTCACCACTGCCAAACTACAACCTGCCCGTTCGGCGCAAAGTCCTGACATCACCCACAACTAACTACAACACCCGCCTCCCGCGCTCTCTGATTGGTCGGATGGAATTCAACCAATTGTAATCGCTAACCCAGGGACCAGACCCAGACGTTACATGCAGTGAAATGATATTTGAGCAAAGTGTATGGATGGATAAGGCCAGGCTAGTTTTAATCCACATTTGTCCACGTTTAATTAAATAGACATTTAAATATTCAAGACACATCTATCTGTTTCTTCAGAGTCTGAAAGTGAGAGTGAGGCCAGTGAGTCGGAGGATAACGGGCGCTCAAGAAAGTTAAGAACAAAAGGAAAACATTCTCGAGCCACCAGAAGCAAAAAGCAGAGTGGCAAAGGTTTGTACAAGACTCATAGAAGCGCATTGTTTTATGGTTTAAATCAAACTAAAGAGATTGAAATCACGCACTACACTGGAATGTATTGTAACAAACACATGCTGTTGTAGGTGCACGTGATAGTGACGATGACCATGAAGAGGAACAGGCCACTGATGAAGAGCGGCCCTCTCGCTTTACAAACCGTCGCTATCGCAGCAGAACCGGCCGCAGGAGTGCCATGCTCACCAGGAACCGCTCTGGAGCAGAGAGGAGGCACTCAGGTCAGTGAGAAGCATCGTGCCTCCATGTTTCAGGCTGATTCATGCACAACAATGATTAAGGCCTAGATTCCTCTGACTCCAAATGCAGCGGAATGTTCTGCCACTGCACAAACACTTACTCTTTGAGGGTCTGTGGAGGGGGTCGAAGGGTTTGATTAATTTGTGCACTTGCAGCTGCAGCTTTCCCACTTGTCTTACATTAAAGAATATGCTCTAGTCTGTAGCCACTTGATCAGCCCCACACACTCACTCTCCCCCTCAGCCCCCCACTCTCCCTCCTACACATTTAGCACAGACCAATCAGGAAACTGCAGGGCTTCATCCGACTGTTAATGCTGAAATACGCCTGACCGCTTCCAACGTGTCGAGACCCATCAAACCACTTTGTTTACAACTCCTCAGACGTCCAACCGTCAGCCTGATGTATCTTGGTCTTCAGTGAGTGAGTCCAAACTCTAGAGCAGACATAAATATCCTTGTTATTGTTTTCAGAGCGCTCCATGATGAACGGCCACAGCAGTCGGCCGACTCTCAGGGACCGGAGGCAGCGCAGCCAGTCGTCTCCCGCCTCTTCTTCAGGGGAGCAGGCACCAGGCCGCAGGGCTCTGAAGAGGAGGACCGCTCAGGCTGCGGTCAGTAAGATCAAACTGTGCGAGGGCTCCGACGAGGAGAGATCAGGGAAAGAGGAGGATCATGACCAGTCACCGAGGAGCAGCCTTCAGCGAAACCCCTCTCGCTCCAACAAACGAACAGCGGTGATCAAGAGCAGCTCAGAGTCTGGGGACGGTAAGGAACCCTGAAGCAACCTCCAACATCAGCTGGGGTTAAACCAAATCTGAAGTCTGTTTTCCTTTTTATAGATTCTACCAATGGCAATGATTTGAGTGATAAAAAGGTTAAAAAAACACAGAATTCTTCACCTTGTAATAAGCAAAATGGAAACTCTAAAAAACCCCAAAGAAATGGTAAGTAATATTCACAACATCCTGACTTCTGTAGCAGTCGGATTCTAACGACTTTCTCTGCAGATATCTTGTCTAACGGACATGAAGCAAAACATAGCTCGGACAAAGACCTATCCAGTGAAGAAAGTTCTGACGAAGCAGCTGAGCCCCGTAAGAAGCCTGCGAGAAGAGCGGCAGCTGCGGCCATAAAGAAGAATCAGATTTCCAGTGACGAGGACGAGCAAGAAGAGGACGACTGGCAGCCGCCTACGAAAGACAAAACTTCCTCTTCACTAAAAAACACTAATCAAAATGGACATCTAGATAAACCCAGTCCTAGGAAAAAGACTAACAAATTATCAAAAAGCAAAGACCAAGGAAAATTATCTACATGTAAAAAACGGGGAGCTTCAGATTCCGAGGAGCTGAGTGACGCTCCAAAAACCTCCAGAACACCTGCGAAGAAAAATGGGAAAAAATCCAGCTCGTGTGAGGAGTTTGAGGCACGTCCTGTAAAGAGCAGCAAGAGAGGAAAACCCAAACGACACCGAGGCCACTCTTCTGCCTCCGAAAGTTCTACACAATACAAGCCAAGAGCAAAGTGCAGGCGGAAAGGCTCCACTGCCTCCTCAGAAGAGTCCGACCACTCGCACGGCGGCAGCAGAAGGGCAAGACTTAGGACTTTAGCTAAAAAGAAATACACTAGTGACCAATCCTTTTCTGACAACTCTGAGACCAACACGACACTGAACAATGGGATATCAGCCTCAAACAGACCAAAAAGAATCTCCTCTAATGGAATAAGAGTTCAACCTTCTTCAAAAAGGAAACGCATTTATACTTCTGATTCTGAGGACGCAGAGAAGGAGGAAAAACGGCCTGTGGCCAAGAAGAAGAACAGGCCTGTGTTCAACAAATCTACAAAAAGAAAATCCAAATCTCTGCATAGTAGCAGCAATGCGGAGGGTTCTGCTTCTCCGTCTGCAGAGGAAGAGGACGAGGAAGAGGACGCTGGGCATTCAAGGAGAGAGAAGAGGAATGTAAAGCAGCCAAACCGTAAAACAGGAGGAGAAAGCTACAGCAGCAACAGCAGTCACTCATCGCACTCGGAAAGTGAACAGTCTTCAAACTCTGAACACTCATTCTCTGGCTCAGGGTCCCACAGCAGTCCAAAGAGGAGGCCGGTACGCCGGGGCCCCCAGAGGACGTCCGGCCGCCAGCGCAGGCAGCGCCGCACCTTTGCTGCCTCCGAGGGGGAGGAGAGTGAGGGACTGTGCAACAAGCGCTCCCCTCGTGTGAACACTCGCTTCAAGGGGAAAAGAACCATCAATTATCAAGACAGTGAATGAAGGATTTGATCTGGGGCTCAGATGTGTGTGTCTGCACCGGTGAATGTGTGGAGTGATCTCTTAATGCACAAAACCTCTCTCACACGGCCCTAAAATCAGACCGACTGCTCCAATTTAACACCAGACGACATATCAATATACACGATACAATATCAGACCTCACGCTCAAAACATGAGTGGTGCTGTTATTATTACATTAATACAATTAAATAAGTATTCGAGATACTGGAAAAGTTGAAGACTTGAAAACGATAATAGGTCCTGAGGTGTTAGATTTGGGGCGGTCTGTCTGAATTCAGAGCTTATGGTCTCGGTCTTTGAGCCCTTGTTTTTTACAGAGGCGTCATCGAACAGGTTTACATGATGTGCACATCTAATACTCCCAAACTTAAACAGCAATAGCCCCATGCAGCTTTGACATTAACTGGAGACCTTCATGGACACTTGATGGTCACATGGTAGTAGCACTGGAGTCTTTGAAAGAAAATGCTGTGAAACTGTTGTTGAACATTCAGGGATATTATTTATATTTTCTATGAAAACCTTGTTTATATATGAAATACAAGTTGAAGCATTAGACCTGCTGTTTTTCACTCGGACAGTGAATGCTTAGCTCTCCTATATGGTTTGTACTATGGTCAGCTGAGTTGCCATTGTGGGGGATTCTGTCTGCTTGGGTGCTATCTGAAATACCTCTGATCAAATTGAGCGTTTGCTGCCTGGCTTGCACTAATAAACACTGCACTGAGGTTTTCATACACTAGTTTTGCATTAGAAACTCAGGGGTCAGATAAGTTTACTGTAGTCTCAATCATGCAGATGTTTTTGTGGGTAGAAGTAAAGGCAATTCCAGGTCTGCAAATGTCCACGCACACGGAGGAGGGCTGACATGGATTTTTGACTACAACACTCCCTTATGAAGCCACCTACAAACATAACTGTTTAGATTTAAATGAGCCAAATGAATAGATTCACCCAGTAACATCTTTTTTTTTGTTTAGTGAATTTGTGTAGATTCAAGAAAATGTTAATTTAAGGCTTTATATTATTTTTCTAGGTTTTTTTTGTCTTGCCATCTGTCACATCTTGGTACAATTTTGCTGAGTACAATCAAAGTACAGAAGCAGAATTTTCTTTTCTCATATTGGGAAGACTTTTTATAGTCCTGTGTTACCTACAGTCAGTGTTAATATTATTTGTTCCCATATTTGCCAGTCATCTAGAATTTAGTTTTGTTTATGGGGAGGTGTATTACAAATGATTTTTTTTGACATTTGCTTATTTTTTTCATACATGAATTATAAACTGTCAAAGCAAATGTGGTTGTGGAGTGCAATTATTTTGTTTTTTAATAAAACATTTCACCCATAGATTGTTTTTTCTCAACTTGCAAATGCACATTACATGTTTTTTATGGCTTTGGAATCAAAACGTGGGTAGTGAAGAATCCATTTCATGCTCATTTTTGATCAAGGGACTCTTGAGTTCAACACGCTTCAAGTATTTAGAATACAATACTTTAATGCAATACCTTTCAAAGCAATCATTCATCGTTTTGTAACAGTACATTTTCCCCATATCTGAAAATAACATTTCTCCCAGGATTTCTGTGCAAATCCAAAGCTTAAACATGGATGCAAAGAGCCTCCCGGAGGTCGAGTGTGACCAGGGACAACCCCACCACAATTTCACATGGTTTGAGTGATTTCACAATATGATTTTCAGTGAAATCTTATATTTGGCCCTAATACTAGCAATGCAAGACTCAGTGGAAACGCTGTGGTGAAAAGAGGTCGCTGTCTTACTCACTTTAGTTCATTTGATTTTGAGCAGCTAAATAATCAGAATATATAGCTACCACCACTATCAATAAACATATTTTTATTCATAGAATCCATAAATGTGTGGATTGTTCTGATATTCCGTTTATTTCCTGAGATATGAATTAATAAAGTTGACGAATATGAGGCAGAGTGGGCCACAGATAGTCTGGACTCTGAAAAAAAATGAGTCGGGATATCCTCGGCATTCCGCGCGGGTTAATGACGTCGCCGCGACGTGATATTTACCGGGTAAACAGATCACTTATTACTGCGCATTACGGTGAAAGCGGCATCTCTCCAGCTGTTGAGGTTACGGAGATATAATCCGACGAACTTAATAGAAAAATACACGGTAAGTAACCGGGGTTTTGGAAAACCAACACCACACACATACATCTAAGATTATAAGCTTTAGAATGATGGTATATTTGAATCATGTCACGGTTGTTTTGACCCGCGGATCAGTGAATAAAGTTGAAAAACCGCCGCGCTTATCACACACTCTGCTCTGCTGCCGAAGCGGCAGGCAAGTCTGGGCGAGTCCACTTTTCAGGGGGGTAGAAACGCGAGTCACGTGGCCCAAACGGACCAATGCCATTGGTTGGACTAATCCATTTTACATGTTAACAAGGGTGTTTGGGTTGTTAACATGTTTAAAGCTCGGGTCTGTAACTTTAGTCTCATAAATAACATGCTTAAAGCTGAGGTCTGTAACTTTAGTCTCGTAAATAACACATTTTTAAAGCTGAGGTCTGTGACTTTAGTCTCATTAATAACATGTTTAAAGCTGAGGTCTGTAACTTTAGTGTCATTAATTAAATGTTTAAAGCTGAGGTCTGTAACTTTAGTCTCATTAATTAACATGTTTAAAGCTGAGGTCTGTAACTTTAGTCTCATAACACATGTTTAAAGCTGAGGTCTGTAACTTTAGTCTCATTAATAACATGTTTAAAGCTGGGGTCTGTAACTTTAGTCTCATTAATAACATGTTTAAAGCTCGGGTCTGTAACTTTAGTCTCATTAATAAAATGTTTAAAGCTGAGGTATGTAACTTTAGTCTCATTAATAACATGTTTAAAGCTGAGGTCTGTAACTTTAGTCTCGTAAATAACACATGTTTAAAGCTGAGGTCTGTAACTTTAGTCTCATTAATAACATGTTTAAAGCTCGGGTCTGTAACTTTAGTCTCATAAATAACACGTGTTTAAAGCTGAGGTCTGTAATTTTAGTCTCATAAATAACACGTGTGTGTGTGTGCATATGCCAAAAACATTTCTAAGCATCATATTTAGATTGCTCCATCAATTACCTTTATTTTGATATATTACATTGTAGTTTGAAAAAAATGTTTTCCGGATTTCATGTTGGCAGCCATCTTGGATAAGCTGGCGGCCATATTGGAATCGGGGTCGGCCAAATTGTAAAATGAATATCGAATTCAACATCCCTGAATTGTTTCCTTCTTTACTGTGAATTTTAATGTTTATAGTTAGTAAAATAGGGAAGTTACAGCACTTAGAAGATGAATAAAGGCTTGAACTGGCTGAATAGAAGGTTCCACAGTATCCCTTTGTTTTAAACCAAATTACTTTCACTATAAGCGCCTAAAAGCACTTATCAATATGGTAATAAAATCATAACCACTTATCCGATTTTCATAATTCTAAAACTGTTTTATTCCTCTTACTGAGCTGGAAAGTACTGTGCTGAATTAAATCTGATTTGGTAATTTAAAAAATGTAATCTTGCATTGCTACTAATACATCTGGTTGTTTCCACGGATAATATAATGCATTAATATTCGTTTTTTCATTAACGTCCTTATTATTAAACCAAACAAAACAAATGAAACCGGTTAATGCATTTATAGATTGTTTACATAGATCTATAGTTTATTATTTTTTTACGAAATGTGTGTCGCTTATCTGTGACGACAGCAGACTGCGACATTGTGACTATTTGATTTCTCACTGAGACGCACTTTCGACAAAGTCACCTTTACGCAAATTCAGAGTTCAAATGCACTTTAAATAATGTACAACCACACACGTAAGATGCGTACTATTAAAACCAACATAAATATAAAACATCTTTGGAATATAATATAAATATAATATAATAAGTCGAATAGTTTTTGTCGAATAGTTTTTGTCACCAGCAGCAGCGGCGCATGTGAGAGCCATGGATCTATAATAATCATGGAATGAGAGCAGTTTGACATTTATACAGTCTATGGACAGGACCAGTAATAACAGAGTACTGAAAATACTGATGGCTTTAGTGCAGCATTGAGCGTGAGTTAGTTGAAAATGTCGATAGGTTGTGATTGTGTGTAAGGTCAAGAAGTCCAGCTGGTTGTAGATACAGATAGTTTTTTGAGAAATGTCTGCGGGGAAGAGGTTGTTGAGCCTTTTAAAGAGCAGAGGATTTCTATGGACTCATGTGGGCAGAACTGTCACGACCTGGTCCCATGTGGGAGCTGCTTTCAACACCAAACCTCACCGGAAACTAGACCTCTTCGAAAAGAATGTGGTAAGAACAGATCTATGTTGACCATGTCCTTGTGCCTGACTTATCCAGTGGTCATAGCATTGTTTAGAATGATGGTGGGGGTCGGAGGGGTCGACTCGATGGTACAGACTGGTTGCCTTGGCTCTGTCATTGTGCCCCAGGGCAGCTGTGGCTGCAGCAGTAGTAGTTTATCACCATCATGTCTATAGTGAATGAATATTGACACGTGATTTGTCTTTGAGTGTCCAAAAAAAGCACTTTATTATAATTTTTCATTATTATTTCAAACACAATAATAAACTCTACTTCAGGGGTCTCCAACCTTTATCAATCTGAAAGCTACTTTTGTACAAACGAAGGCAGAGAGCTACTCCTTTTTGCAGTCGTAATAAAAATATATCTAATATTTACGATAAAACATAGAGAACACATGTAGAATATACCGAATTACTGTATATCCCTATATTTATACTTATAATAGATATGTAATGACTCAAAATGTATTCATTCAAAATAATTTGTTGAATTCTAAATCCTTTGGCGAGCTACCTGAAAGGGGCCGGCGAGCTACTGGTAGCTCCCCAGCCACAGGTTGGAGACCCCTGCTCTACTTGTTCATCATGCTAATAGAAGACAATTAACAAACCAACAGTGCTCAATACTTGACGGTTCTCTATAATAAACATTCTGTAAACCTGGCTTTTCTAATCACAAGCACTGAATGATCAATCCCACTCTCCCTTGTTTCCTCTGCAGGGTTTGTTTGGAGTTGCCGAGCTAAACTGTCCTGCAGGGTTTCAGGCGGCCACCAAAGAAGCTCTGCAGAATACAGAGAGGCTCCTGAAGAAGGCCTGCACCTGTCCGGCAGGAGTGGAGACTGTGGAGTCCTTCGACCAGCTCTCAGATGGACTGTGCAAAGTGGCTGACCTGGTAAGTTGCTGCTCCATATGACAGCTGCACAAAAACAGAAAAGTAAGCAGAAGTTAGCAACTATTTTCAATGTGGCTCTATGGATAGTGTGTCATTTCTACAGCATGCGTAATTAGCTGTAAACGAACACATACAAATGTAATACGAATATAACATATGGTAATACAGATATTTATATAATAACTAGTATAGTCACACCAAGATTGTAGTAAATAATAGTGAAAAATGTTTTGGGACATTAATTAAAAAATAAAGTTTCAATTGGATTAGCTTTTTTCTGTTAAATGACTTAATTAATTGCATGTCGTCTGTGCCTTGAGTTTATTTGTGTTTTGGCAAAAGACCCAATTGAAGTTCCTCTTTGTACACGATGAATTCAGTGACTCTGATGTAATCCTGTTTGTTTTAAAAGGCAGACTTTGTGAAGGTTGCACATCCAGACCCAGCGTTTCGAGAAGCTGCAGAAAAGACCTGTGTCGAGATTGGAACTGTTGTGGAGAAGTAAGTGAAATAATAACTTTAATCCAGCACACGGTAGGTCTTCAGAAGGAACCATTCATTTACTCGTTAGTTAATTTAATTACAAACAAAGGATTGACTGTTTATGTGTTTTTTTTCAGGCTCAACACAAATGTTGACTTATGTCAGAGTTTGAAGCGGTTACTCGACAATCCTGAAGTTGTTGCTAAACTAGACCCTGACTCAAGGTTCGTTCTGATACTGGTCCTGCTCCAGAGTCACAGAGAGGCTTCTTATTGGCTCCCCCTATCGGCTCCCCCCTCCCCTTTGGGCTCCCCCCCCCGTTTGGGCCCCTCCCCCTATCGGATCCCCCTCCCCTATCGGCTCCTCCTATTCCCCCCTTTCGGCTCTCCCTATCCCCCCCTTTCGCCCCCCCCCCCCCCCCCCCTTTCGGCTCCCCCCCAATGGCTCCTCCCCCCCTATTGCCCCCCCCCCATCGGCTCCTTCCCCATCGGCTCCTCCCCCCCTATTGCCCCCCCCCCCATCTGCAACTCCCCCCATCGGCTCCTCCCCATCGGCTCCTCCCCCCTATTGCCCCCCCCCCCCCCCATCGGCTCCTCCCCCCCTATTGCCCCCCCCCCCCCATCTGCTACTCCCCCCATCGGCTCCTCCCCATCGGCTCCTCCCCCCCTATTGCCCCCCCCCCCCCATCGGCTCCTCCCCCCCTATTGCCCCCCCCCCCCCATCTGCTACTCCCCCCATCGGCTCCTTCCCCATCGGCTCCTCCCCCCCTATTGCCCCCCCCCCCCCATCTGCTACTCCCCCCATCGGCTCCTCCCCCCCTATTGCCCCCCCCCCCCCCCCCATCGGCTCCTCCCCCCCTATTGCCCCCCCCCCCCATCTGCTACTCCCCCCATCGGCTCCTCCCCCATCGGCTCCTCCCCCTATCGGCTCCTCCCCCTATCGGCTCCTTCCCATCGTCACCTCCCCCATTGGCTCCTCCCCCATCGGCTCCTCCCCCCCCATCGGCCCCCCACAGTGTCACACCTTACAGTTATTTATTTTGTTTTCAGGCGTGTGGCTGAATTGTTTATGTTCGACTTTGAGATCAGTGGAATTCATCTGGACGACAAACTGGTGAGTCACTGACACTGAAGCCGAAAACACTGAACCCTCATAAAAACAGACCTGGAGTGATGTTTAGATCCATCCACGCTATTATCAGGAACTTCTGGCACAAACATGTAGCTCCGCCCCCTTTTGTCTACAAGCTCCTGATGCCGCTTTCATGTGATCTCGGAAACTTCATCATATCTTCGTCATCTTCAGAGTTCATGAGGAGCTAGTGACACGCACACACACACACACGCAGACACATATATACACACACATGCACAGACACACACGCACACACACACACACACGCAGACACATATATACACACACATGCACAGACACACACGCACACACACACACACGCAGACACATATATACACACACATGCACAGACACACATGCACAGATACACACACACGCAGACACATATATACACACACATGCACAGACACACATGCACAGATACACACACACGCAGACACATATATACACACACATGCACAGACACACATGCACAGATACACACACACATGCACAGATACACACACACGCAGACACATATATACACACACATGCACAGACACACATGCACAGATACACACACACACAGACACATATATACACACACATGCACAGACACACATGCACAGATACACACACACAGACACATATATACACACACAAGCATTCCAGACAACTTTTCTTGTTTAGATAAAATAAGATTGTGATGCTATATTTAAAAAAAAAACATTTCTCAAAACTGTTTACGAAATAAGTAAATAATACTTTAAATGTATGTTATAAACTAGAATCAAGTCATTTTGGGCTAGTAGTATATTTTCAGAAATCATCAAAAGTCAAATGTTCTTGTTCTATTGACAGATAATTTTTCTTATTTTAAACAGTATTTTACTTATTTTCATACTTTTATCAAGGGATTTTTTGCCAGTGCACACATCAGTCCTGTTGTAATAGCATCTCATCGTTCCCTTCTATGACATCACGCTCACAGCAATGTTCTGTTTATTTAAATACAAGGAGTTCCCCCACATAAGGTTGACAATCTAACAAACAGAACAAACAAAACTAATCATAGCAGTTTTTTACCCTTCATACGTGTTTCCATCCAATGATTCTTCTGTTTAAATCTCTAGTACACATGCTAATACGTGTTGTGTGACGTGTGCAGAGGAAGCAGGCGGTGGCTCTCCACGTGAAGCTCCTGGACCTGAACAATGAGTTCCTGATGGGGTCGCACCTTCCAAACAGAATCGCCCGCAGCGCCATCCCCGAACATCTCCACATCCACTTTGCAGCCGAGGGGAGCTTCATCCAGGTCGGAGGCTTACACGCCGACTCCCCAGATGACTTGGTAAGACTTGTCCCCACAGTCCTTTCTCAAACTGGCCTCTAGGGGCCGCTGTAGTCAAACTAATGCACAGTGTCTTTATTGATGCCTCAGGAGTGAAATTAGCCTGCTCGTACCACACCATAGTACAAATTACTTTTCAGGGAAATGCTTGAGCGGCGTGTAAAGTATCTGTTTTATTCCATTATATTCCTCTCCCTCAAAACACTTTGGTTTTATCACTACTTTTCACACGCGGCACGGTGGCTGAGTGGATAGCACTCTCGACTCTCAGCAAGAAGGTCCTGGGTTCGAATCCCGGTCGGACCAGGGCCTTTCTGAGTGGAGTTTGCATGTTCTCCCCGTGTCTGCGTAGGTTTCCTCCGGGTACTCCGGTTTCCCCTACCACTAAAAATATGTCCAATAGTTCTGGCATGTGCCTCCTGTACTGGCGACCCCGCTCCCATCTCTGTGTGGAGTGAGAGACAAATGCCCAAAAATTAACAATTGTAAACCGCTTTGAGACTCTGATCTGCAGTGAAAAGGCGGTATATAAATAAAAACTTACTTAACTTACTTACACGCACATGTTTAAACCTTGTCACATTTTTTTCTACAAAAATGTTGATTTCTGAAAGTTTTTCATCCTTCACACTATGATCCCTTCTGCTATTACCAGTCTCATAACTGATGGATAAAACAATATTTTTGGCCATCATTATTTATCGTTCGTCAATTTTGGTGGAAGATCTTTTTCTATTTTGGACGTAAAACAATCAGGTTTTAGCTTCATATCAGAGGTCAGGAACTTGTGGCTCGGGAGCCAGATGTGGTGTGTTGATCCATATGAACACGTATGTTGTTTTAACATAATCATGGATAATCTGTCTTTCACGTCACGGATGTCTTTCATTTGTTGTGCAGCATTTTCAGCTGTAACATGACAAAAAGTGCAAGGTGGTGGGGAGTGGGGTATGAGGTGTGGTGTGGACTTGATTTTGTGCGTCACATTACGTCTTCCGTTGTGACGGGAATTTTCACACACGTCTCTCTTGCACTTTCGTATTCTGCGCTAAACCTTTTATATAAGCCCCAGACCGGGGTCAAGGGGCACTGGGGAGTGTCTCTCTGCAGGGCCAAAGAAAAGCGTTTCCTACGGTAATAACTCCCTCTGTTCTTACCCTTGCTCTCAGTGTGGTGCTATTCCAATAACACTTCAGACATTCAAGAATCAGTCTTTTATTTAATCACCAGAACACACACACACACACTTGTATCCAGCATGGCACCGGTCGCTCTGCTTGTACGCCACACTTTTCATTCATTTCCCAGCGCTCTTACGATCGTTACTAAAGAGAGTGGGTGTGTGTGCACTCGTATCCGCGGCACGCATACACCATAGACCAGTGTTTCTCAACAACTGGTCTATGGTGTGATATTGTCTGGTGTGCCGTGAGAAATTCGCCAACTTTGTCTAAAAATAACTGCATTCACTATTGACGAGCGCTGACTTGTCTTGAACTGTGGCGTAACCACGTAATACTTTTTCATTTCAGTAGGTGGCAGCAGAGAGCTAAGTACTTTGAAATTTAAGTCACTTCCTGTTCGCGGGAAACGGCTTGAGTTTCACTGGAGTTCAGCAGTGGTTTACACGAGTTTCCCAAATAATGCTTAAGCCGGAATTATACTGTGAGGATACTGGGCATTTTTGGGACACAGCAGTGCTCTTTGATTGTGCCGTCATTGTGTTTTTATAACGTTTAAAAATCGCTCTGAGTGGCCACAGTCACAGCTCTACCTCAGAGAGAAAGCACAGCGACACTTTTGGGTCAGTCTCAGCTGAATGTATCGATCTAATTACTAAAAAACTTCACTAAAACTCTCCTAAATGCCATAAGAAAGCAGAGGCAGGAAGTGAACGGGCTGATCTGCGTTAACAGGAAATGACATCACGCCTCCCCGTGCATATAGCCCATTATGCCATTTCTGAACAAGATTCACATCCTCCGCTCTGACCCCGGGGCAGCTGTGGCCCGTTTTGTACTAACAGCCGCTTTGACAACAGCTCAGCGAACGCACATCCGTAACATGGTGCCGCACGTGGACCCTAGTCGCGTGGACAGAACCATGGAGTCGCGGACAGAACCATCTGCGCAGTCCTCTCGTGTTCAGGACCATCTCCTGTGTCTCCCCGAGTCTCTCCTGTGTCTTTTGCCGAAGCGCAAAACTACTGAATTTAAAGCTCAGATATCTACATTTTCCCCATGCATTAAAGATGCATGTTATTTGTGAAAAAAGTAAAATGTTGTTAACAAATCAAACAGAACACACAGCAGGGCATTATTTTTATCATTATTTTTCACATATAAGAGCCCTCTGAGTCATTATTTGACTTTTTGGGCTGAGAGTGGATTTTTTTAATGTTTTTTCCCCCCACTTTATTCCCAAACTCTTGTTAACTCATTGTATTGAGAAATATTAAACCAAGCTCTTTATAGGCTACAGAATATATATTTTTGCATTTTCTCCTGGTGGTGTGACGCAAGATTTTTTTCAATGAAAAAAGTGTGCCTTGGCTCAAAAAAGGTTGAAAAACACTGCCATAGACTGTATATAATAACGGACAGAGTCACGCCTAGCTCCGCCGTTCAAACAAATGGGCCAAAAAATGTGCTCTACTGGAGCTATCCAAAATGGCCGCGAGTGGTCCCGCCCACAAGAAAATTGTGAAAAAACGCAATACACGAATACACGTTCATGTGACCGTGGGCCGTTTTCACCCCCCTGTGGTGACGATCCGGGCCACTTGGCCCAGTTCGCTTGTAAAAACCTATGTGGCCGTGCCCTTAGACTGACATTATTGCACAAATACTTTTCGCTGCTCAGGGGCTGCATGTTTGAGACCCCCCCTCACCATAGTTTTGTGTGTCTGTGTTGTGCGTCTGTGTTGTGGTCCTGTGTGTAGGTGCGGGAGATTGCGTACCGCATCTACCTGTATCCAAACGCAGACCTGCTGGAGAGTCTGGAGGAGCTGCTGAGGTGCAGGCACAAACTGGCCAAGCTGGTGGGCTACGAGTCGTACGGACACCGGGCCCTGAAGGGGACCATGGCCAAGACCCCCGGTGCGTCCCCTGGTACAGTCTTAGTTCTTCACTTGTTTGCTAAAGTCTGCTTATGGTTTCTCCAGAGACGGTGATGAGTTTCCTTCAGCTTTTGACGGACAAACTGGCAGAAAAGTGAGTTTTGCCTGCGCATCAGGGTTCATTATATTTTAACACATTTACCATGACTTTGAATGTTTTTATTTTACTTAAAGGAGCAATATGTAAAAATGTGGCCAAAAGTGGTACTGCAGCCTCTCCCACTCTCCCTGACTCAGGTTGCCAGATATGCAGACGAATCCAGCTGGGACCATAACAGCTGAATAGACAAGAGTTTAGTCAACAACAAATCTATAACCAACACCTTTTTCATAAAGATAGAAATCCTGGTTTTATTCCTTGTTTTGTCGTTAATGATTTGAGAATCATAACAAGACCATTTTTAGTTCTGCGCCACATGGTACTTTACCAGTGAGATTAGCTCCACGCGGTGAGTTCTGGTGCCCGGGTCATAGACTTTCTGATTGGTGAAACAGTGGAGGGCGGGACATCAAAATGAAAACAATAACAAGATTTTAGGGGCTATAAAACTGATTTATAAATCCAAATATCTCTGAACTACTGTTATCAGTTAAAGAAGTATTGGAAAAGAGTAGGTTTTATTATTTTCTAACATATTGCTTCTTTAAGTCTTTTCTTTTTGTCAAGATCAAAAAGCTCCTTCCATTGTTTCATTACTGTCACTATTGGAACTCTAAAGGGGACCTGACCTAAACATGGGGCATGCTACAGTTGTTTTCCTTTGTCATTTACACTCAAAGCAGTTTTGACACGATTCACACATGTTTGAGTTATTTACAGACATTCACCGCCATTGCTCTCCCCTCAGTCCTCTGAGTCTGTGGAGATGTGTGCACGTTTCCCTGTCACTCAGACAAAGGGGCGGGTCTAAGAGCTACAGGACTCCTTTCTTCTATAACATCGTTTTAGCTCAATTTAAAATCTACACAGGAGTCATATAAGCGAGAACAGAATCAGGTTATGTCCCGTTTAACTCCTGCTTCTACAGTTTGCTTTTACCATCGATTTGAGCTGTCCAAGAGGAGAAAACCTGTTATTATTACATACAGTTTATAGTTATTGGCCAATGTTCACAGGAATGTGCTCCAAGACTCATATCTCCTCTGGGAGACGAGATAATAAACAAATCTGAATCTAAAGTTAGCATTAATGAGTGCTTATGACTTACTGCGGGGGTTCTCGAAATGCGGCTCTGGACCCGGCTCTGGACCCGGCTCTGGACCCGGCTCTGGACACGGCTCTGGACCCGGCTCTGGACACGGCTCTGGACCCGGGTCTGGACCCGGCTCTGGACAAGCCATTATTTCTTGAGGAAAACGGAAAAAACGTCAAGGGTTTCTCAGTTGATGATCCGCAGAAATTTGTTTTTTACGCAAAATCAATTTAAAAACATATTTCTGTAGCAAAAAATCCTGACCTGATGGAGCAAAACCAAGGTCATTTTCAGACTCAGAGCCTCAACATTAGTCTAATTCAGCTGAAAACCCTGGACTATTTTCAACAAATATTCTTTTGTTACCCAGTGCAATAATACGGGTGTATATTAGAGATGAAGAGATCCTTTGTTTATCCCACAATGGGGAAATGTCAGTGTTGCATCACAGGTTATAGAACAGTAGAAAGAGGAGCACACGGCACAAGATAAGTGAACAATAGCTGTACTAATCAAAATAAAATCTAACTAGAACCTGGTACAATACTCTCTCCTCTTCACTATTAGCCACAGATGTAAGTTGGAGGGCCTTACGTTAGCATACAGCAGCCATTCCCAAACTCAGTAACACCGAGGCCCCCTTAAAAATCTGACGGGTCAGCGTGGCCCCCCAAAATAATAACCAAGAAGACAACATTAAGAATAGGCTCTTCTGGTTATTTTATTTTGGGGAAATAGCCTCTGCTACAAACATTGTAATACAAAAATGATTACAGTGGATTATTCAAGTCAAATAATGAACACAAATATTTTAATATTACAAACAAAACATTATAAATTTAACATTAAATAATAATATATTATTTTTTTTTTTTTTATGACCTCCCGCGGCCCCCCTGCAGTACCCTCGCGGCCCACCAGGGGGCCGCGGACCCCACTTTGGGAGACACTGGCATACAGTGTCAGCTTCAGTCACAGTCTGTCTGTATACTTCAGCGTTTCAGCCTGGCCAGTGTGTCTCTCCGCATCCAGCAAAATGCATGCTGGGATAGGCCCCTGTTGCCTCCGCCTTCAGTCACATGTATTTTTTTTACAGGACGGCTAAAGACTTCAAAATGATGAGCGATATGAAGAAAAAACTCAACCCTCGCAATGCTGTAAGTGGTTCACTCTTCCTCCTCCTCCTCCTCCTCATCATCGTATGTCCACAAGTGTCATGTCGGAGTTATTACTTTCACCTCTTTCTGAAGTCTGCTCCTCTCCCTGAGCTCACACACACACACACCAGTCTGGAGGTTGAGTCCCAGGTGTAGATCTCAGCTTTGTTTAAAACCACATTGGAATAATTGTGCAAAAAAAGGTCTGTTATAAGAAGAGAAAAGGCGAGCTTAGAGATTTGTTCTGTCTGCTTTGTGGTTGTGAAATGCAGGTGTCCAGTAGCAGCTAATCATTCTAAAAAAAAGCTAACAATAGTGATAAAAATACAACAGTCCTTCAGGTCACAGCAGCAGAGGTGGAGCCACTTGGTTCAGACCATTCTCTGCTCTGGTCCAAAGTAAAATGCAAAATGCTTCATTAGCATTTTTCAAAAAGTTAGCATTCCTCCAGTGGATTTTCACCTGATCCACTTGGTTCAGACCATGAATCCTCTCTGCTCTGGTCTGGACCAGTGTAAAACCATGAATCCTCTCTGCTCCGGTCCGGACCAGTGTAAAACCATGAATCCTCTCTGCTCCGGTCCAGACCAGTGTAAAACCATGAATCCTCTCTGCTCCGGTCCAGACCAGTGTAAAACCTCTCTGCTCCGGTCCGGATGTAAAACCATGAATCCTCTCTGCTCCGGTCCGGACCAGTGTAAAACCATGAACACTGTATTGCAGCAACATTTCCGGTAGAAAAAAGCAAGAAAAAAACAATTTTAAAACACAAAACAACAACTGTTTCAGAGACACTTAGGACTCGCCGCCGTTTCCAGAACATTCTAAATAAAACACGTGTCCATCAGTTACCCCCGTCTTCATGTTTTTTTACTTTATACTTATTTTATTTCTCGCATATTTTCACTGAATGGACCCAAGATTTGATTTGATCATGTGCTCAAGTTTCATGGTTTGAATTGACAAAGTATTGCTCTAAAAAAGTATATTTGCGACACAGGCGTCCTCTGAACTAATCACTGCGGCGCACAAAAGTCACAAAAGTTTTCGTCTGACTATAATTAAAGGTAACGGTCGTGTTTTGCGAGCGGTTACATGATGTTGGAGTTTACATGCGGCACACAAACATGAGACAGCGAGGCCATGAAAGCTGAAAATTGCACTGAAAATTTGCACAATATTAGGATTTTTTGCCATTCCCACAATAAACCCTACAATAAATGAAAAGTGTAGATGTTGACGTGCGCCTGTGTTTGTGTTTATCAGGAGCTGATGCCCTGGGACCACCCGTACCTGAGCGGCGTCCTGCGTGCAGAGAGGTCAAGAATTGCTTTTTATTCTTTTGCTTGTCATTGTCATAATCAGAGAGAATGATGCCTCTCTCAGTCTGGTCCTGTCACGTGTGGAGTTATCCCTTTTTCCACAACAGAGACTTTTCATACCCTTAAGATTAGAGTATAATTTGGTGTGTGGATTTCAATATAGGTCTAGAAGGTTCTTGCATGAAATAGTCAGGATTGTTACTTGTTTAAACGTATGTACACAGTGAGTTCTGGCGCCCGGATCACAGACTTTCTGATTGGTGAAGCGGTGGAGGGCGGGACATCAAAATGAAAACAATAACAAGATTTAGAGGCTGGAAAAGTAATTTATAAATTCAAATATCTCTGAACTTCTGTTATCAGATAAAGAAGTATTGGAAAAGAGCAGGTTTTATTAATGCCGTTTGACAGATTATGGCCCTTGATGACTTGACATGAAAATCTAACATAATGCTACTTAAAATTAAAGTTATTTTTTAGATATATATTTTTTTATTCAATGTCAATTTTTATACAGAAATATTGTTTTTTTTTTTTTTTTTTTTTTTACTGCTTTTTTTGCAACCTTTTTTATCTGTTTCATATTTATTTTTAAAAAAATCTTTATTTATCTTCAATTGTTTACAAATGTATATTTAGAAGTGGCATTGCGTTGGAAGTCCTTTGTATCGCGCTGGTATCGTATCAGCTCTGAAAGATACAGCCCTAATCTTCAGTACTTTATTTTCATGCGATCAGATTTTAACATATTTTGAACCACAATCTGAGATACACATGAGTTTTAGATAGTTCTAAACCAGCCACATATTTTTTACTTCCTCTGTCTGTAATTATGGGGAGCACCTCTATAACAGCATCATTTTTGTACATTAAGTATTTTAGAAATGTACTTCAAATAGTCCCTCCTCTTTGCAAAACCACAACCAGTGCGATTTTCTGAAGACTAATGAGACTACGTAGACGCTCGGGACTAAACAGGATATTTACTGAGTGCACTCTTGGATTTGTATAAGTATTTCCGTGAGTATGACTTCAGACAATATTATTACAGATCCATGGGTTAGACGGTGGCTGTTTTGTTGTGAAGATTTTTCTTATAACGCTGCAATGCTCCCATAATCCACTGGAGGGCGCCAAAACAACAGAAACCAACCATCCTAAATATGTGCTTTTAAACTGTTTGGAGACATATAGAGTAATAGAATGATTAAATATTTTGGTACATATGTTTTTGGATGTAGATTAACCAAGTTTCATTCATATAATTTTACAAGTTCACACACAGGCAGTGGTTGATTATCATTTTCTGTCTCTTCAAGAATCGACCAACATTCACTTTGAACTATTTTATCTTAACAAATTTTATGAACCGTGGGTTTGAGTTGTGTCTATAGTGGACTTTACCCCACACTGCAACACAATAGTTTGAATCTAACATTATGCATGAAGGAGGAAATAACATTGGTGAACATTCAAGATTGAAGATTAATTTATAATGTCCCGTAGGAAATTTGTCTTGGACTCACAGGCTGCTACATTGAAAATACACATAAGACAGACATAAAAACACAACACAGTAACACCGACATGAACCATCACTGCTCTGCTCCATGGTCTGCACTCAGGAGGTTCCCAGATATGGGTAGGAATGAGTTCTTATATCGGTTTAGAGATCGTTTCTTATTTCTAGTTCTCTGTCGTGGCACCTGATGGGAGGAGTTCATACTGAGAGTGGAAGACATGAGAAGGGTCTGAGGTGTCTTTGCCTGTCTAATAAGTCTCCTCAAATATCTGCTGCAAAGATGGATGCTCCCTCACTCCCATGACCTTAAGTTCTGCTTTTGTTTTAACAGTCAAATTCCCAAACCACACATACCATATCTTATTACACTCTCGATTACAGCATGATAAAATAGCGTCATTATTTTCTGTTTGAAAAGTAAGTGAGTGGATCTTGTCCGTGTTGCGCAGGTACAACATCGAGCCCAGTCTGTACAGTCCGTTCCTGTCGCTGGGCGCGTGCATGGAAGGCCTGAACAATCTCTTCTCTCAGCTGTACGGCGTCTGCCTCATGTCGGAGCCGCCCAGAGCCGGAGAGGTGTGGAGCGAGGACGTGCGCAAACTGGTACACTGGAACACTGTCCTTTGTGCTTTATTAGAGTCAATGCTTTGGAGTTACAACTTATTTTTTTACTCTGAATATTATTATTATGCTTTGGGTGACCTTGGTCTGTAAAATGTGCTATATAAATAAACCATTACTTATTTACTAATAGCTTGACAATTACCACACTGAGATTCCTTTTTGTCAATTCAATAATGGTTTTTACCAGGTGTCTCCAACCTTTTTCACCCAGAGAGCTACTTTCCCGTGACAATAACAGCAGAGAGCTACTCCTTTAAAGACCTTATGACGGGTTTTTTTTTTTTTAATTGTGGATATCAAAATTGCATGACAATGTCGATCTGAAAGAGATTCCGGCAAAAAAAATCTTATATTTTATAAAAAGAACGTGTTTTTCATGAATTTAAGTTGTCTATGCTCTAACCCAGGGGTGTCAAACTCATTTTGGTCCGGGGGCCACATACAACCTAATCTGATCTCAAGTGGGCCGGACCAGGAGATGCTCTACAAAAATATCCAAAAACGGTACAAAGTCCAACTTTTTGTGCACATAAACACATTTATTTAAAACTTCCTTTAAAACACTATCCTTTAATACTCAGTTTTCTGTTACAAACTTAAATGTAACAGTGAGTTTTCCATAGTGCAAATAATGTAGCGTATTTACAATATTACATTGAAAATGGTATTTCACAATATGTATATTAATATTTGTGTGTTAGCTTTGTTTTAAGGCTCATTACAGAGAAAACCTGCTCACAAAGGTAAAGTAGGTAGATAGAAAAAAGCACTTAAACACAGCACCTCAGCTTAACCATCTTCAGTGTGGTAAGGTCCATGGTTACGTTATTATCACATTAACCTTCTTCAGTGTGGTAAGGTCCATGGTTATGTTATTATCACATTAACCATCTTCAGTGTGGTAAGGTCCATGGTTATGTTATTATCACATTAACCATCTTCAGTGTGGTAAGGTCCATGGTTATGTTATTATCACATTAACCTTCTTCAGTGTGGTAAGGTCCATGGTTATGTTATTATCACATTAACCATCTTCAGTGTGTAAGGTCCATGGTTATGTTATTATCACATTAACCTTCTTCAGTGTGGTAAGGTCCATGGTTATGTTATTATCACAGAGAAAGCATCAAACTGACCATGATTCACTTGAAATGAATAAAACAACTTCCATAACGTGATCCATTCTTAACGACTGCAGCAGTGTCTCTGTGTAAAATACAGTCAAATGTCCAAAAATCATCACCTCCATTTGCAGCTTTGTCACTACACCTGTTTTTACCATCGGTACCAGTCCACACTGTCCAACACACCAGCAACAACAGCAGAACCAGCAGCAGCGCTCAAAACTCCTCTGATAGTTTCAGTAACACCACAAATGAATATGTGACATCAGTAACATCAGTCTCTTATCAATGGCAACATGTTGGTAAAAGCGAGTGGTTTCTCAGACCATGTCTGCAGCCTGTGAGAGTTTTAACAAACTCTCTCTCACTGTGCGGCTGCGATGCTAATGCTAATGTTGTTAGCACAGGTAGCTTCCCTTTACAGCAGCAGAACTAACCTCTCGCTCTGGGCACAAACAGACTGCTGTGTCTTCAGGGCCAGACATGTTTATCTTCTGTTTTCTCAATTCTTCGCTGAAAGTGCCGTATTTTTCGCCGAGTCTTGTAGTTTAAGATGTTATTCCTTCAGCACCGCTCTGGTGGAGCCACTACAGACGCACTGGACTCACCCCTGAGCGCGGCGCTGCGGCGTCGCGGCGCCTCGCGGCGCGGAGCGGCATTTTAAAATGTAACTTTATTATATTTTTACATAAATGAGCCACGGGCCGTGTCAAATCTCTTGGCGGGCCGGTTCCGGCCCGCGGGCCGTATGAATGACACCCCTGCTCTAACCTGTGTGTGACGTCACAGCGGGTAACGCCCATGCATTGAAAACCATGGATCTATGCCCAGTGATGGGAATAACGGCGTTACTAGTAACGGCGTTACTTTTTTCAGTAACGAGTAATCTAACTAACTACTTTGACAGTAACTATAACGCCGTTATCATTTCCGACGTCCCGTTACTGCGCGTTACTCAGATTCAGATTCAGATTCATTTATTTGCCATTTGCAGTAAAACCACATTGGAAAACTGTGCAAGACTACCCCGGTGTGCACCAGACGACACACACCAGAGCTCTTGCCACGGCGCCATCTTTACGGCGCCATGCTTTTTTTTTTTGCTTTTTTTTTACTCAAGACGCACAATGAACGTGTTGTCATGAGAGAAGGGAGGATGAGAAAACCTCTCAGCAATTATTGGCTGATGTAAAACATATTTCCTTTACAGTCTACATGTCTACAGTTGAGCCGATGGCTCATAAAGTGTGTTTTTGAAACAAATATGGGTCTTAATCGCGCTCAACCACGGCTTGTATCACCGTGAGGGCTCAGAGGAGAGCATGAGAGCGCAGAAGTCGGCTGCATACAATTCCATCGATAAGCTCCTTGCTCTTCCTGGTTTATCTGCTAAGGACAGCAACAGGTTTGGCTAACATACATATAACACTTTTTTACATAATCTAAAATGCACATAGGGTAATTTTTCAATGACTATAGGAATGATAAGAAAGAGGTGAAGTGTGGGACGGTTGATTTTAGAAATTGGATGCAGCCGGCTGCAGCAAAACAGAGTAGTTTACGGAGGACACACGCGTTTTGTTTTACTTTTTAAAACTCATTGGACTCATTTCCAAATGGAGGATTACATATCTACGCTCAAACTATTAACTGGATTTAAACATGGAACTGGTCTGAACCGAAGTGGACTGTGCAGGTCATTTATAAGGTAAGACCCATAACTCATAGTTTTGCGTTTTGTATGAACAAACAATGCATAAAACATATTTTGCTGTAGCCAAACAAATTGTCCACTTGATTTATATGATGTATATGTTCATCTGATTGGACTGAAGTCAGTGCTTCACCGGTGTTTCCACGTTCACAGTGGAGCGTGTTGGTGTTTAGTGCTTACAGCACAGAGAGAGATGAAGAGTGAACAGGACTTCAGCAACAAAACAGCCTTTTCTAGATGGAAATATTGGCACTATTTCAGACTCACTGAGGTTAAAGGTTAACGGTCAACATGTGCACGTCGAGTGCACATTATGTTCCAGAACAAAACGAAAAAGTAACGCAATAGTTTCTTTTACTGGTAACTAGTTACTTTTATAGTGGAGTAACTCCGTTAGTAACTCAGTTACTTTTTGGGAGAAGTAACTAGTAACTATAACTAATTACTTTTTCAAAGTAACGTGCCCAACACTGTCTATGCCACAGGACTGCCTTTTCTCTCTTCTCTCCACTGATGCCCAACACAATACTGCCCTCTACAGGTGACAATTTCTCACTACACGTAAATTGCCGTTTTGAGAGTGAAAAGGTGTCCGAGGTGGGATTTGAACCCCAGTTTCTGGATTGACAGTCCATCGACACAACCACTGGACTATCTCAGTGACAACGAAGAGTTACAATCTAGTTTTTATGTCATACTCGCTGTACACGGCCTTGTCATCTTGAATATCCGCGAAAAAAGAACAAATACCAAATTGTAAACAACTTACAGCGTTGAAACGTACCCGTTCTGACGTCACCAAGGGCTGTGAAGTTTTTTCGTCTCTAAGGGCGTTGCTATGGGGTTATTTCGATTTGGGGGGGATCAGATAAAAAAAACAACTGATTTTGAAACCTTTAGTAGTTCTCTTCTAATATAAAATGGTATTAAAACTGTATTTCTAAATAAATCAAACCCGTCATAAGGTGTGGTAAACAGTGACCTATGTACTGCACAGGTGGACAAATGCAAGACAAAATAGTATTAATAACCTGGCCTTGTGGAGGTCTCAAGGACCACAGAGACTTTCGTTGTTTAGGCTATTTGTGCCGAAGGTTTGGCCTTTTCTATGATGATGTAGATTTCCATATATAATGTATCTGTGTCTTTTGTTCTGCCTGAAAATTAACGACCATTTTGTGAATAAACCAGCCAGGAGGCTTTGTCGTACAAAGATCCCAATTTGCATGAGTCTGATTCCTATCAAAGGTCTTTAAGCAGCCCTGGAAAAGTGTGGTGATGTATTGGTGTGAACGAGCCTGATATTGGGTACAATGTGCTGTAGAGATTTCATAACACTTTGAAGCAATTATGGTTAAAGTTCTAACTTCATTCTTACATATGCAGAAGCCTGTACTTTTCCACTTGATGTTTTGATTTCTGAAGGCCAAGCCACAAGCACACTGTGGCAGCTGCCGATTGGAGGTCTCTGTTTCTCCTGAGTATATTACCACTTTCTGTCTGTGCTCTTGTTGTCTCTACCATTGACAATAAAACATGTCTTCTGTCTGAATTAAACACACAATCCCAGACTTTGGCTGATTCCCAACAGTGCAAGTCCCATTATGATGCTAGTCCATTATGAGCATTAGCAATAGGAGCTTTCAGACTGAACCGAGAATAATCTGGCGCCCTTATTATTCCCACTGTGCGGAAATAACAAAACAAAAAATCAAGAAAAATGACCTAAATATTTAAAGGTTTTATCTTGATTGCTAGGGGCGACAGTAGCTCAGTTGGTAGAGCAATGGCCTTCAGGCCTGAAGGTCGTGGGTTCAATTCCCACCTCTACACCTTCTCCACCGACTCCCACTGATGACTGCTGTCGTTGTGTCCTTGGGCAAGACACTTAACCCCACTTTGCCCAAAGCCCCCACTGAAATATCAAGGCTATGCTCACAGTCAGAGAGCAGCTGTCCTCCTGTGGACTCACCACCTGCAGAGGGTCAGTGAGGGGCTGGTGCTATGAGACTTGGGTGGCATCTCTGACTGCCACCCCCCTGACCCAGAAATGGATTAAAGGGTAGAAAATGGATGGATGGATGGATCTTGATTGCTGATTTATGGCTACCTTTTGGGGGCCCTCCTGAAATTCCTTTGAGGACCTCCAGGGGGCCCCAGAACCCACTTTGGGAAGCACTGCATTCGAATTTTGTGATGCGTTTTATTTCAAGCTACATTTCCTTTTTAAATACAGTGTGTTTTTTTTATGAGAATTGGTTGTAGCTCACAAAATAAATCATTACTGAAAAATTGGTTTAGCTCTAAGTGTTTGTTTATGCATCAGATCCAAACTGTGCTCATGAGAATGGAACTTTCCAAACTAGTGAATTCTGCACAAAAGTTCTCGTAGATCCTGATGAAGTTACTCCAAAACTTTATGAGCCGCAGGTGAAGTCTGGCAGAGTGAATAGAAGGTTCTCAGTCTGCGTATTGTGTTACAGCTTTTGTGTGTCTGTGTGTGTGTGTGTGTGTGTGTGTCTCTTTTCCAGGCCGTAGTGCACGAGAGTGAGGGTTTGCTGGGATACATCTACTGTGACTTCTTCCAGCGCCAGGACAAGCCTCACCAGGTGCTCCTTTGTCTCCGACACACAACTCAGCGCCGTGTCACCGCTTCACATTTATTATAGATCCAGTTATTGTGAAGAATAAAACAGCTCGATGTAACTGGAGCTGGGTATGTTCCAGAGCAGACCTGAGCAAAATACGGCCCGGGGGCTGGGGCTGGCCCGCCTAGAAATGTAAACCGGCCCATTGCTCATTTTTCATGAAAGTGTACTTTTTCTGGGAATGGTACAAATGTAACGGGGGAAACTTTCCATGGGCATGAATGGGAATTTAAAGGCAATGACAGGCATTTATGGGGATGATCGGGAATTGACGAGGAATTTTCGTTCCTGGTTAATTCTGCAGCTAGTTAGGGACCAGGTCTGCAAACTGGCTGTAGGCGATACGGCCCGTGAACATAGCATCGGTTCCTAACAATGCCTCCTGTTCTGTCCCTATCAAATAAACTCATAATAATAATAATTTTCTGTATTTAAGGTTGGCTCTTCATTTCAATCCGTTTATTATCCATTTCTGGGTTGGGGGGGGTTGCAATCAGAGCTTTCACCCAATTCCTTGCTGATCCTCCTGCAGGTGGTGGGTCCACGGGAAGATGGCTTGGTACGGCCTTGGTGTTTCAGGCATAGTTTTAAGCATAAGGACAGAACAGACTCTAAAAGACCAATAGAAAAACATGGCCATAGACTTGTCCACATCAAAAGAACATTCCAAAAAAAGCTTTACCATTTACTGCTGCCCACTTTTGATGGTGACAATAAAGTGTTGAGCTTTTGAGTATCCTGCTTTAGTGTCATTAAACAAAAGTTGGTGTTTTTTTAATCCTAATAATGAGAGAATTATAGAGTTTACATCTGTTTGTGCCTTAGCTCATTGCCAGCCATTTTTGATGATTTCACTGACTTTCAAGACCCACAGAATATTTTGTGCTATGACTGTGTGAAATATGAAACCAGATTCTGAAAGATCGGACTGTCCACTTTCATCAGCAAAAATAAGTTGGCTTCTAGCTAGTTTTGTTCTGCTGTAATCCCCGTCGAATAGAAGCAAGTTTGACAGAAATCACCAGTCTCAGACAAACACGGCAATGGCAGTCGATGAGTTAACCTGCCCCCCCCCCCCCCCCCCCTCTCTCAGGACTGCCACTTCACCATCCGCGGGGGGCGCTGGTGTGAGCAGTCGGGACAGTACCAGGTGCCTGTGGTGGTCCTGATGCTGAGCCTGCCGCCCCCGTCCCGCTCGGCCCCCACCCTCCTCACCCCGGGCATGATGGAGAACCTCTTCCACGAGATGGGCCACGCCATGCACTCCATGCTGGGACGCACCCGGTACCAGCACGTGACGGGTGAGCTCCTCTACAACGATACAACATGCTTTTTTTGGTTCGTTTGACTCAACAGAAGTGTCTTGTTTAATTAATTAACATTTAGCGAACAAATCAGACCATAATCATGTTGTTTAAGACTTGAAAGAGGCCAAAACTACAGGCAATGATAGAACCAAACAGCTTCGAGAGCAAGAAACATGGATTTTATTACAAACTTTAGGATTTTTTGTGGTTTCGATGTCTGGTTCTCTGGCACTTTCTCTCTGTGATTCCATATTCATAATTTTGACATTAATCTAATTTCATAAACACATATTTTTGGACCAAAATCCCCCAGTGGCCTCTTCCTTACACACTGAGCGACTCGGGCTGGTGTGTCAGAATGACTCTGTATTTAACCCTTGTGTCCTAGTCAGTGGGGAAATTTCAGGGTTGCATCACAAGTTACAGAACAATGAGGAGCACACAGCGCAAGAAAAATGATCAATATCTATACTAATTAAAATTAAATAAAATCTCTAGCTAAAGAAGTATAACAATTTTACATTGAAGTGGCAAGTGTCATTTTCTCTTACAAAACCCCTGACTCCAATAATCCAAGTGCCACAGCAGTAAAAGCTCAGGAGAGGAGTCAAAACAAGGTATTTGGATGCAAGAGATTACTATTTACTCACTCATGCATAAATCACTCTTAAAAACAAGTGTGAGGAGGTATTGGAGAACTCTCTCAATCAGAGCTGAGGTCGCATATGTCCCCTTTAAACAAGTGCATGGGTTCTGGCTGATTTCATGAGCTGTGAAAGTGATTAGTGTCAGTATTGTGATGGCGATGACAGAGCAGACGTAAAAAGCCTCCAGGCAGCGGCGGGATCGGCTGCTCCTGTCAAACGTGTTGCTAAACAGAGCTGTTGCACTCTGGGTAATCTGTGTCTCCTCTGGATTTGGTCATTGATACCTTTGGATCCGTCTTGTGTTTGCCCGTTGTGTTTGTGGGTGATTCATGCAGGTTTGTTTCATTCTTTAAGGCCATTCACAATAACAAATGTTGATGCTCCACCCGTTTCGACCAGCTCTGTCCTGTTTTGACGTAAAAAGATGATGAAAAATGAGAAACTCGACCGGTGTGTTTGAATTGGATTGACAGACGCATGTATAGGTGTGAAAATCCAGTCTGTGGGCCAAAACTGGATCGAGCCATTTCCTCTCCATTTCCACTGAGCTGAAACCACGTAAACTGATTCCACTGAGACACGGCCAGCGGATGTATTCAAGAGCACAGGGAAATGTCACGCTTATGTTATGAATATATGTATTTAGAGGCACAGCGGCGACTCACTCAGGTTGCTCATTGCGATGAAGGATGAAGCAGTCAGATGTTGCACATATGTTACCAGTCTGTTGTCGCTAGTGCCGTGTTTTTCGGGGTCATGTGTTGGGGCCAGTCTGACCTCGAGAGACAGTAACCGGCTCGACAGGCTGATCGGGAAATGTGTCTCTGTGATGGGGAGAAGTGTGGACTCTAATGCTCCTATCTCTACGCTGCCGAACGGAACATTTCAAGAGATCCTTCGTTGCTTCGGCTGTCAGACTGTACAACAAACCTGGATGAGTTAAAAATATGCACTATTTTTACGAATTTCTTCTACGGATAGTATTTTTTGGTCAAATGGTTCAATGCAGTTTCTTACTGGTCCTGCACTTATGGTCACTACTGAGACACCAGACCAACTGTAGAATCTTTGCAAGACCGTATTTTTGTTATTTTGTTTTTCTTTCTAAAGCCATATAAAAAAAAACAGCTTGACAGTTTAGTATGGAGATACATCACATAATTTGATCGTGTCATATCACCAGATACAATTCGCCGCTTGGCTTTCATTGTTCTGTTGTTGTTACGTTGGACAAAGGCAGAAACATGGTGTGTTTAATGCACCGTGGAAATGAAACGGCTGCTGCTCAGACTGGTTTACAAATAACAGCCTTATGGTCCTCACTGATGATGCTGGAGTGTTGCACAGGCATTTCACTGCATTTAACCAAATCCCGGGAGAAAAAGGTCTCTACCCAAATCTGCTGTGTTAAATCTGTGTTATGCTGGTGCTTTGTTTTGATGTCTTGAAAGTTCAGTCCCACCTCAAAGTTGGTTAAAAGCCCAAACGACGTCTCTGTTTTGCAGGAACGAGATGTGCCACAGATTTCGCAGAAGTCCCATCTATCCTGATGGAGTATTTTGCCACAGACTACAGAGTCATCAGCCAGTTCGCCCGTCACTACGAGACCGGACAGGTGCTCCATGTCTCTGTTTGGAAAGCCCCGCTGTGTGCAGTGGATTAAACAGCTGTAGTAATAACGGTGTCTTCTGCCCCCAGCCGCTGCCCGAGACCATGGTGGCCCGACTGTGCGAGTCCAAGAAGGTGTGCGGAGCTGCGGACACACAACTGCAGGTACAGAATCACAAACAAGTCTGAGCAGTTCAAGTACAAGGGTTATTGTGTTGGTCTCATAAAATCATTTGGCGGTGATAGTATCCTGAATAGAGTGGAGTTTGCACAAGCTGTGATCAATGAACGTGATCAATGAAGCAAAGGGAAAGATTAGACATTAAAGATGAAACAATGGCATACCTTATCTAAGAAATAAAATAAGTAAGTAAGTAAGTAAGTAATCTTTATTTATATACCACCTTTTCACTGCAGATCTGAGTCTCAAAGCGGTTTACAATTGTAAATTTTTTTTTGGGCATTTGTCTCTCACCCCACACAGAGATGGGAGCGGGGTCACCAGTATAGGAGGCGCATGCCAGAACTATTGGACATATTTTTAGTGGTAGGGGAAACCGGAGTACCCGGAGGAAACCTACGCAGACACGGGGAGAACATGCAAACTCCACTCAGAAAAGCCCTGGTCCGACCGGGATTCGAAACCAGGACCTTCTTGCTGAGAGGCGAGAGTGCTATCCACTCAGCCACCGTGCCGCCCCCGCCCAAATAACAGATTCTATGTAAATGTTTTGACAGTAAAAACAATCTGAGCCAAAGTTTGAAGCAGCATTTAAAACCTATCCAGGGGTGTCCAAACCGGTCCAGAAAGGGCCGCTATGACTGCAGGTTTTCTATCAGACCCAGCAGGAGCAGCGCAGACTCCGCCCATTTCCTCAAGTGAGTTTAGGCCCTTTCTGGACCGGTTTGGACACCTCTGACCTATACCCTGTGTGTGGGGAGCTTAGAAACAGGATTTGCACATTACTTTTTGAGTGAGGTTCACAAATGAGTTCCTGCAGATGATGAGACTTTTTTTATGCTAAAGTCTAGATCAGCCCAAAAAGTCCAATACTGACGGCTAGTTGTGGTTTGTTCTGTTTGATTTGTTCAAACTATTTTACTTTAGTGCACAACTAAAATGCTTTGTAAATGCAAGGGAAAATGTAGGTACCCAAGCTTTAATTTAGCGAGTTTTATGCCGCTTTTCCACAGTCCTAGTACGTGCATGGATTTTAACATCAGAGCAAGTGTTTAATGGAAAATTCAGCACAGCTCGAGTAGTTTTTGGAAAAGCTTTTGTCTTAAAAGAATGACTCGGAAACTGTGAAGTCAATGGTGCTGACTGCTCTGTACAATCTGAATGGGACCTGTAGCAACAGCAGCCTGTGTAGCAGTGATGCTGCTAGGCTATAGCTAATGCTAGCGCTAGCTCGAGACTCTGCTCACTCACTAACCCTGGATTCCAAAGCTACTACTGTACTACACTTAACACATCTATCACTGCCCTCAGAGGAGGATCCAGGGTTTAAACTCGTCATATGGCAACTCGAGCAGTAAAATAATAATAATAATAATGCATCGGTTTTATATAGCGCTTTTTTGGACACTCAAAGATGCTTCACATGTGTCATTATTCATTCACTCCATACATGGTGGTGATAAGCTACTGCTGTAGCCACAGCTGCCCTGGGGCACACTGACAGAAGCGAGGCAACCAGTATGCGCCATCGGCCCCTCCGACCACCACCAACCATTCATACACACACCAGACTCATTCTAGGCAATGGGGGTGAAGTGTCTTGCCTAAGGACACAACGGCAGTTTGGCATTTTACAGCCGCAGCCGCCCCACTGTGGCTGGTGTTCCCAGAGGTTAAGTGTCTTGCCCAAGGACACAACGACAGTAGTCAGTGGGAGTCGATGGTGAAAGTCTTGAGCGGGGCTTGAACCCACGACCTTCTGGCTCAAAGGCCAACGCTCTACCAACTGAGCTACTGCCCCGAGGGAGAGACAGCGGCAGCCATAGGGGTAGCGAGTTAGCGGCCAGGCTAGGCTAAGCTAGGCTAGGCTAGTCCGGACTCGGGTCCGGACTACAGCAGACTCCGAGACCAGACAAACAATCGATACCCAAACCTCAGCTACAATAATAATAAATGAATGAAACACAGTCTTGATACAATCACAGATTTATTGAAAACAAAAGTAAAGTGCAAAACCAACAGTTTACAAAGTCAAAAGTACGTATGTGTGAGACCAGGTCCAGACCAGGTCCAGACCAGGTCCAGATGAGGAGAATACCCCGGTCACTCATTACTCGTTGGTAATCTCCTCACTTATGGGAAGGGATTCTCATACAAATATACACACAACAACTTAAATACAAGCACAAAACAGAATGACAACACGTGAATACTGCAGATAATACGAGATAAAGCACAGTAGCACAGGGAGGACGTTAGCTTAGCTGCTATCGATAGCTAAATGAAGCTAAATGTAGCTAGCTCACTGTGTACAACAGACAATCGAACATGTACACAGTAAATTCATTTCAGTGAGAGCTTTAACAGGATTTGTATCTAACCAGTTATTTCAGGATTACCACAGACTAGTCACAAATCCAGAGCTGGTGATCTCCTGAAAACTGTGTTGAGCCTCGAGCTGCCTTTGAATTCTTTCTTTGGCCTGAAGAGCGGAACGTGTGGACCTCTTCCACCGACCAGGACCAGGACTTTTGGGGCTTTCTGTGCAATTCCATTTCTCTGGAGTGAGGAGGACGTAATGTAGCCGAAGCAGAGCCGAGCAGAGCAGCCGGTTTTAAAGATGGCGGTTGAGTTGTTTTTTCCAAAGGGTCAGAGGTCGCTTCCAGTGACGACACTCGTTGACCAATCAGTGTAAGGCAGTGGGCCGACGTCACGTAATGGCACGGGTACTATGGGGATGGAACCACGGCTGAGGCAGTACGGAAAAGTACTCAAATCTCCCATTCCATCCACAAGTGGAAACGCAAAATAACCGTGCTGAAGCGTACTGTACTGTACCGTACTGATACTGTGGCATTAGATGCGCTTCGGGAAGAGACACAGAGGAGACACGGACACTTCCTGAGGCTCCATAGGATTTTTAAGGATTTTTTCTTTCAGATTGAGAATTCCTCGGCCTGAATTAGGACCAAACCCGGTCTTGAGTAGGACTATGTCTAAACTAAATGAGGATTCATCTTCGCCCTAAAGAATGAAGATGAAATAGACTTTTTTTTAACCATGTGACACCATCGTTCTCTGATTAAAAACAGACCTGGACTTGTTTTTCGACCTCAAACATGTATCTCCTCCCCTTCTGTCTTATAGCTCCTGTCTCAGTCCTGTATCAGTATGACGTCATCGTACACCACAGCGTTTGCCCAATGCCAAAGAAGCCGTTTTCTTGAGCCTATTTCCTTAAATGACCATGTAGGAGCCAAAATGTACCTTCCCTTAGGCACAGGGTGGCGCTGTGGGCGTCATGTGACCTGAGCCCATTCTCCTGTAAAAAGGGCAGAATTAGAGTGCACAGGTGCTGCTAGGTTTGGAGGTAAACAGTTTCTTACCGTGTCAATTGTGGATGTATTATGTTTATGTGGATTAATGGTCATGGGGGCAAATAAAGAAACCTCTGATACACTATTTGGACTGTGGTTTGTGGAGACACGCGTTTGGGAAACCCTTCATTCTTAGCAGCCAGGAGGCGATCTATAGGCAACATCTTCGCCTCTACAGACCGTTTGTTATGACAAGTTTAGCTTTGCGCTGTAACAAGGTCAGACATGTTGCTAAGGTGGTTTCTCTCACGAATGAAGGCGTTTGATTGGTTAGTCCTTATGGCTCATATCTGGATTCACAAAGACAATCTCAAAATATACACACCAGGGTCATAGAGAGCGCCAAACGGTTACTGAGCGAGAGGAGTGACCTTTGTAATGTAAGTGAATTGCAGCAAAACCTATTGGGCTTCTTTGAGCGAGCTACATATGTTCTATCTACAGACAAGAGGCCCATGATCACTCTGGATGAACTGCAGATAACTACAGCTGAGGTGGGGATGGTGTGTTCAGGGTGATGAGCTGTGTTGCTTTTACGCCAAACATATCGTTTCGCATTGTGGCCAAAAAGTTCGATTTTGGTTTAATCTGACCAGAGCACCTTCTTCCACATGTTTGGTGTGTTTCCCAGGTGGCTTGTGGCAAACTTTAAGAAACTTTTATTGGATATCTTTGAGAAATGGCCACTCTTCCATAAAGGCCAGATTTGTGAAGTGCACGACTGATTGTTGTCCTATGGACAGACTCTCCCACCTCAGCTGTAGTTATCTGCAGTTCATCCAGAGTGATCATGGGCCTCTTGGCTGCATCTCTGATCAGTCTTCTCCTTGTTTGAGATGAAAGTTTGGAGGGACGGCCGGGTCTTGGTAGATTTGCAGTGGTCTGATACTCCTTCCATTTCAATATAATTGCTTGCACAGTGCTCCTTGAGATGTTTAAAGCTTGGGAAATCTTTTTGTATCCAAATCCGGCTTTAAACTTCTCCACAACAGTATCTCGGACCTGCCTGGTGTGTTCCTTTGTCTTCATGGTTCTCTCTGCGCTTTAAACAGAACCCTGAGACTATCAAAGAGCAGGTGCATTTATACGGAGACTTGATTACACACAGGTGCATTCTATTTATCATCATCAGTCATTTAGGACAACATTGGATCATTCAAAGATCCTCACTGAACTTCTGGACTGAGTTTGCTGCACTGAAAGTAAAGGGGCCCAATAATATTGCACGCCCCACTTTTCAGTTTTTTATTTGTTAAAAAAGTTTAAATTATCCAATACATTTCATTCCACTTCACGATTGTGTCCCACTTGTTGTTGATTCATGACAAAAAAATAAAATTTTATATCTTTATGTTTGAAGACTGAAATGTGGCGAAATGTTGAAAGGTTCAAGGGGGCCGAATACTTTCACAAGGCACTGTATATACAGTCTGTGTCCCTGACTTGCTAATCTAATTGGATCTCTCCTCAGATTTTCTACGCCGTCCTGGACCAGATCTACCACGGCGTCCCTCAGAACCGCTCCACCACAGACATCATCAGAGACATGCAGCACAAGTTCTACGGCTTACCTTATGTTCCCAACACGGTACGTCCTCCACCCCACCTCCTCCACCTCCTCCACCTCCTCCACCTGCTCCACCTGCTCCACCTCCTCCTAACGCTGTCGGTAGGAGAAAAATCCTCCTTTTGATATCACTTTAAAAAGATTCTTCCTCCTCCACCATTAGGATTAACTAGTTAGGCTAGTAACAGTTAGGCTAGAAATAGTTAGGCTAGTAACAGTTAGGCTAGTAACAGTTAGGCTAGTAACAGTTAGGCTAGTAACAGTTAGGCTAGTAACAGTTAGGCTCATAACAGTTAGGCTAGTAACAGTTAGGCTAGTAACAGTTATGCTCATAACAGTTAGGCTAGTAACAGTTAGGCTAGTAACAGTTAGGCTAGTAACAGTTAGGCTAGTAACAGTTATGCTAGTAACAGTTAGGCTAGTAACAGTTAGGCTAGTAACAGTTAGGCTAGTAACAGTTAGGCTCATAACAGTTAGGCTAGTAACAGTTAGGCTAGTAACAGTTAGGCTAGTAACAGTTAGGCTAGTAACAGTTATGCTAGTAACAGTTAGGCTAGTAACAGTGTACAACAGACAATCGAGCATTTACACAGTAAATACATTTCAGTGAGAGCTTTAACAGGATTTGTATCTAACCAGTTATTTCAGGATTACCACAGACTAGTCACAAATCCAGAGCAATCTCCTGAAAACTGTGTTGAGCCTCGAGCTGCCTTTGAATTCTTTCTTTGGCCTGAAGAGAGGAACGTGTGGACCTCTTCCACCGACCAGGACCAGGACTTTTGGGGCTTTCTGTGCAATTCGGGCGTTCTGCTCTCCCAAAATTCCATCCGATGGGCGGGGGAGCGACTGAATTTTGCGTTGCATTATGGGTAACACTTGCCTTCGCAACTTCCGGTTCTCTCTGCCCGGCGCATTTTCTCTAAATGGTTGAGTGTTTTCGTCATTTTCTGTATGCAAATACATTCCCGTCTCTAACTAGTGGCATATCGCGCAAATCATCCGTCCAATTCACATTCTTCCCTCTTAGCTGAACTTCATTCTCATTGTTACCATCTGTCACTCGCACACACAGCCGTTTTCGTTCACTCTGCTCGCTGTCATCTTCTTCTAAATCTTCATAAACACCATCCGCTCCTTGAACTAGCAACAACAATTCCTCCTTTCGTTTTCCCACACTGCAAATACCCTTTCGCTTCAACCTTTCACGCAATTCAGGCACTGTCAATCGCTTGTTGTTTTTGTGAGCCATATTCGCCATTGTATGAAATCAACCGGAAGTGAACTGGGCAACAAACGGTGTCATTTTTTGATCACAGCGCCGCTCAGTGGATGAAATTTTGGGAGAGCAGAACGCCCGAATTCCATTTCTCTGGAGTGAGGAGGACGTAATGTAGCCGAAGCAGAGCCGAGCAGAGCAGCCGGTTTTAAAGATGGCGGTTGAGTTGTTTTTTCCAAAGGGTCAGAGGTCGCTTAGGCTAGGCTAGTAACAGTTAGGCTCATAACAGTTAGGCTCATAACAGTTAGGCTCATAACAGTTAGGCTCATAACAGTTAGGCTCATAACAGTTAGGCTAGTAACAGTTAGGCTAGTAACAGTTAGGCTAGTAACAGTTAGGCTAGTAACAGTTAGGCTAGTTACAGTTAGGCTAGTAACAGTTAGGCTAGTAACAGTTAGGCTAGTAACAGTTAGGCTAGTTACAGTTAGGCTAGTTACAGTTAGGCTAGTAACAGTTATGCTAGTAACAGTTAGGCTAGTAACAGTTAGGCTAGTAACAGTTAGGCTAGTAACAGTTATGCTAGTAACAGTTAGGCTAGTTACAGTTAGGCTAGTAACAGTTAGGCTAGTAACAGTTATGCTAGTAACAGTTATGCTAGTAACAGTTAGGCTAGTAACAGTTAGGCTAGTAACAGTTAGGCTAGTAACAGTTAGGCTAGTAACAGTTAGGCTAGTAACAGTTAGGCTAGTAACAGTTAGGCTAGTAACAGTTATGCTAGTAACAGTTAGGCTAGTAACAGTTAGGCTAGTAACAGTTAGGCTAGTAACAGTTAGGCTAGTAACAGTTAGGCTAGTAACAGTTATGCTAGTAACAGTTAGGCTAGTAACAGTTAGGCTAGTAACAGTTAGGCTAGTAACAGTTATGCTAGTAACAGTTAGGCTAGTTACAGTTAGGCTAGTAACAGTTATGCTAGTAACAGTTAGGCTAGTAACAGTTAGGCTCATAACAGTTAGGCTAGTAACAGTTAGGCTAGTAACAGTTATGCTAGTAACAGTTATGCTAGTAACAGTTATGCTAGTAACAGTTAGGCTAGTAACAGTTAGGCTAGTAACAGTTATGCTAGTAACAGTTATGCTAGTAACAGTTAGGCTAGTAACAGTTAGGCTAGTAACAGTTATGCTAGTAACAGTTATGCTAGTAACAGTTAGGCTAGTAACAGTTATGCTAGTAACAGTTAGGCTAGTAACAGTTAGGCTAGTAACAGTTAGGCTAGTAACAGTTAGGCTAGTAACAGTTAGCTAGTAACAGTTAGGCTAGTAACAGTTAGGCTAGTAACAGTTAGGCTAGTAACAGTTAGGCTAGTAACAGTTATGGCTAGTAACAGTTAGGCTAGTAACAGTTAGGCTAGTAACAGTTAGCTAGTAACAGTTAGGCTAGTAACAGTTAGGCTAGTAACAGTTAGGCTAGTAACAGTTAGGCTAGTAACAGTTAGCTAGTAACAGTTAGGCTAGTAACAGTTAGGCTAGTAACAGTTAGGCTAGTAACAGTTAGGCTAGTAACAGTTAGGCTAGTAACAGTTAGGCTAGTAACAGTTAGGCTAGTAACAGTTAGGCTAGTAACAGTTAGGCTAGTAACAGTTAGGCTAGTAACAGTTAGGCTAGTAACAGTTAGGCTAGTAACAGTTAGGCTAGTAACAGTTAGGCTAGTAACAGTTAGGCTAGTAACAGTTAGGCTAGTAACAGTTAGGCTAGTAACAGTTAGGCTAGTAACAGTTAGGCTAGTAACAGTTAGGCTAGTAACAGTTATGCTAGTAACAGTTAGGCTAGTAACAGTTAGGCTAGTAACAGTTATGCTAGTAACAGTTATGCTAGTAACAGTTAGGCTAGTAACAGTTATGCTAGTAACAGTTAGGCTAGTAACAGTTAGGCTAGTAACAGTTAGGCTAGTAACAGTTATGCTAGTAACAGTTAGGCTAGTAACAGTTAGGCTAGTAACAGTTATGCTAGTAACAGTTATGCTAGTAACAGTTATGCTAGTAACAGTTAGGCTAGTAACAGTTAGGCTAGTAACAGTTATGCTAGTAACAGTTAGGCTAGTAACAGTTATGCTAGTAACAGTTATGCTAGTAACAGTTAGGCTAGTAACAGTTAGGCTAGTAACAGTTAGGCTAGTTACAGTTAGGCTAGTAACAGTTATGCTAGTAACAGTTATGCTAGTAACAGTTATGCTAGTAACAGTTATGCTAGTAACAGTTAGGCTAGTAACAGTTAGGCTAGTAACAGTTAGGCTAGTAACAGTTATGCTAGTAACAGTTAGGCTAGTAACAGTTATGCTAGTAACAGTTAGGCTAGTAACAGTTAGGCTTGCATATTCAGACCTGTGGTCATTTTTTTTGTTGACAAATTTGCCAAAAGTTTCCAGAACCTCGAGGTTATATTGTTTTGATGCAGTGGCCACTTTTAATAAACTTGGCAATGTGGGCCTTATTTGGCACACTTTGTGCATTATGTTGACCACACCGTTTTGCTCAAATAAAAAATCCAAAGGTTTTTGTTTTGGGTACTTAAAAGCTTCCTTACTGAATTGATTTTCAAAGGTTTATATTTTTGTTACTGTGTAAGTACAGGCGGTGTTAAACATGCTTAGTTTTCTTGTGTTTTTTGCATTTTATTACATGATGTTCTGTTAAATTAGTCAGGAGTCAAATACCAAAAATCGAACACAGCATGTAAATAAAAACATGACTTTATGGTCAATGTCAATTACAGATCCATATCTTGGTTGCTCTGACATGGACCTTTTTGGATAAAACAGAAAAAATTAAATGGGAGTGTATCTTACTGTTCCGCCTTCTGCAATAATGAATTCCAATGTAAAAAATGAAAGGACATTTTACAGATCCATAACATTCACATTGTGATTACAGAATGTGGTTAAAGGGTGTAACTTTGATTCGATCTATCATTTGTATTTGTGATTTTTCGATCAACGGGATGAAGTCCACGGAGCTTACAATCTCTGTCAACATCATGGTCACCTGCACTTCTGAGCTATGATCTACTTAAACAGTTACAAAAAGTTATGTTTTTATCATTGTCTATTGATTCTACAGAAACAAATGCTGCAGTCTGTGTTACTTCGGCTTGTCTTCCCATGTCCCTCAAGTAAACAGATTTCATCTTTGTTTGTATTCTCACCAATTACCTTATACACACACTATAATAAAGTTGGTTCTTTTTGTCACAAGGCAGTTTTGTCTGACCTGGTATCAACTTTATCCATCAGTTGGGTGGATAAGCTGTCGGTCTTTGGTTGTTTTGTTTTGATTAGTTGGTCAATTATTTCTTAGTCCTTCTATATCAATGATACAAAAGGTTTCCATGGGGAAATGAGATAATAAGCTGGTAATCATGCAGGTCAAAATGTGGGATTTTACTATGGCTTCATTAATTCAATGCATATATCTTTACATTAGTTTCACAATTTTTAGTAGAATTAGAGATTTAAAATCGGAGTTTACTGGTTTTTCAATCTGCAGCTGAGGGAAATAAACTATTCTTAGAAAGTAAGGCTTTTCGCTGGCATTGTTTGCAATACTACGCTGCCTCTAACTGACCCCTTTGTGGACTTTACTCCATAATTATTTGACAAATACATGCACCTGTCAGAATCACGACTTCAACATTTCAGATCGATTTTATTTGCTTCCTGTGTGCGTTATGTGTAGTGGGAGGAAAGTGGAAAAAACAAACTGTGTAACCGCTCTGCCTGCGACTAGTGAGATGACGCATTGTTCACTTCCGAAACGGGACACAAGGCGGAATGAGGTTTTAACACGGTCCCCTGAGCGGATGAGGTCTGAGGAAAAACACAGCCTAACAGTAGGCACTAGGAGAACTCCATCATCATAGTGGTTGTGTTTTCAGAGTTGTGATGAAGGCAACTCCAACACAATTCTTCAACTTTAAATAATAGTATATATCAAGAGAACCCCAAAGAAATCTGCTCAGTTCCATGTGCTACGAGGGATCAAACCATTGAAGTAGAGGTGAGGGAAAATAAGATTATTGCGTTATTTATTTCAATTATTATCCGTTTCACTTTTGGCGTTTTACGCCAAGATTATGGTTTTACGCGATTATGGCTGCTTTTTTGTGGATCAGGGCTGTGTCATGAATGTTCAAATATAAAGGTTTTTTGAACTTTCCTTCCTACATTTTTGCACTTAGGATTGTGCACAAATGGTGGTCATACCCAATTGTTTTTGCTATTATATAATTATATCCTACACATACATTTGTGAGTTATATACATTTAAAAGCAAGATGCCATCTAGTTTATGCAAAGATATGGATTAATTTCCCATACTGGATTATTTTTCAGAAATCAAAAGTGGATATTGCATTTCAATGGACATTTACGGAAGAAATGGCACGCTTGGATTAATCGCTGTGGCCTCTTTTTCCTTTTTATTTTTGTTTTGTTGGCTTCATATTATGCTTTATATCTTTTTAGTGTAAAGTCTGGTTATTGTATGCACTTGTATCTTAATGTTGATGAGAAATATCTTCTAAAATGATGAATAGCTTGTGGGGTTGATGACCTCATAATAATGTGCTTTTACAAGCTGAACTCTGAAAAAATCAGTGACGGTGGGTGTTATGTGGTTAATGTGTAGGATCATTATAATGTGACATTTGATATTTTCTCAATTTTTGTAATGCCTTTGAATAATATGAGTGACATGAATCGTAATTAATCGCATCTAGCATCTATTTATTGAATTGTGCCTAGATATCGGCTACAGTCATATTTTTGCCAATTCCCACATGAATACGAATTCAATATTATATTTGGGGTTTATTAAGCTAAGAAAGATTTGATTTGAGCATTATCAGCATAAAAAAACATAATTCAAAACAATAATGATCAAACTTGATGGATTCGCTGGATACTCGATTCAGATTTTTTAAAACCAAACAGAATGAAAACAATAACAACATGATGCAACATTCCCTTAACAGTCTTGACAGAAGACTTGCTTTCTTTTGTCGGATCTTTCTCGTCCAGCAGCACTACGTGGTAGATTGCCCCCTAAATGCTGAAAAAATTTACAAAGCTTTTTTATTTGGGAAGAAGGACTCATTCACAAGGAAGGGATTGTGGTAAGTAGTGTTGATCCTGGACACTCATCATTTATGGTCAATTGGTATTCTGCTCCTTATTCTGTTTGTTTTTTTTCTTTGAATTATTGCGTTTGAGACCGTTAAATTCTTCTGTTTTGTGTTTGTAAATTAAACGGTTTTGTTAAGTTCATAGAGTGAAAGCTACTGTTGTGATTTAGGGCCTATTCGTAGAATGAACTGATTCGAATTGATATGGCTATATCACTTTATGATTATGTTTGACTCTTTCCAACTAGTTCTGCGAATAAAAAACGTTCGATTGGGGGAATTAATTTGCATAACGGAAGTAGATTTTGGTTTGTCATCAACTTGGAATCACAAAGAATGCATTTTACCACTACATTGCGTATGGAATCTTTTTTTATTTAGCCTTTCACAGACCAGAGTCACAAAGTAGTTGCACTCGTGTTCACAACAATGAAGGACACAGTTTGATGCCTTTCGACTTGGAGTCCCCATGTTGCAAAGGTTTCCATCAGTGGTACTGGGTATCATTGGCTACCACTAAAATCATCTACTATACTTCGAATGTCCCTGATGTGGGGGACAAATTAAGGTTCTCTTTTTTATATGAGTGCGTGTTTGAGGTTTTTAAATTTAATCTAAAAATGTGTTACCCACATTTAACCCCATCAAAAGTTTACTTGTTACATGTATTTGGTATGTAATTTTATGATGTTTGTTTGATTGTTATCTTTCGGGTTGAAGCACTTTGGGGAGTGGTGTGTAAATGTTTCTATACAAACAAACCTGACATTGACATTGTGGGAGTTGCGGGACAAAGATGCAAATTGACACTTGGCTACTCCCTGGAGGACTACATGCACACAAATAAACTATAAATTACTTTAATTTTGGTTTAATACAGTGGACTCCCACATGTATTCTTGTGTTCAAACGGTAGATTCTTATTTCTATTTTTTTGTATATTCTTTTTTTTGTGATAAATTTTGTATTTATTTGTCCATTTTGGTTTCTGCCACTGATGAATTGGTACATGTATTCTTGAATTGTTATTGTTATTGTAGAGTTACAATTGAAGGTTCACATGTTCACATTCACCCTCTATTCTCTTACCATAAGCTTCACCATATCATACTTAACCTACTGAGTTTGTCTCTTTGTACTAGGAAAAGAGACAAAATCAATTCAATTGGGGGATGGACTACAGATGGAATGAGCCTTTGGCTATTATTGGCATGTTTACATTCTTGTTTTCTAATGTGTCTGTTCATTTGAAATGCACTGTCCATTCAAATAAAGTAAATAATATAAATAAATAAATATTTTTATATAGCCCTAAATCCAACAGCAGTAATCTCGGAGGACTTAACAATACCGGTGAATTCACCAACACCGAATCAGGTAATCAAACAAACAGACGACTGCTGTTGTGTTTTTGGGGCGATACAAAAATAAATTTAATTGGTTTTATTCAGTCCTGCACCCTACATTTCACACACGTTAGTATCAGTTTTCTTAATGTGTAAGAATGTTGTTATTCTACAGACTTTGTTATGAAAAGGGAAATCCATTTATTGGGGCTATTGGCCAGTGCAATAAATCCTATTTACTTGCTTCTGAACATTAACGCACTTTTAATACCAAATCAAGCTTTGTCGTCTTCTGCTTTGTCTAAAATGTCAGTGCATAAGGTTGTGATGTGAAGTACACATATTAAACAAACCTATATAACATGAGCACTTATATATAGAGGATTATGGAAACATTAGGATTAGTAAAGGCTGTGATACTGAAAGGACGTAAAGGAATTAAGGAAAAAATATTAATATAAGCATTTTAACATGTCACAATTAAAGTGCATGTTATTGTGAATGTCACTGTTGCATAACTGTAAATACACCATGGAATAAACTAAGCTGTAGCAACCACACTATTTAAGTTAATTTAGAATGATAAATAGAGGGTGGAGTTTTAAAGTATTAACTTCTTCACACTCCTTTTTGAACTGGATTGCTGTTAATTAAACAAAACTGTATATTTTTGTACTGATGACCTTTACATGATTGACTTTTAAACATGATTCCTGCAGGATCCAATCTGCAGCGTTTTAGTGATTCACTGTCATCAGTGTATAGAATATTTCTCCTGCCTCTACCGTCCTCCATTTGTCCTCTTAGGGAACTTTTAAGAAGTTGCTAAAAGGTCCTCCTTCTCAACTCTTAAGCGATCTCACCTTAGGAGCACTCTTAAGAGCTAGGATTCTTTAGGAATATCTTTTTTCTTAACTAGAAGCTACTCCTCACTTTTAGGGGAAATTCTAAGAGTTGGTCAAGATTCTAAGAAAATTCTTAGAATTTGGCCGCTAGGAGCAACTTTTAGCACTAAGAATCTTTAGGAATACGGCCCCTGAATTTTAATCGCCACATTAAATCGGTAACGTCATCTGCTTTTTATTACTTAAAGAACATTGCCAGGATCAAAAACATAGTGTCTAAAGCAGACTTGGAGATTCTTATCCATGCATTTGTCTCCAGTAGGTTAGACTACTGCAATGGCCTGCTCACAGGTCTGTCCAAACAGGCTGTAAAACAGCTGCAGTACATTCAAAATGCAGCAGCTCGAGTCCTGACTAGAGCCAGGAAGTACGACCATATTAGTCCTGACTAGAACCAGGAAGTACGACCACATTAGTCCTGACTAGAACCAGGAAGTACGACCACATTAGTCCTGACTAGAACCAGGAAGTACGACCACATTAGTCCTGACTAGAACCAGGAAGTACGACCACATTAGTCCTGACTAGAACCAGGAAGTACGACCACATTAGTCCAGTTCTCAGGTCTCTGCACTGGCTTCCTGTGGCTCAGGGAATAGACTTTAAAACAGCTCTGCTTGTTACAAGTCTCTCCATGGCCTTTCACCGGGGTACATCAAAGACATGTTAGTTCCATATGAACCTGTTTGGACTCTGAGGAGCACAGGGACTGGCCTCCTGCTGGTGCCCAGAGTCGGGACGAAACATGGGGAGAAAGCGTACCAGGTGCATCTAGGATTTGGAACGCTCTTCCTGAGGTTGTGAGACAGGCCTGTTCCTTCACCATGTTCAAAACTAGGCTGAAAACATAGCTTTTTAGCAGTACGTACAACTGACTGAATCAATTTTGTTCTTTTTTTTTTTTTTTATACCTACTTTTGAATGTGTTTTAAACCTCCATACTGTCATGCTGCTTTATTGTAATATGGAATAATTGCATTGTTATTTTTTATTGACTTTTTAATGAATTTTGATCTGTGTTTTTAAATTTCTCTTGTGAGGGACTTTGACTTGCCTTGTACACGAATTGTGCTAAACAAATAAATGATTTGATTGATAATATAAATATTGTTTGTTAGAACTTAGATTTACAGACAACACATGTTAATCTAAAGATCCAGTCACTGTAATGATCATTAATATTATTTACTACTGCATATAGTGGAGTCAGGATTGTCCTATAACGAGCTAATGTTCAATAACAAACCGGGAGTGAACAGTCCAGCTCCATTTCTCGGCCTGAAACCAAAGCCGAGGAGCCTCCACTGCTGAGTGCAGCTTGTACCCATATATGAAATGTCCAGTCCCGGGACCCTCCAGTCACCAGTGTCCGGGGCCGACAGACAGCTGAAGGTGCCAATCCGTGCCCCTCTCTACGGACACCAGGGGCCAGCCAGCCGTGTCCTGATTGGTCTGTGGAGACTAAAATAGACTTGGGGCCCTGTGTGTGTGTGTGTGCGTGCGTGCGTGCGTGCGTTCCCAGGGCTCTGGTCTCTGGTTGTGCTCTAATAATAGAAAAGGCCTGCTCCTTTAAGATCCCACTTGTTGCCTGTGGTCTACGAAACAAACGCAACAAAATGGTTATTAAAGTGTACGTCGCCACTTCCTCGGGATCGACAGCGGTAAGAGCGGGTTGCTGTGCTTTGGTCCTGGGTTGATGGATCCTTCTGTGGATCCGCTACAGAAGGATTTAGATCAGCATTACATAACGCTGGGATGTTATTTCATGCACGTTTTTCTGCGTAGTAATACCTCATACACGCGATGCCCATGTTGATTTTATTCAGAATTGTAGTGCGTTTGCAGAAGTTTTGAAAAAGTAATCTCTTGCTCCATCATGCCCCTAGCGGCGGTTCCCTGATCTGCTGTTTGCACCCAGAAACTATAGATGAAGTTGTTTTGTCTGGGGTTTTTTTTCCTGCCGTTTCATAAAGAGTAAATGTTTTTGTAGTTATTGAGGTGTCATGGTGCTGTGGTCTCTGGGTCACAGTCAGAGGGAGTCAGTGCTGCTCAGTTTAGACCTGTCCTGGAGGCCTACAGTCCAAACGTGTCTGACTTATGATTATAGATCCATGGTCTTACTCCGGGTCATAGTCCACTTCATTAAAGAAGACATACCATCATGCCTTTTGGCTTCATGGGATTGAAGAAAGAATGGTTTTCTGGTCTTTGTAATGTAAAAACTCTGTAATACAATGTAAATGGGAGAATTAACTTTTTATTCAAAGTGATAGAATATTAGCTCCACCTCTAGAGTGCTTTAGTTTTAGTTTTTATTCATTTATTTGTTTATTTTAACAGAGATGTTGACAAAAATCATATGTGTTCTGGGATAATTGGTGAAAACAAGACTTCTCAGAGCATTCCATCAATTTAACTTATTTTTGTATATCCCTAAATCACATTTGCAATATTTCCCGGTGGACTTTACACTGCGTCAATTCACCAACGACAGAATCCACAGTTTAAACACAATAATAACAAATACATAAGAGCCATTGGTCCAAAGGGAGCAGTCAGCGGGACGACCGATGTCCTTGGACCCTCCGGCAAGGAACGACTCAAGAAAAACAAGAAAAAAAACATGATAATATATTAGTAGTTTACACATGATTTCAGCAAAAATATGATCATTATAATTTTAATTTACTTTATTTTAAAAATACTATTGTGGGGGAAAAGAGAGCTTTGTGTGCTGAAACCGCAGAATCACTTGAAACAAAACCTAGAACAATGTCTCTCAATCCCCATCGGTGTGATGAAATTCGGTACGGTGTCTGAGTGGTTAGCATGCTTCTTTAAATACCGGTCTGAACAGGGTCTTTCTGTGTGGAGTTTGCATGTTCTACCCGTGTCTCTGTAGGTTTCCTCCGGGTGCTCCAGTTTCTCCAGCTGTAGCGACCACTTCTTCAGGCCGAATGCCCTATTGGCGTCAGGATGGGTCAAAGGCAGAAGATGATTTGCTAAACATTTATCTCAGTAATAATTTTAGTAAAAGAACTTACCCAACATGGACTCGTTTGTGTGGTCTGTTACTTGTTGCTTGGCGACAGTGACTCTTGATGTCTGCTGTCGTTGTGTCCTTGGGCAAGACACTTAACCCGCTTTTCCTATGATGAGCAGAGGTGATGTTCGCTGCTTGCCTTAATGTGTATGTGTATATGTATGTGTATGTATATGTATATGTGTAAGGGTATGTGTATGTATATGTATATGTGTAAGTGTATATGTACTGTATGTATATGTATATGCGTATGTGTATGCGTATGTATATGTATATGTGTATGTATGTGTATGCGTATGTATATGTATATGTATATGTGTATGCGTATGTATAAGTATCGGTGTATGTGTATGCGTATGTGTGTATATGTGTGTCTGTATGTGTAAGTAAGTAAGTAAGTAAGCTTTATTTATATACCGCCTTTCACAGACCAGAGCCACAAAGCGGTTTACAATTGTTATTATTTTTTGGGCATTTGTCCACTCACTCCACACAGAGATGGGAGCGGGGTCGCCGAACAGGAGGCGCATGCCAGACCTATGTGTGTGTATATTTGTATATTTGTATGTATATGTATCGGTGTATGTGTATGCCTATGTGTGTATATGTGTGTCTGTATGTGTGTGTATATTTGTATGTGTATGCGTATGTGTGTATATGTGTGTCTGTAT